GGTATGGACGGCGAAGCGGGGGAAAGGACGCTCGCTTCCCTCGGAAGAAGGTGAGGCCGGCCGGCCGGCGGGACCCTCGGGGAGGAGGAGGAAGAGAAGCGGGGCAGGGGGAGTTGGGCGTGTGGGGGGGGGAGGAGAGACGCGGGTGTATGTATTGGGGGGGGGGGGCTCCGTGTTTATATTGAGGCAATGGTGGTGGGGGGGAGAGAGAAAGGGATGGTCCCAGGGAGGAAGGGTGATGGGGGAGGGGAATGGAGTGGGGTTAGCCGAGAGCAGTTGCAGGGTGTGTGTGTGTGTGTATTGCAAATAGGGTGCCGGGGGGGGGGGGGAAGAAAGACTCGCCTCCTGTCCGGATGGGGGATGGGAAATAGGCTTCTTTTTTGGAGGTGGGGGTAATTATTACTTAGTGTTGTGCGTGTTTCGGGGAAGGATCGCTTTCTTGATGGGGATCGGACTAACAACCTCCCTCCAAATAGGGGGGAGGGAAGGATTTCCTTAAACATGTTATTTATTTAATGCAATAAACTAGACAAATATGCACGAGTGGGGTGGGTGGAGGGAGGTTGTTCTGGAGAGCAACGTCGGCCTGGGAAGGGAAGCTGTGGCGTCGTGGGGGGGGGGGAGGTTGGGGGAGGACAGAGAGAGAAGGGGCGATACGGCTGGAGGCGGGAGGAGGTGAAAATCTGAGGGCGTCTTTGGAGAGACTCTTTGCAGACACTCCGCCCCACACGGCCTAACCTTCCCTCTCTCCCCCCCCCCGCCGGTCGCCTCTCTGCTAGCTAGACTTAACCTTCCTCGCCGCCTGTCGGGGGAGGAGCGTCTGCAGCAGCAGCAGGTTAAGTCTGATGCCAGAAGGGAAAGGAGTTTAGTTCAGGGCAGGGCAGGGCAGGGAAATTCCACGCGAAGAAGAGGAGGAGGGGTTGGGGTTCTGGGGCTGGAGGTGTGGAAGGAGATTCCTAGTAGAAGGCGGTGGGGGGAACCGGGGGTGGGGGCGGGTCAGCAGCAGCAGCAGCAGCAGCAGCAGCTTCTACCAGGAATGATTCAGCGCAGGATGTTGGGGGGGGGGGGCTGGGGGGCCGCTTTTGTCGGGCCTCAACCCGGCGTTTGCAAGCAAAGGCACACTCGCATTGGCTGTGGGAATGTTAAGTCATTGCTTTAGGATGTTTCATGAGAACAGAAGTGTTTGTGGAGGAGGAGTTTCCAGACTATAAGGTACTGAGTGAGTGGCTTTCAAAGATTTCCAGCTGCAGGGAACAGTTTTCCACACAGACCGACTTTTCTGCCGAGGAACCCCTTGCTCACCTGCTCTGGAATGCCTGCGTATTGCAGAGGATTCTGGGAAATGTTCTAGGGTGTGCACACTGTTCCTGCAATCTGGCGGGCCTCCCCGTTGCTCAGTGTAAACTAAAGAGAGTGTATCTTAGAATAGACAGGTCCAGTTTGCAAAGGCAGGGTGGTGGAAAGTACTGAGTGAGCTTTCAAGGAAGCTTGTTTACCATCTTCCCATTGAGGACGCCCTTATACTTTTCTAAGGAATCCTCTGAAGCAGTTTAAAAATGGAGGCTAGTAGCCTTTTCTGCAGTGGCTCCCTGTTTGTGGAATGTTCTCCTCAGGGAGGTTCGCCTGGCACCTTCATTATACACCTTTAGGTGCCAGATGAAACCGTTCCTCTTCAACCAGGCTTTGAGCTGACTAACATCCTATATCATTTTTAATGTGTTTGTGTTCTTGTTTTGTTTTTATTATGTATATTGTGTTTTTCTCTTGTATTTTTATGCTGTGAACTGCCCTGAGATCTACGGATGAAGGGTGGTATGCAAATTTAAATAATAATAATACAGGTATTTATATATTTGAGTGTTTCTTCAGGAGGTGGCTTACTGTGGATGGGTGTATAAGAATTACAGTGGTACCTTGGGTTATAGACGCTTCAGGTTACAGACGCTTCAGGTTACAGATTCCACTAATCCAGAAATAGTACCTCGGGTTAAGAACTTTGCTTCAGGATGAGAACGCCCCATTAGCTGAAGTGGTGCCTCAGGTTAAGAACAGTTTCAGGTTAAGAACGGACCTCCAGAATGAATTAAGTTCTTAACCTGAGTTACCACTATATTGCAAAAAGATGTTGGGAGAAGAAATTCTGTGAGATTTTGCATGTCTTTGAGAGGGTAGAATAAAGGGAATCTTAGGTGGATATTAGTAAGGTTAATGGTTCTTTGTGGCATCTTGAATGATTTTTAGGGGAAAGTCTTTCTCTGTGATTTTTTTGTAGGGCTAGGTTTGGATGGAGTGTGGTAATTTGACAAAAAGTTGCTCTGGGAAGTGGGAAGCTCTGATTGTCTTTGGGGTAAAATAAATCATGTAATTGTGGTATGTGTGTTGAGGAAGTCTGGAGAAAGACTATTTTGAAAGCATATACATTTAGTCATGGGAGAAGTGAGCTGATTTACATGGTAGATTTTTGAAACTAGTGATCTTAGGGAGTGAGGAACTCCTGTGCTAAATGTGTCCCGTCCCACCGCCCACAAAAAATGCTGAGTATTAACCAAAAACTAGAAGGGAAGGGTATAGGCAGTTCATGCGTTGAAAGGGAAAATACATTATGTTGGAGTTGTTTTGTCTGAAGCAACAGTAGTGTTGTCATTCTTTATTATTGCATGAGAAACCTAAGTTCCAAATGTAAAATGTGTATGGTTGCAGTGCACTTATTTGTGTTTTATATACCAGTTTCAAAAGGCTAAAGGGAACTTTGATTTTTCTAGGACTTCTGTAGAGTCTGAATTTACCAAGTATGGGAGAAGTGCTCCTTTTTTCAATTCTACAAATTCCAAGAGTATTATATTTTACTTAAACATGCAATAATTTGTTTCCAAACAATTATTGTTTTCTCATCACCCCTGTATTTCTAAATAGCCTATATTGTGTAGATTCACTGTGTGATGAAATTGAGAGGAGTTAGCTGGCGATGGGGGTTGGAGACAGCAGAGATAACAAATATGTGAATTGGGAGGGGGTGAGAAATGCATTACAATGAGAGAGAGAGAGATTTATGGGGAAATGTTGGAGAATTCTGAGACCAGGAAATAGCAATTGGGGCAAGAGGAGAAGGGAACAAAGCTGGTGGAAGAGAAACTAACACTTGCCTCCCCTATGTTGTTCCATTCCCCTTCAAAATAGGCTATGGGGTAAATACTGAGTGGAATGTGAGTAAAGCGAACAGAATATGTAGGGGAGGAGAGGAGAAGTCAAGTGGAATGTCTGCTTTGCTTACATTCTGCCTAGCTAACTTCAGAACCTGTATTATATGCAGGACAGGCTGTCATTTCATAATATGTCTAAACAGTTGATACATTAAAATGGAGGGGGTGGATAAGATATCAGGAGTGCACATGTCTGTATTGTTGAATATGCACAGGTGAATAAATGGGGAACAGGGAGAAGAAATACAAAGATGTGTGCCGGAAGAAAACATGCCTCCTTCCCCCACAAGTAGGGCTAGGCAGCTTTTGGAAATCCTGAGCTGTTCAAGGCTCTATAGGTCAAAACCAGCACTTTGAATTGGGCCTGGGAACTAATCGGCAGTCAGGATTGGTGGGTCAGAATGTAATATGCTCAAACCATCTTGCCCCAGTGTGCAGCCTGGCCACCAATTCCTGCACTAGTTGGAAGTTTCCGAACTGTCTTCAGAGGCAGCCCTATGTATAACACACCACAGTAATCTAAGATAGAGGTTACCAGAGCATAGACAACAATGGTTAGATAGAGGTGCTGATAGGAGTGCAGCTGGGCCACCTGCCAAAGCTGATAGAAGGGCTCTACACCACTGAGGCCAGCTGAGTCTCAAGGGACAGTAAAGGATCCAGAAATACCTCAAACTGCATACCTGCTACTTCTGAGGCAATTCAACCCCTCCAAGAGCAGGCAACCTCACATCCATCCAGTCTAGGGAGCTGCCCTAGATCTGGATTGAGCTTCAGTTCGTTGGCTGTCATCCAGTCCATTACCAAGGCAAGATCTTGAGAGATCATGGATTTCTTGTGAATAGTTTTGGTTCTAAGGAAAAATACGCATAGCAATCTCTTTTATTTGACTATTCTTGAAAGTGTCTGAAAGTAATGCCCAGAATATTTTAACAAGATAAAGCTTCTGTAACTCAAGCTTGCACTCAAAATATGTTAGTTCAGGAAACACTATTGCTGTGTTAAGTGTGCATATTTAAAATATATGAATTTAATTTGAAACTGTTTGATTGCTTTGGTACATTTCTGATTATAAAATACCTGTCTGTTTTTCTACCCCTCATTCAGATTTTATGAAAGGATGAACCCAAGAAATCAATTTTGCTGATGGCTGGGAGCTAATTTTCATTATTCGCAATGGTCGCCTTTATACATATAGTTACAACCAACAATCTAGGATCAGCTTCCACTCGAATGTTTATTGGTGAATTAACACTGAAACTGATGGAACTGGAAAACTTTGTTGGACAGTAAATCCAAAACCTTGTCTATGATAGTGCAAATAACAAGATTTGATACATAAAGCTCCCCCTCTTATAAAAGTGTAGGTTTGAAAGCAGCACATCTCAGACTGTGAGAACTTCTGTGTTCTGATGGAAGAGCCTGTAGACATTGAAATCTCCTTCAAAGCTTAACTTTGTACTAAATCACAGTTTTCTATTGGATCAAAATCACTGGATCAGTTTCAAGACCAGTGACTTGAAGATTTGAGGAAAACCTTTTTATATGTGCATTGGGTTGTTCATTTTATATTTAGTTAATTAGAGAAAAAGTATTTTTGAATGACATATTTCTAGGCGATTCCTTAACTTCAAAGGCTGTGATTTTAAATGCAAAGTGTTGAACTTTGCATTTACCTACTTTGGTGTCTTATTTAATTAAAAGCAGCCATACTGGTTGAGCAGCTGAGACAACCAGGAATTGAGATTTGGAAGACCTGCCAGTGATCAAACCTCAGAGTCACCTATCTAAAGTTTAGCTATGGAAGCTGCACAGACAAACTTTCCCCGTGGTTGTCAGTCAAAGCAAAAGGGGACTGCAGCAGCAGAAGAGGACAGTCCTCCAGCAAAAAAAGCAATGACAGAAATGCATGTAAAACAAACAGTGGTAAATAAATTGTCAACAATAAAGAAGGAACATTTGGATGAATGTGAAGAAAACTTTATGGAGGACAGAGAGGAAGATGCCAAACCAAACACTGCTTCAGCATCTGAGCCCTTGAACTTAAATCCAGGGCTGAAACATACACTGGCACAATTCCACTTAAGTAGCCAGAGTTCGCTGGGAGGACCAGCAGCATTTTCTGCTCGCCATTCTCAAGAAAGCACGTCTTCTGTCTTTGTACCTCTCCCATCGCCCCAGATCCTTCCTGGTCCACTGCTTGTTCCTTCCGACAGCTCTACGGAGCTGACACAGACTTTATTGGAAGGGGAGTCTATATCTTGTTTCAATGTTGGAGGGGAACAGAGACTTTGCCTGCCTCAAGTCTTGAATTCTGTGCTCCGTGACTTTTCTTTACAGCAAATTAACACAGTGTGCGATGAACTTTACATCTATTGCTCTAGGTGCACTTCAGACCAGCTTCACATCTTAAAGGTTTTGGGAATCCTTCCGTTTAATGCCCCGTCTTGTGGGCTGATCACACTGACTGATGCTCAGAGACTATGCAATGCATTGCTGCGCCCTCGCACTTTCCCTCAAAATGGTAGCCTGCTTCACGCGAAGAATTCACTGGCCCAGCTAAAAGAGACAGGCGGTGCCTTTGAAGTAGAGCACGATTGCTTGGGAAAGTGTCAGGGTTTATTTGCTCCACAGTTTTATCTGCAGCCAGATTCGCCATGTATCCAATGTTTAGAGTGCTATTCGATGTTTTCTCCCCAAACATTTGTGATGCATTCTCATCGAGCTCCTGACAAGAGGACCTGCCACTGGGGCTTTGAATCAGCTAAATGGCATTGCTATCTTCATATTAACAAAAAATATTTAGGCAAGCCAGAAGAGAGAAATATGAAGCGTCTCTTGGAAGAAATGAAAGAAAAATTCAGTATGAAAAATCAGAAAATAATCCAGGCTAAAGTAAGTTTATTTATAGTTGTAAAATATTAGCATTTAATTAACATTTCAAATTGCATTAAAAGTATTCTAAATATGTGTTTCCTAAATGTAAATTGGACCCTTTAAATTTTTGAAAAACTTAAGTTGTTATCAGGAAGTATTATCATGGCAAATACAACAAAATAACACTTCAGTGTTTTAAAACCCAGGGATATAAGATAAGCTAACAAGTTTGGAATTTTACTTTTTGCTTCCTAACTGACTTAAGTGCATGGAACATCAATTAACATTGATGTACAGACTTGCCTGTTTGATTTTACTTCACACACACACACGCATGCATGCTTGTTATAAATAGCTTGGCACCAGGCAATGATAAATGTAACCATGGAGCACTGTCCATTCTACAAAATATGAATTATTGTCTTTTTCATTAGGCATTATATGTTGTAAACTGTTCCACAGTTAAATATGGCTAAAGAAAATAGATAGAAGTCATTGTGCTTTATTTTAAAAGAGCACCAAAAGAATACAGATAACGAGACCCACAGATATCATTTATGCTGGAGCATAGTGTTTAAATATCTATAATTATTTTTTCCATTCTCTATTATTGTGTCTACTTTCAAAATCCCAGAAGCACCTTGTATTTTCTGCCTTCTAAATAGAAAAATGTTGTTTGTTTCAATTCAGAGATGTGAACACCTGGAGAAATTTTATATATAAGAAGCCTTTAGGAGTTTTTTCATTGTCCGTACTATATACTGTGTCTTTCATAGCACATCAAAGAAATGACAAATGCACAAACATACAAAGCTGCCTTGTATCATCTGCCTTGCCTGACAGAGGTTCCCCAATGTTTCAGCCTTTTCCTAGCATGTGTTGCTTGATTTCATCTAAGCTGGCTTGGAAATAGTATGAATTGAACTTGAGACCTTCTGCATGCAAATTGTGAGCTCTGTCACTGAACTATGGTCCCGCTCCAAAAACTCAGCAAAGCTTATTTTGATGGGTGGAGGTTGTCAGAAACTGAGAGCAAGCCAGAAGCACCAAGAGAGTCTTTTTAAGCCAGCGTAGATGAGAGGATGGGAAATAGGGGCTGGCAGTGGCTCTCCAGGGTTCAGGCAAGGGTCTCTGACAGCCCTACCTGGAGATATGGGGGATTGAACTTGGGACCCTCTCCATGCAAAACAGATGCTCTACCACTGAGCGATGGCCTTTATTGAGAGTGACTCAGGATCAGTCCCTGGAATCTCCAATTAATAGTCTTGGATAGCAAGCTAGGGAAAAACCCTGCAGAGATGTTGCCAGACACAGCAGATGGTAATGGGCTAAAAGAGTCAGTACAGTGGTACCTCGCAAGACGAATGCCTCGCAAGACGAAAAACGTGCAAGACGAAAGAGTTTTCCATTTTTTGAGTCATTCCGCAAGACGAATTTCCCTATGGGCTTGCTTCGCAAGACGAAACGTCTTGTGAGTTCTTGCGAGTTTGTTTCCTTTTTCTTAAAGCTGCCAAGCCGCTAATAGCCGCTAAGCCGCTAATAGCCGTGCTTCGCAAGACGAAAAAACCGCAAGACGAAGAGACTCGCGGAACGGATTAATTTCGTCTTGCAAGGCACCACTGTAGTTTAATTTGTTCATAAGGCATCTTCATATGTTTACATGGCCCCATCTGATGAAGGCAGCAAGCCTCATCCACAAAGTGCGATGCAGTCATTTCAAAATGCAGTTTGGGCATATCTGTAGCCATTTCAGCTTCATGCTTACACACCTAAGAGTTCTCGAGAGGAGGCATTAAGATGGGTGGAATTGTTGCGTGTATCTTTATAAGGGTAGTGGCAAGCTGTAACTCAATTCCTTCATGGAGAGCAATTGCTATACTGGTGGTTGCACATACCTACATTGAACTTTCCATATCTGTAAATTTCAAATGTCCATGATATGTACCAAAAAAAACCCACACTTCCGCCCCCGTTATTCTTGATGGGAAAGCAGGAGGTGGGAACTCAGAATTCATAACTAGCAAAAGCTTAACTGGCAACAAATGAAACAGCACTAACTTACTCCTTCTAAAAGACCAGGTTTTCTAGAGGCAAAACTTAGGAGAGGGGAAAAAGCTAATCACTACCCTTTCCATTTATTGCTTTTCCAATAGTCATAGTAAATAGATAAAAGTTGTAGGATTTTGGTGGATCAACTTCTGTTCATGGATGAGTATATAAATCAGTCAATTTAATCATAGGCAAGCTTCTTAATTTTTCTTATGCTGTCTGCCTGTTGGGAGAAGTGGAGGATAAGTAAAATAAAGTAGTGAGAAGTACAGTTCATGTGAGGTTTTGCCTAGAGGCGTCGTCTCAGCCATGAATTGTCCATTGACTGGCAATAATACAGCTCTAAATGAATGTTGGACCACAGATGGGTGATTGGGAGCGTACTTGTTCTAGGTACACAGGCCAAGAAGATACTGAACTTGTTATGGCAACAGAAACTATAAATTTCCCAGCTTAATCAGGCTTATATGATCATTAAAGATGTAGCAAGTGTGTTGCTATTCATTAAATGACAACACAGCTTAAGGTATGGTAACTCATTAGACAATATTTTGGCTTACCTTAAAAGAAAATGATTGATACATTGTGTCTCAAGGCTTATAAACAACCTCATTATCTTTTTGTTGCATTCTTGCAATATGGCTAATGAAGGGCTATGTATTACCAAAATATTGTACTGCATTTACATATTGCTGTATAAATACAGATGACCTTTCCATGAGCCTTCACAATATGAGTTTTAATGAGTGATTTGTGCGAGAGGGAGAATTTAAATAAGGACACAACAACTGCTATGAAGACTATGGTTTTGTTGATGTGCCAATGTGAGACTCCTCATACATAATAGGCCAGGGCTGTCTCGTGGATAGAATATTAAATTACAGTTTCAGGGAATTATAGTCTCATCTCGTGTAGAATAGTGCTTGTTTGGTAATGGGTGGTTACCTAAAATATGGAAGAAGCGTAGAGCTAAGGACCTCTCTATCAGTTTTCTACACTCAACACCATTCCTTATAATAACACGCATTTTCACCTACCTACCATCCTCCCTTCCTGCTGGAGGCAGGGTGTTAGCATGTTTGTAGTTGAGCAACTATGCATTTGCATGAAGAAACAGAAGGGACTGCACTGATCTTAATGTGTATTGAACATATTTCTGAACATCATTCCAAATCTCCTTTCTTTCCCTAGTGGGAGGAAAGAAATATATAAAGAAAGCTGGTTACATCTGAGTTGTGGTGATTCCCCCTCTTTATTTCTAGAGGAACTATTGCTGTTGGGTTTGGGCAAGTTATCTGTAAAATGCAGGACAATTAACATTATCCCAGGAGTAATTGTGCATCTGGGTAAGAATGATACAACTATATCCTCTCCTTTAGCTTAACAGAATGTAAAATGCTACTTAAAGCTCTTATAAGGAGAATTTATATGCGTGAGAATAGGAACATCCTTATCCAGCATTAACAGAAATTCTAGAAACACTCTGCTGCTTCAGCAGTGCTTCTAACACTTCTGAGATGTGAAAAGCAAAGTAGCAAAAGAATAGTTAAGATGCAGTGATTCTGGGGATCTTCACATTTTGATGAGAAAAAAAGGCGTTGGAGGAGGGGTAGAGGAATGCCCTTCTGCTAATATGAACTACACCTAGCTGGCTTTGGCTGACACCCGCCCCCCCAAAGACTCTAAATATATTGTAAGTGCTGAAAATGCAAGAATCAGAGAAGCAGTGCTGCATAAGAATTACTCAGGAGGGCAGGGGGAAATTCAAGACTTGCCTTTATTTAAAAATAATGTTACTGTTGAAACCTTTGGTCCAATCCTTTTAAAACCACAATGGCGTGGTAAATTTTTATTTGACTCTCATAATATGTTTGCATGTTTTTAATTAATTATGATTTGGGGAAGGTTGAAAAGCGAATTAAGTACAGTATCTGAAGCCATAGTGCAAGGTGTTGTTGCCTTCAAGTGCAGAGTTGTTACAAGGATTGGCATTATCTATGGAGCTGAGATGTTCCATCATTTTTTAGTAACCTCATGATGGATATCGTGTCCTCCTTGTGACACAATTTGGGAGAAACAAATGTTTTTGAAGGCAAGTTCTTATGATTAGGAACTCCAGCTGTTTTTACTTCTTCTGGTGCACATATACATCTCCATGTGTCTTGTGAAAATAGTGTTTTGTCTCCTCCGCATAAAGCATATGAAATGACTCATATGCAAAGGGGAAGAAAAAGATCTGCCTACAGATGCAAGCACTTTGATACGCTGAAACAGATTTGCCCCGGGGAGGATCCTTGTCTTGAAGTTTCACCATCTGTGATCTAAACACAAACATACTAAAACTCTGTTTCTGTTCTCTGCTTCTCAGTTTCACTATGAATGCTCTCTGCAAAGTTGGTTCTTGGAACAAATTTGCTTTTTAATTTCACAGTATAACTGAGTGGTGAGTAATGAGTAGCCAAAGCACACGCTGGCCCTCAGGTATTCTCAGAAGCGGTTTTTTAAGAACTCGGATTTATGCTTTTTTAGCTGGGATAGAACAACGAGAAGGCAAGGTCATGGGCTAATGGTAAAACTGAATTAATTCTACATCTCTGAAATTCTCACTCTTAACAATTTGCAGTTATCACACAAATTGAGATGCTATTTCACATGCAATAGTGCTTTCCATTTAGGTTTTTCGTCCCATTTGAAGTGGCCCAATTTATCCCAATACAACACTTTTCCTACAGAAGAAACATTGTTTGATGTATATGTGTGAAACACATTTTGAAGTGGCAAAGCCATGTGGCTTTTGCAGACAAGGTTTGCATCTAGACTTCTGCCAGCCCCTCCTCGTTACTTTTTTCTTTAAAAAAATCTACCTGGCTAATTTGCTTTCTGATTAAAAGAAAGAGGCTGAAGCCAGTAACTAGGCTTCCTGATCTGAGATTTTTCAGTTATTATTCTACGGTTGCTCCTTCACCAGGGGAAGAACAACATTGTTTGTTCATTCTCCGCAGTCATGTTCTATACTTGCTGAACCTTCAGAAATGAAAGTTGAAATTCTCAAGGTTCTTTTAAGCTGTCATATTTGAAATAAGTATTTTATCTGGCCATGGAAACCCTAGCTCCTTTCCCATCTTTATCCATTATGAAGGTTTCATACTGATATACATTGCCATGATGATGGTATTAAGAACCTTGAAGTAAAATCCCACATGCTGCCATTGACGCAATATATGAATATTTCTGAAGCATGTACTTTGATCAAAAGAAGCACAGGATCACTTTTGGTCACTTATGGGAGGCTTTCCAGCCCACCCCATGCCAGTATGGGAGCATTGTCCAGAGCAGGGTCCTATGTGTGGCATAGTATATTTATTGTAGTAAAAAAGCTGGAAGATGACCAGTTTTCAAGAAAGCTGCTAATTCTTTCATCTGTAATTGGAATGGGGGAAACTGAGGTAATCTTGCTTTTCTACTGTTGCTTCTGTTTTGTTGCCTTGTAATTTCTCCTGCCTAATTTGATGACATTGGAGAAATAATTGTAAAGCAGTTCCTCCAGATCATAACTCTCACAACTGGAATGTTGTATCATAAAACATACCATAAATGCTGCTTTTTTTTCCTCCTCAGGCAGATTCTCAGTATAACCTAGAATTTCAGCAATGGTATCCAGTTGTAAAGCAGGAAGCAGATTCCGTTAATCAGCCGCACTCATTCATGCATCCCAGGTAAACATCCTTTTGCCAAGAATATAAGCAGTGAATGCACAACTTGAAGTTTAGAGGTGTAGTCCATATTTTGCGCAAGGATAAATGAACGTTCTAGAGTTTGGTCACATATGTAACGTGTCTTAAGAAATTATTTCTTAAGAAATAATTATAGGCCTCCTGAGCCAGGGATGTGGAGGCTGTGATTCCCCATATATTGTTGGATTCTATCTCCCTTCAGAATCATAAGTATCCTGGCCTCAGCCAGGAATTACAGAATTTGTAATCCAAAAGCATATGGAGGGCCAGATATACCCCATTCTGCTCTAGACCAATCTAGAGCTGAACCTTGGTATTATGGGCCACTTCTTCCAAAGCAGTTTCTACTCTTTTTTTTTCCTTCTCCCTTTGGTACACTCACTGCAGTTGCTGTTTTACAACTCTTGATTTCTTTGTAAAACTGAGCTTTTGTGCAAGAGTGATATTTACCTAACTTGTATAAGTTTTGTGCAAGATTCATAGAGGTCTTGGGCAAAAGCACCTTATTAACAAACATATATCAATAGAGCCCAGTGTATGTACTGCAGACTCCAAGGTAATCTGTCACATGTACTCTGTGGCATTCCTGAGAGAACAGTTCCTTCGCACCAGGTTGCTGACATTTATCTGTGACTTCAGCATGGGCAATTGATGGAAATGGTCATACTCAATTGTGAAGTTTCAGCCACCAGAAACAAAACAGCTAGCTTGTGCGATCAGGTAAGGAGCAAATGAAAGTAGGGTACGGCGATAAAGGCCACACACTCAAATGTCACCTCACGGGACAAACAGCCCACCCCCCAAAATTTGTTAATGACCTTCCACACCCAGCTGTTATTTTTATGTATTGCATCTTCCACATTAAGGTGAAATCCAGAATAAATGCAAACAATTAATAATCAGCTCGCATTTTGGTGGTGTCTTGTGAGTATGGTGAAAAACATCTGTGCCTAAGCAGCACTGATTCTGCAATAAATGCCTGTCTGGGACCACCTTCATTCTTTTCCTCCAGGGACTTAAACCAGCTGCTAAGAGAAGACCTGCCTGAACACTTAAGGTGCATATGTAGGGAATATTACTACATAGTTGCTTGAGTGACTGAAGTTGGCTGCCCGGGATATGGGCCTTTTAAGCTTTGTCAAGCGGATGTTGAAAGGAGGAGCCTCAGGAAGTGGATTCTTTGTTCCTTGCTCCTTCCATCTTTTGGGACCAGACCAGTCCAAGTGTAACAGCACTTTCACTGTTCTCTTGGAACCTGTTGTGTCTCCTGGCTCTTCTGTCCCAGCTCTTCAGCCCTTCAGTTATGCACCTTTTGCTTTAGAGCTTTCGCTTTACTATGCTATGGACTTAGCCCTGCAAGCAATCCAGTTCTGCCCCACTCACATTTTTCTCCAAGCTGAGCTCTTCCCACTTACCTGCAAGGTTGATTACCCTGCTGTAGTTGACACAGATTTCTCTGTTGCCTCTCTCTCAGACTTGCCGGCATATACAATTTAGGCTAATGTAAAGCTGGATGTGTTACAGCAGCAAGTACCAGTGTAGTTAGGAAGCAGATTCCTAAAGCGGATGGCGGTGAGGGGTGATTTGTATCAGCCTGTCAAGGAGCTGCTTTTCTCCAGCTAGATTTGGTCCAGAGTTAATTGGGCATATATTGTTGCACTGTGTATGTGTGTGGGTGTGCACAATAGCAACTTCAATCTATATTCAAAAGTTGTTTTAACATTAAATTGCTGCATGGGAGACTCCACTTGCGCTGTATAGTTGTCCGTCAGTCTCACAAATTAAACGCAGCTGTCTTTCAACCATGTGAAGAGTTGACACGCTTCACAGCTCACGGAAACCATGGGAAGCTCTGCTCTGCTGATGACATGTCTGTATAATGCTGATGTAGCAGTTGAATTATCACATGCGCCGTTCCTCAGCTAATTTCACAAACAGAGCACATTGCTTCATTATGGTCACATATCTACCAGCCAAACAGATTCCCTCTGTCCCAGGTATTTGTAATAGCTTTCAAAATGTATCTGGCTTCCATCCCCCAAAGAGAATTTCTTTAAAACATTTTTTTTATTGCACATTATTTCAGATTTCTACAGCGTAACACAAATGCAAAAACAGGAAAATGGAAGAGAAAACATTAAAACAAGCTTAGTCAGTACAGCATGAGGCTGTTAATCTCAGGGTCTTGGGTTTGAGCCCCACGTTGGACAAAAGATTCCTGCGTTGCAGGGTCTTGGGCTTGATGACCCTCATATTCCCTTCCAACTATGCAATTCTATGATTCTGTGACTAAAATTTGCTGAGTTAGTTGTGTTCTTTGCACCTACCTTTTCTAAATAGCAGTATGAATTCCCGTGTAGTTGTTATTGGGAACAAAACATTTAAACTGCATAGGAAATAAGAGTAGTTGAGCTGCAACGCTGCACTTTTGAAAGTATGCTTTTATGATTTATATGCTGCTGTTAGTGTTCAAAGCACTTCCATGTACGCAGGATTGCCGAGGTAGTGTACAAGAACCTGCAGGTGGTGTTATCACTTTCTATAGTGCAAATTTTGGAGGGTGAGACGGATGTGATGAATAGAGGCTTGGACTAGGTTATATGAAGGGTCATCTGCTACAGTATGAGATTACCTGAACTCTTCATTATTCATCAGTGGCCCCCATCTGAGGCTTACACCACTTCCTGAAGTTCAGTGGATAGTGAGAAGCCCATATTTAGCATTCCCTCCTTAGAGGATTTCTCCTGGTGCCAGCTCTGATGTCTGGGCAAATACAAATGCCAAGCACTGAAAGGACATTTCAGCATGTTCTGTAACTGGCTTTAGGTTGTGGTTTTATGCTGGACATCTTTTATGCCTGCTACACATAGAATTTTTTCCCATTTCCACTTGACAATTATTTTATTATTTTCATCTCCATGAAATGTCTGCCACCATGGGAATCTTATACTAAAGGGTGGTCTTTCTTTAAATGTATTAAGACTGTCTACGAAGCTGATGACAGCTCTTTAGCTGCTGCGGTGCAGCTTCTTTACACTATATAATTTTCCTATATGTGCCTCCACTTCAATCTGAGAACACGGGCATTTATCACCTGCTCTGTAGCAATTTGCTTGCAGATGCAGTTTTTGGGAGCAGAAACACTGGTGCAGCCGTTCCCACATAAGAAACTATGCAGTCCTCAGGTAAATAAGTGAAAACTTAAATGGTAGGGTTCCTTTGTTAGTTAATAAGGGAAGGAACTGGTTTTACTAGGAATTAATCTGCTCTGTCTTTAAACTAACTCACAGCTGTAACCCTGCTGATATTCATCTGTGGGAAAAGCGAAGTTGCTCCATTACTATAATGTGGTTTATTTATGCAATATGAGTGGCATCTTCTGCACAATTTGAGCAGAATAATATACAGTTAAATCTATGTGATAAAGCAATAGCCTAAAAGCATTATGCAAATTTTCAAGAGCACAGAGTTGAATAAGGTGAGGTACGGTAGTAATACACAAAAACTAAAACTTTCTCTTTATTCATCCTTGCCAATGAGACATTCATATCTCATGATAGCAACTAGTTGATTTGGTTTCCGCCTGGCTTTCCTTAGTTGATTTGTTTTTTATCCTGTTAAACTAAACAATGAATATGCACAACTGCTTTAAAACAGATTTCCATTTTAAATCTGTTCTGGTGTAACCAAAGCCAAATTAATTCATGTTCCCGTTCCCAGGTTTTAAAATCTAAGATGTAATAATAGTTCATGCTTGGTTCAAAATCAGTTGATTTAAATAATTTTTATTAATTCTGCTTTTTTATTTTTTTTTTGTTTCCAGCTATTACTTCTATATGTGTGATAAAATGGTTGCTCCCAATGTCTCCCTTACCTCTTCTGTGCCACAATGTAAAGAAGCTACTAAAACCGCAGAGAAGATTTCAGAGGTAATTAAATCTCTACCGGGACAGTCAGTGAAGCAACACAGCGGTGGCAAACGTAAAAAAGCCATTTTCTTTCAGGATCTTTCTCTTGAAGTACAAGAGAAAGTTGATTTGAAACTTAGTACAGAAGTGTGTGCTAATTCAGGTGAGTAGGAAAAAGAAACATCTTTCTGTACACTTGCATCTTGTAACGTGCAGCTGCTTTCCAGTGTAGCGTTTCAACAATCATTACTTTTCCTACCTTTTTGACTCCTATAGAGCGGCCTGTATCCATTAAACCTGCAAGCAGAAGGAAAGCTGAACTGATCTCTTCCAAAGTGACTACAGAAGACGTGGTAGAAGTAATCAGCAGTGCACAAACTTCATCTCAGACTCTTCCACGTGATACTGGCTGTGATGATGACAAAGGGAAAATGATGGAAGATGTAATGAAAACCTATATAAAACAGCAAGAAAAGCTGCATACAATTTTGCAAAAGAAGCAGCATCTTCAGATGGTATGGCATGTGTTTGATTTAGCTTTGTTCTGTCTTCTGAAATCTGCTTGTTGCATAACTTTTTGTAGTGGTTTTAAATCTTGATTACCGGGAAGTGTTAACTACAGTAATAGACAGATAGGATCGTACAAGGTAAAGGCTTGTCTCCTCATTTTGAGTTACATTAACTTAATATACTATAAACTAATATAATCCTGAAATTGCTGACTTGGCTGCCAAACCTCAGGTGTTACTGGAATAATCTTTAGAGTCTAAAGTCACCACCTGGACGTGCTTTTTTATTATTGTATGGTAAAATGCCATGACTACATAATTATAAATTCTTACATTGTAGACTGTGTGTCTGCACTGGAGGAAGTGCTCTGGAAATATTCTGTCCAGAGGTTCCTTACACAAAATGCAAAGGATTAGAAGTCCGGAATGGGGATACTTGAGATAGCATTAGACACAAAACTGAGGTTGTACATAGCCACTAAGAATTGCCTATAGGGAATTAAGTAGGGAGTGCTACAACACTGATTCCCACTCCTCCCCTTTTCTGCCTCTAGGCCACAAATTACTGGCAACAACTAGCATAGTCTCCTGTAAATTGATATTGGTGATTAATTTTGTGGATTAAATTACAAGACTGATTTAACCACCGCCAGTACAATTTTGACTTGAATGTGGGAGAAAGGGTATCATTTAGTATGTACAAAAATCTACCTGAAGCTGTATGGAACAATCCTTCAGCATTCCATATAGTAAAAAGGTAAAGGTAAAGGGACCCCTGACCATTAGGTCCAGTCATGGCCGACTCTGGGGTTGCAGCGCTCATCTCGCTTTATTGGCCGAGGGAGCTGGCGTACAGCTTCCGGGTCATGTGGCCAGCATGACTAAGCCACTTCTGGTGAACCAGAGCAGCTCACGGAAACGCTATTTACCTTCCAGCCGGAGCGGTACCTATTTATCTACTTGCACTTGGACATGCTTTCGAACTGTTAGGTTGGCAGGAGCTGGGACTGAGCAACGGGAGCTCACCCCGTCGCGGGGATTTGAACCACCGACCTTCTGATCGGCAAGTCCTAGGCCCTGTGGTTTAACCCACAGCGCCACTGGCGTCTCTTCTTCCATATAGTACTCTGCTGCTACAGAATAGGGTTGTGCATCTGGTTCCAGATAAATCCTGGATCCTGAACTGAAGCAAGTTTGAATTGACCTGATTCGAGATTTATCTAAAGTGGGATGAGGCAGCTCCAGATCACCTCAGGTCAGGTCTGCCTGGAGGAAACCATAGCTATCAAAGGGGTGGGAGAAGGAGATTATGGAGACTTTGCCTTATTCTCACCACTACCAACCACATGTTTAATTAGGGTTTTAAATCCTAATTTTTAATTAGGGGCTGTGCAAGCCACCTCATTGCATTTAGGACCCGGACTGGGGCCTGATCAAGTTTTCTGAATTAGGAGTGCCTTGCTGAAGCCTACTGTTTAACACTTGGCTCCAGTATTGTGCAGAAAAAGTGAATCAAGTAGACTTTAGGTATTTACACAATCTTATGCTTATGTGTAACATTAGCATGTTAAATAAGCATGAAATTCACTCTGCTGCAAAGGATTAAGGGCTTAATTAGTGCGATTATCTTTGTACCAGCTCTCTGCCAGCTTTTCTATTTACTTGTGGTATGAAACCTTAACACAAGAGCCCTTCTGTGGTTTGAGTGTCTATTAAGGACTCTTGCTTGCATTGTTTAAAATTGTTAAGTATTTCTAGATTGGTGTACACTGCCCTTTGACAGTGTGAGACTTCACTCAGATAAGAGTAAATATGATCAGTGTAAGTGTAAAAGACATATGCTAAACTCCTGATTCTGCAGTGCACCCTGAGTAAGTAGCAAGAGCTGCCTGTGCATAACAAGTGGAGATATCAAATTGAATCATGTAGCCTGTGAGCCAGAGAAGCATGAACAAAGATCTGGGTGCACTGTTGGATACTTCATATCCCCCCTTAAACATTCATGCAGTTCAGGGGTCGGCAACCTAAGGCCCATGTGCCACAAGCAGCCCACGGGGGTTGTTTGACCGGCCTATGAGCCTCCCCCGAACCGAGCTGCCCGCTCGGTGAATCCCCTTGCGCTGCGCTAAACCGGTGCAGCATGGCATGGGGACTCGCTTCTGCGGCACCGGAAATTGCTTCTGCACAGACGCTGGCAGTACAGGCATGCTCGGCTGGAGTGAACCGGCCCAGGAGAGGTAAACCTTGCCGACCCCGATGTAGTTGCTGGCTAGATGTAAATATGCTTGCTAGATTCCATCAGTTAGTGGTGTGCAGTTCCTTCAGGTGCATATGTCTGTCCTTGAAGCTGATATAATTTTATTATTTGTATCCTGCCCATCTGACTGGGTTGCCCAAGCCACACTGGGTGGCAAAATCATAATGAAGCATTAAACATTAAAAAAAACTTTCCCATCCCAATATTTGGTTTCAAAATTGAAGGTAGCTTAAAGAAAATGTGTAGTGATGGCACTAAATAACATTAGGCTTTGAGAACATTTTAAAGAGTTTGAATGAGAGCACAAAGCGTAGCTGGGTAAAGTGTCAAGAAAGTAAAAGACGATTGAGAAGCCCAAACTCTACAATTCTATGATTCTGTGCTTTAGCTGAGATTCCTCCATTGCAGGGGGTTGAACCAGATGACCTTTGGGATCCCTTCCAACTCTACAATTCTATGAAAACAGCTGTTCCAGTGTTACTGTGGATCATCTTGTGTTTTACAGACATACTGAAAAATAGCTAAAGAAACATTATTGGGTTTTGTAGGCATACTGGAAAATAGTTACAGAAACATATTATTTGTAAATTGGAATGGTCAGACATGAGTTTCTCCAGTGAGGCTTATTAAAACAACAACGGTACCAAGCTCAATCTTTTTTCAGTGTTCCTGTTTCATATAAATACACCAGGGATTTGAAGGGCTTACTCAGGTTAGTCAAATTTTACAGTAACTCTGCTAAATTGGTTTTAGTTCACTACCTATCAGGTTCACGAACATGATGTGCAAGCTTGTAATAGGTAATAGAGTGGTACCTCTGGTTGCGAATGGGATCTGTTCCAGAGGCCCGTTTGCAACATGAAAAGCTTGCAACCTGAAGCGCCGTATCTGCGCAGGTGCTCGGCGTGATTTGGTGCCTCTGCGCAGGTGCAAAGCGCGATTTAGCGTTTCTGCGCATGCACAAGTGGCAAAACCCGGAAGCAACCCTTTCCGGTACCCGGGTTGCCACGGGACGCAACCTGAAAAAACGTATCATGAAGCAAACGTAACGTGAGGTATGACTGTACGGCATGTGTGCAAACTTACTTAAATGGTCTGTATTGATGAACAAAGTTACTGCATACCAGTTCAAGACTGTTGGTCCACCTTGCACAGTATTGCAGCTCTCTAAAGAGTTTCATACAGGAGTGAGTATTTCCCACCCTTAACAGGAGATGCTGTGGATTGAAGCTGGAACATTTTTCATGCAAAGTACATGCTTTTCCACTGAGCCTACAGTATGATTTTTGCATACATCAAACTGAATCTAGTTTTTATGGACTGTAGAAGCCAAACATAGTTATATATATATATATTTGTAAGAAAAGCTGCCAAGAACACGAAATTTATCCATTCTCTGGTTTCAAATAAGTGCCACAAAACTTGAAGCTATATTCTGCATAACAAAAACGACAGTGTCCGTAGAAGTTTGCAATATAGAAATAAATGCTTTGTGCTTTTGTGGTGTTGCTAACACTCTGTAATTCTGGTCATTTTCTTCACAGGAAGTAGAAATGTTAAGTAGTTCAAAAGCCATGAAGGAGTTAACAGAAGAGCAGCAGAATTTGCAAAAAGAACTTGAATCTTTGCAGACTGAGCATGCTCAAAGAATGCAAGAGTTTTATGTTGAGCAAAGGGACTTGGAGAAGAAGTTAGAGCAGGTAATAAAGCAAAAATGTACCTGCGATTCTAACTTGGAAAAGGACAAAGAAGCAGAATATGCAGCTCAGGTGAGCACAAAACATTAGTTTAACCTGGTTGTTGGAGGTCTTTGCTTGTTAATTACCTATGAAATTGCTGCTGGAGCATAGCAAATAGCTGAGAATACTTTATATTGCAAAGGCATGTAAAACTTGTAACAGATACAGAAATTATGCATTTAAAGCCATAAATACAGTGGGTTTGGGCCAATACACTCACACCCACACCCTCACCCTCTATAGACAGTTTTAAAGAAGATGGTTTAATGTATTATGATGATGATGATGAGGATTTTGATGATGATGCCTGACTTAAATTTTTGATGCAAGTTTGGTATGTCCCCTAAATTCTTGTTAAAAAATTATCCTCTCTGATTATAGAATGGGTTTTATTAAGCATTTGGTATCACCACTGGAACCACAAATATCAGCATGCTTTAAAAGACTGGCATGTGTTGAGTATGGTTGATTTTCTGTACCAAGCAGGGCCTGTAAAAAGTATTCCTTATATAGTTTTTATGTTAAATTCATTTTTCAGTTCCAGTCAGTACACTGATCTATTTTTGTGCCTTAGTTCTATTATGGATTAATTTAAGCTTTTTCAGTTTTATTAACTAGGTATGTCTCTCTTCCCCTTCTTCCCCAATTTATCTTCTTAATAAATGGACTAAAGCCCTTATTAGAGATGCTAGTGAGTTGGCTCTACCACAGTCAGCTGACTAATCCAAAAGAACCATAGTTTTGATATATTTAAGGCAGGGGATTTTACTTTCCCACTGAATTGTGGCTTGAGACTTATACCTTTGGGTGTCATAAGTAGTATTCCCTTGAGTGTACTGACTGGCAGATTACAATGACATCCTTTTTAAAAATAATAATTTTTATTAGTTTTCAATTACAATCCAATAATAGCCTCATTATAACAAAACCAGGTTATAATACAATTATTATTACCAGTTGTTCAAATTCCATATTATATAATTTAGATAAAGTGCCTCCTCGCGTGCTAGATTTGATGCTTTTCTATATTTCTGCATGCCAAAATCTTACTAATTTCCATTACTTTCTGGTCATAATAATAATCCCTTCTACAACAACTGCAATATTAATAACATCTTCTAGTGTTGACACATTAAATGATTTATAAAACTACAAGTGAGGAACTCAAACTATATGCTTGTTCTTCCTGTGTATGGCAATTATTCTGTCTGTGGTGTTTCTTCCTGTCCTTGTAAGATGCTATGTCTTTCTTATCCCCGGTTGTTGCTGTTATCCGTCATGCCTTGGTTGGAGCTGATATCTCATTGTTCCAGAAGTTTATCCATAGCTCTGTCCCGTGCGTCATTGCTTTGCAACTTTTTGCAGCTGCAAAAGACACTCTGTCCCAGTAAATAACCTGTTTTCACCATTTTCCCTCTCCGCCTGGGAAGAAGAGCGGTTCGTCGAACTGCAGATGACTCAGTAAAGAACCTTATCAGTTCTTTGGCAGTTCACAGACTTCTTCATCCTTCCTTCCAACTGAAGATAAATGAGCAATCATACTTCCAATAAAATTAAATCCCAAGTCCTCTTAGTGTTATTCAGTTCACTTCGTAAATAATAACAGACGGGGAAGAGTCATCTCTAAGTTTCCATCATAAACCTTTTGCAAAATAGAGCTTCCTTCCCTTTTCCCTTTTTTTGCACACAGTTCCGTTTGATGTTATATTCCATATTTATAATCCAGTTTCTTCCATCCCTGCTTGTAGAACTATAATTTGAACTAACATTCAGAGGAGAGTTGCTGAATCATAAATGTAGAGAAGAAAACTTTAAAGAAACCGTAGGCTCCCCTCCCCCCACATCTTTTGCGCCGAAATAAGTCTTATCTCAAGTTCAGACCTTAAAGTCCTTGCAGTTGGTTAGTTCTGCAGTTTGTGATTTTATCTCTTCTAGTACTCGCCCGTACTTTAGTCCAATTAAGCTCTAGTTAACAGGAGAAGCTCTGCTTCTTAATGGCGCTATTAGAGGGCTTTTGGCAGGCGAAGTGCTTTTGCACTCAGAGCCTCCCTGCCCCTCTCATTCCATGCTGGAGCGAGACCCAGTACTGCAAGTGAAGCCCGTTCCCTGCCCCCACCCCTGGGGGGAATTTGCAAAGAAAATTACCCTCGATCCTTTGCCAACAATCTCCCATTATCATAGGGGCTGCCTCCATTAAGGCAGAGAGGAACTGGAAGCCCAGATCTAAGACATCATTGGGGCATTAGTTCTGAAGAGGAGATTAGAATAATATCTGACAGGGGAAACTAGAGTTAGACCTTTTCCTCTTATTTGAATGGGAGTCAAGCCCATACTTCTTTACTTAGGATAACAACAATAATGGATTGTTATCCTAGATCGTATCCTAGAATCATAGCGTTAAAAGAAACCCCAAAGGTTATCAAGCCGAATTTCCGCTCGTAAACAAGCTTACTAGCCTTGTAGGAGGCCAGGAGCTGGTGTTTCTGTGCTGGTTGAAGAAGAAGGGAAGACCCTTATCCCATTGCTGTCATGGAAACACAAGATGCTAGGCTAGTGTAAATAAAAGTCTTCTGTCAAATGGCCCAGCAGAGGAGGATCAGAACCTGAAGAGGGAAAAAAAGGTTTCCTTTTCTCCACAGCCATCTTGGAAACCAAGCAGATTGCTAGAGGAGGAATGGAGACATTCATCCCTCTTGCCTCCCCTCTCACACACCTGTGTGGAATCTATGCAGGGAATTCCCGATCAACTGTGGCCTCTGGATTGAATCATTAAATACAAGACTGACTTAATGATGGAGCTGTTCATTTTTAAACACTCCAGTTCTCATTAAAGGTTATACCATGTTACCCTGGTTGTCGAACTTAATCCATTCCAGGAGTCTGTTTGACTCCCAGAACCATTCGAAAACCAAGCACTCAGTTGGAAGCCACGTCAGACATTTGGCTTCCGAGAAGTGTTTGCAAACCGGAACACTCATTTCCAGGTTTGTGGCGTTTGGGAGCCGATTTGTTCAACAACCAAGATACCATTGTATGTAGTAGAAAAGGTCACAATTTTTCCTGCACATGGGTAGCTTAAGCAATCTGAACCATGCATGAATTGACCCTATATACCACTGATTTTACTTCAAAGTAAGTGTATGTAAGATCCCATAATTAGATTGTAAATCATTTGTTAGGAACACTTTCTAGTATGCTGGTAGTAAAGAAATCCTGTTACATTTGTTCTGAAATGTAAAATTTATACTAAAGCTCTCCACTAGATGGCTTCTATAGCTCACGAATTCCAGAGAAATCTTGGTCTCATATTTCTGTTTGCTAAATTGGCTTATGTGTGTCATGAGGAATGCATTTCCCAGAGGACAGAATGGCCCGGTTCATAATGTTGAACTGTGGTTTAATGTGAATGAGTAATGTGCTGGTGCATGCTTCTTGAAATTCTCCATTTTGGTCCTACCTCACTTTTGGTCACAACAAACCACAAGCCTTGACTTCTTGTGACATCTGAACTTGGAACTGTGGTTTATGTCAAGACTAGCCATGACTAGTAGCCAAGGTTAGCTCTTGGTTTACTGCTTCATTGTTTGGGGAAAACAAACCATGAGCTGGATTCAGGCGACACGAGAAGTCATGACTTGCGGTTTGTTGCCCCCAGTGTGGTGTGGGGAAGAAGCAAGGGGGGAATCTTTGAACTGACTACGCCAGCACCCTGCTTGTTTGCATTAAATCACAATTAAACATGAACTGTGGTTTAATGTTGATTACAGTCATTGTTGCCTTAGATCAAATTATGGCCTCGCACAGGCCAGCATATTACCAAGGTCCGCTCCTGCACACATATGCGTGTCTATTTTTGCCTTTTGCTAAGTTGCTTTGAAGGAAGGGTGAGATACAAGTCAAATAAATAAATAAATAGAAATGTGATGCTGATTACTATGCACTGAATATTCTGCATTTCCTGTTTTGCCACTTGTGGCCTCCCCTTTGCTGTCACCCCGCCTCTGCACCTCTCTTAACTGCATTGCGTGGTGAGATTTTGCTGGAAACTAGTGCTGCTGGCGGCTAATTGCAGGCGATTTGGGGACTGCCGCTTGGCTTCCACTTTTTGAAGCAGGCACCTCACATTGCCGCGTCAGTGGGCTCGAGTGTACATACCTTACTTGATGTTGTTTCAGAAACAACTGCATGGTTTCTAGAGTTGTATGGATGGGGATGCATTAAGAAGTTTTTTAACCTTTTCTCTCCTTTTAAAAATTTGCAGCTGGCAGAGCTAAGGCAGAGGCTGGATCACGCTGAGGCCGATCGACAGGAGCTTCAAGATGAACTGAGACAGGAACGAGAAGCGAGGCAAAAGTTGGAGATGATGATCAAGGAATTAAAACTTCAGATTCAGAAGTCTTCAAAAAACGGCAAAGGGAAATGAAAGTGCCAACCAGATTGTATCTGCACTTTCTCAGCAGGGCTAATAAATGTCCTGCCAAGGGGAAGTCAAGCCATGGATCAGCGAAGGTATTGGGACAATCATGGGGAACTTTTCCTATGTGAGCAGAGCATCAATGGAGTAGGAGTTGTTGCAATTCCCAATCATTTCAATGACGTTTTGCACAAGAGAAGTTCCCAGTAGATTGTGTCCGATTTATGCATTCAAATCTTTAATGATACACCTTTGTAAAACTTCCAGACTGACGAAATCTGTATTTATGTTGCTTTCTTCCCTTCTTTTTTTTAATGGTTTTGAGCAGTGTTGAAACCACTGGTTGTATCCAGCACTGCTATTCTGCTCGCAAAGCAGACTTTCACTTGTACAATGGAACTTCCTCTTCTTCTTTTCTCCCTATACCCCCCCTGCATATCCTCAAATCAGCTCTTGTAGGTTGGGGGAGCTTCCAGAGCAGATTTTGGGGGACATGCAAGGAGAGGAAGAGGAAGCATTGGATACAACTCGTAGTGTTTTACACTCCTCAGTGTAACTTTATTTTACAAGCTGTTTCGAGGGCTCTATATACTTTTTACTGAATGCAACTTTGGTTTCTTTCAAAATATGCAGGAGCTGCATATTTGCTTTCTATTGCATGCAGTCCATTTTCATAAAATGGTTTTTATAGTTCCAAGAATCTAAAGCAGAAAGAAGAGATTGTAGAGAATTTGCTGCCATGCATTGTTCTAGCCTGATACTTCATTTTGATTATTAAAGCTGGATTGAGAACTGCTAACTGGTATTATTCAACAGTGAACATTTTTCAAAATGCAGATTTTCACACAGTTAACTGTCCGTTATTAACTGTTAAAATGCCAAATGCCAATTCTTTCAGTACCCTGCTGAATGCTGTTATGAAGAGGAGTTGCTGAAGTAGAAACTGAGATATTTTATTTTCAAAGCTTCCTATTCACTTTCAGGTTCTTTGGGTAACTCTTCAAGCAATGATGACAGAAAATTTCACCTTTGATACAGTTATTTGAGGATTCCCAAACACTTTTGGAAGTTTGAAAATGTCAGCCTTATTTTGTAGAGTGGCAATTTTAACCCTCAGCTGAGTGGGTTACTTCATTAGCAATAAAGTTCTCATTCCTGGATTTTCTTTGAGCACAGGAAAGTGGGTGGTCTTGACATTTTAAAAGTATTTTAAAAGTTGAGGGGGAACAAATGGAGTCTGTGATATTGTGAAAGTGATGCTAATAAGGTTCTTTTAAACGGCAAAGTAAAATTGCTATCATTTGTAAACAACATAGTTATTAAACCTTTACTTCTTTTGAAAAGAAATGCTAAGATCCTTATTGGGACATCTGACGTATAGTGTGGTGATAGGCTGGTGCCAGTAATCAAGTAGTTCAGTTTCAGTGTTTTTTCCAATGGAAACCAAACAGATAAAGTATATTAACAGAAGGGAAATAAATTGGTGGATTATTAAATTTTTTTTTAGATGCTTACGTATAAACTTCAATGGACAATTTTTTGGTTGGTGGAAACCTGAGTACAGTTTGGATTATCCAGAAGGAAAGGCAGTTCTGTTATATAGAAGGTAAAATAGATCAGGTAGACAAATGTCTAATTGCTCCAAAGTATTGTATTTGAATGGCTTTTGGTGAAGAGGGGCGGGGCGGGGAAATCATCTTCAAAACCTAGGCCTATATTCAGATCACTGAACATAACAAGCAACGTGACCAATATATTTCACAGAAATTCTAGCTGTGTTGCCCTGTCCTAGCTATAGGTGCTACATGCCATTGAGACCACAAAAATGTGTGTGGGATACGCATTGCAACATGGAATGGGATGGTGCCTTTGCACGAACAACCAGATCCAGCTCACTGGGTGAGACAGACCTGCTGCTCTAGCTTTCCAGTAAGTGAGTTGCTGTTGCTTACTGGAAATGGGTGGAGATGTCAGATCACGGCAAGCACACATACAGGGTAGCTGCATTTGCACCCCAACCTCCCTGCCACATCCCCTACTCCCTTCCGGTAAACAGCATCCCCACCTGCTAGGAATCTAACATAGTGGCTCTGTCTCACTTGACAAGCCACTTCTACAAACGACAATTGCAGATAGTGATGTCCATCTCTGTGTGCATCCCCATCTGATCTGCACGTTGTGGAGGCCTGCTACATATGTAGACCCGGAGCATTTACCGTATTTTTTGCTCTATAAGACTCACTTTTTCCCTCCTAAAAAGTAAGGGGAAATGTGTGTAAGTCTTGTGGAGCGAATGCAGGCTGCACAGCTATCATAGAAGCCAGAACAGCAAGCGGGATTGCTGCTTTCACTGCGTAGCAATCCCTCTTGCTGTTCTGGCTTCTGGGATTCAGAATATTTTTTTTCTTGTTTTCCTCCTCCAAAAACTAGGTGCGTCTTGTGGTCTGGTGCGTCTTATAGAGTGAAAAATACGGTTTGTTTTAATTTTTTAAAAATATACACTCTTTATTTAGGGACCATTAAAAATACCATTTCCAGTTATGTTTTGCTGGCCTGGGCTTTTTGGGGGGAAGTAAGGGTGGGATAGAAACTTAATAATAAAATAATTTCTTTTTTTCAGCTCTTTAGCTCCCCAGAGTGATCACAGCAATCTAAATTAATAAAAAGAAACCAATGGAATCATAAAACAATACTATAATACGCATAGCAACAAGCAGGTGACAATATAAAACGAAACAGACTAAATGCCGGGCAAAATAAAATGTATAAGTGCATTTCTGGATTTAAGGGTACAGGATGTGCGCATTCTCTGTCCTTTGATAAGTCCACAAATCAGGAGCCAGGCCGTCTTTAAGGGCAGCTCCATATAAAGCAAATTATAATACTTCGGTGAATATGTTACCAGGGCATGCAAAACAATAGCAAGGGCCGTGCCACCCAGAAAGCAATGCAGCTGTTACACAAACTGAAGCTGGTACAGCACACCTCTGGCCACATAAAAATGAAAATCCAGAAGGACCCCCTGAATCCAGGAACCTGGAAAATTTATATCCTTTTTTAAATTCAAATTTATATTTATATTCAAGGGGAAGTATGACCGTCTTAGAACAGGTAAATCCACAATTTCTTGGGGTGTTAAAACTCTCAGCAAAAACAGATCCATCTTAACTGGATTGAATTTGTACATCCAGTGTCTATAATTAGGCCTTAACCATTACACCTGCACCTGTTGCAAAGGATAAAAGGGCTGAGTGATGTTGATAGTGCAACACCCTGTGTTCTTGGACAATTTCCCCAGCAGTTGAATGTAGATGTTAAATAACACAGGGATTGGAAAACAAACTTGTGAGACTCCATAACACAGCTGCCAAGTTTGTGGGTGGAGATCAAGACCTGGTGAAACAATTGTGTGCTTACATCCCAAGCAGTCAGCTTGTGCGTCACCACAAAGCTTTTTTTAAAAAAATGGTTGGTTGGAGCTGAACCTAGTAGAAAACGAAGTCTTGGGATTGGACATTGCTGCCTAAAATGTACATCTTAAGCAGCTAAAAATGCTAAATGCTGTCTCTGCCCACATTTAACTGTTCACCTCATAGTGCTCCTAATATGTAATATGTTTTGCATGCCTTTATTTGCTGTTTCAATAATAGTGCAGTACTACTGAAGAAATAGCTAAATTTTAATGAGAAATATTATGCTCACATGTTTGGGTGTTTTGCATCCTTAAATATTATTGCAGTAGAATATACCAATTTCAATATTTTATTTTGCCAGAATAAATTCTGATTGTGTTCGTTTTCAAAGCAGGCAAGCATATTCCACTGTTGGTCTTAACAAGTTATTTGTTCATATATTCTACTAGTTCAAGTACAACATGCTTGTGAATTTTTTTTTGCATGCTAAAGTATTTTGCTGCTATTTAGCACATTTCAGACAAATGGGGGAAGAAGTAGAGCTAAGTATCACACATGCTTGTTCTACATTCTAAGTTATCTTATTGGTAATAACTCCATACTTGTTTCAGTCTTTAACTTGTTTAGGCATTCAAGTGATCAATCAAAAGTAAATTGATTGGTTGCTCTTGGCATTTCTCTTACTTTCCTCTTAGGAAGTATGATCCTATAAACAGAATCAGAAAGACTATTGCCAGTGGCCCAGGGTAGTCAGCAGAGGTAGATTCCTGAAGCAGTTCTTGGGATATGTGGGAAAAGGTTATATTTGGGTCAAAATCACTGAACCTAGATTATTTATCCATTGATTGCACACCTAAAAACTGAAAACTAGGAGGAATATCAATGTTAGTCATAGTTGGAATTGATCCACTGAAATCAATGGACTTAACTCACTCCGATGCATTGATTTCAGTGGGTCTACTCTTGGAAGTATGACAAACATAGGTTATCATCTTTTATTTTGTGGTAATGGTAATCCAATAGATCGTTGTGCTCCCCACTAAAATCAGTGAGCACATCTGACTCTGTGTTGAGTTGTGGTCACTGTTCTGCTATTGCATGTCAGAAATGGAAGCTACTATTTGATTTTCAAAGTTCTGAGTCTGTTTTATCTAGTACTTTTCCCCCTTTGCAAGGTAAAGGTGAGTTCAGACATAAAATTTTGCTTCTCACACAGTTATCTCAGGAGATAGTTTTTCATGTAGAGATGGAAAGCATTAAGTAGATGTCGTGTGTTGTTGACCAGTGGTAATAACTAGTTGTAGGAGCTGGGGAAATCTTGCAATTGTGGAGGTGGCTGTTGATCAGTAACCAAGTTAACTTGCTAACACCTTTCATTAGTAATATATGTAAAGTTTGAACTGACTCTAAGAGAGTGTTTGAGCCATTTGGTACTTAACTCTTGGGATGCTAGCAGTTAGCCAATGTTTGCCAAGGAGAAGCCTGGCCTGATCTTAGTCCAGGGATGGGCCTGTTCTAGATGCTGCTAGACTACAGTTCACATCACTCCCCGACCATTCCCAATTGGCTGGGGTTGATTAGATTTGGAGCCCAGCAACTATTGGAGGACAACAGGTTCTTTATCCTCTGCTACAGAAAGAGTTGAGCCACCACTGAACTTTGGACACAATCCTTCCTGAATGTTACTGCAATATAATGCCTTCCTTCTTTCTGCCCCAATTTTCCATTATAAAAGCAGTTTTATAGTACGAATGATGTCACAATTTGTTATCATGTTTCTATTTAGATAGGATTTGGTAACTAAAATGCAAAGATCACCAGTGTTTGTCCTAAACGTTGCTATAGTTGCAACACATATCGGAGATGAACATGTGGCAACTTTGACTATATTTTAGATGTGTTCGTAGTAGTAATAATTGGTTGATGTGTGTGAGAGAGAGAGAGTGAGTGCCACTTTCAGGTTTGTTTAACGTCTCTGAAAATTTGTAAAACCAAATGACACACCAACTTATAATCAAAGAAATCATAATTGTAACCCTTAAATTGAACAGTTAATTTCAGCCTCCTTTACATAAGACTTCCCTAGATGTTAAGTAATTAATACATAGAAGCGTGCCATAGGTGTCCATAGCCACCAAGAGATAGTTTTGTAGTAAATTGTAAATAGTCTATGTTTTACAGCAGCTAATTTCTTACGTTTATCTCTTAACATGACGTACCTAATGGGTGATTTACTCCATGCCTATATAGCTTGAATTGCATACAAGGCTTTGCCCATTTACAGAGACCTATGACAAATTTTCCTGTAAATTCAAATTTGCTCTTTTAGACTTAGCATGCTCATTCTGTATGTTAATAATTACTGAAAGCTTTTCTTTAAAAGTCATCCCTGTGTTGGCCTTTTAGATAGGTTTGTTTCCAATTTGTCTTCTCCATTAATGTTTCTGAAAAGCACTAAAAACCATACCATTAGAAGCAAGGCTGCCAAGAATACTTTTAAGAAAAAATCTGCTTCTTGGTATCCCTGCTTTTAAAAAACCAAATAGTGCAGGGTGCGATAGACTCTGCAGGAAATGTTAGGGAGCGAAGTATCTTACCATTATGGCAGCCCTAAAGACTTTCATCCGCACTTGAAGACACAAACCCTTTGACGTTCGATCAAAAAGCTTTTGCAAAGTGTGTTCAGACAAATTGTTCTTTTACTTTCCAGTAGGTCTTATATCACTTAGCTTGAGTATTTGAGGTAAACATGGTAGTTATGGGGTATATTTTACATTCTTGGATTAATTTTATTATATATTTAATATATTGATAGCTGTAAAATCATTTGTACATAGTTAAGGTATCGTAATGCAACCCCTGCAGTAGACTAGGCTGTGGGGACTGTAGAGTACTATGAAGCAGTTTTGCCTACTCGCTGCTGCTTAGTTCCACATTCTTGGAGCCTCTAGTGACCTGTACTTCCACTTTTCCCTTAGCTTCCGTTTGAAAGGGCAGAATTTGCCGTAAAAACAGCTGCGTGAATGGCTGACTGATGTACCTTGGAGTCATTTTCACAGGGCTATGTAGCTGACCTCAAAACACTTTCCAAGTCAGCTTCCTATGCTAAAGTTCATTTGATCTTAGAAAAGCATAACTTTTTCTTTACACAGGAGAACGCGGATAAATATATACCATTAACATGTTTTAAAACCCTGATAATATAATGTAAGAAAATACTTAAATTCTCTTGTAATCCTATGCTTGAAATATTTATGCTGCAGCTGTAAAATATCTCTGTCCAGGAAATGGCAGCTTGATCTCTTTGTTATACTTGCTCTGCAACGTTTTCATCCATTACATCTGTGGTAATGTGAGGCAGTCCATAATTCCCGTCCTGGAATTCTTTTGATATTTTTTGTTGTTGCAGATGCTCTCTATTATAAAAGCAAAAGTCACACATTAAACAGATTGCACAACTTTTTTTCTTTTTTGTAAACCCACAATATAGAGGATACTTTGAATTCTCTGGTGCTCTGAAATATTCAAGCACAGTGAAACAAGTTCTTATTTCCCCCCAAATGAATATCCTGATAAGTATAGCAATCCATTATATTCTTTCAAATACCTCACCTTAAAGAGAAAGGAAGCACAGTTGTAATGTATCTAAATCACTCTAGTGAATCCATACAAATTATTGGTTTGTAAATGTCCGGATGTAGCTGTGTTGCCTTCCAGAATAAGCAAGTCTATGACAAACTTCTATTTTGTATGTGTTCATGATGCTTTTGAAAGTATTTATTGATGCTGATACCTTAATATATTTCCACAATCTAGAGCAGCATGTGACCACCTTCTGTTTGCTCAGCAGGACCTTTGGTATTTACCTGGACCAGCAGTTTATCATGCCCATACAGCAAATCATTTTTGAAGTTTAAAAATTAGTTTGCAATATGTCCTATGGTTTGCTGTTCATATATATCATATATGGTTTGCTGTCCAGCTGGGCATATACAAAAGTCATTGGACAAACATAAAGTACCTTTCTGGATTGCGACAAGATCTTTAAAGAAAATAATTTATAGACTTAATAGGTCCTGCAAAACATTCAAGGCAACAGGTGGGATTACTGGAGTTTAAAAAAATCAAAATCAATTTTTTTAAAAAAAGGTTGGTGCATACCAATAATTTTTGACGTTTTGCCAATGATGTACAGTTCTACGGTTGGAGTTGCTGTAATTGCATTACATGACACACAAAGCTGGCCTCTACCTCATGTGATACAAAAACAGATATTTTGTATGGTTTTAGTAAAACAAGATACATTTATCTGGTCACTTAGTTTACAAATTTTGAATTCTATTTATTGAAACATGACATACTGTGCTCTTAGCTTATACCTCAATTGTATTTTGTGCAGTTTTCCATTTTTCATGCATTGTAAATATCCTGTATAGATTGTGGATCCACATACAAATAAAAACAATTCTAATGTCAAGCACTTTACGTTTTGTGTACTTTGTACATATAGTATGTGAATTGGGTGTTTGTTCAAGATATTTCTCAATGCTAGTTTTGTGCATTTGACAATGTACCATTCACTCTAGTATTCATAACGGCATAGATCAGCAGACCTGTAAGGCTGGGGACAGACAATAGTTTTAAGAGAGTTGAATGCCGTCGGAGACATCATGTTTGCACATTTCAGTTACCCCATGTTTGCTTCTATTCAAAGAGGTTTTTCAGGTATTTCAGTTAATGTAAATAACTGTACAAAGAAGGTAAAAGTGGCTTGAATATAAATATCATGATAGGGGATTCCCTTTCAGTTCCTTGTGTGTGTGTGTGTGTAGTCCTTTTCAAGAAAACTAGTTTATTTCTTTCATTCTTAGTATGTGACAGCAAGAAAAGAATTGTATTTCCTGCAAGTGTGTGTGTGTGTGTGTGTGTGTGAGAGAGAGAGAGAGAGAGAGAGAGAGAGAGAGAGAATTAAGACATTTTGACCCAATGACAACTGTCCTTAATACATTTTTAAAAATACTGCACAAATACTTTCCTACCATAAAGAAGAAACACACATTTCTGGCTATACATGAATCTGGCAATTGATCAGTAAGTGAAATTCTGACCAGGCTGGCAAAATTCTGACTGGCTGTCAACACTGCTCCTCTTACATGTAATGGGTTGGAGCATTTATTATTATTATTACATTCTCTGAGTAGGGAATGATGCAATTTAAAAGCCAAAAAATAGAATAGATGAAAAGCACCAGCAGAAAATTACATAAAAGAGCATTAAAAAACTAAAAGATTTAAATGAAAAATGCCTTGTATGGCAAGGAATGAAATGTATATGTTGTTCCCTTATACATGATGGGCTGGCTTTCTGTGCAGGTCCATAACTGCATAGTAATCCAAAGTACTGCCTTCTATGTGTGAATGAGCCATCACAGACTGAAAAACAGCAGCAGGAATTGTATAAGCAGCAACTTGTTCACCTGTCAGTCATCAAGTGTTGAGTTCTGCAGCTCTCAGGTTGGTCTTGGGGCTGGGGGAACAGAGCCCTGGATGTTGGACTTGAGGTCGATCTCTAGTGGCATCACTGATTGTGAATAGTTCATGTCATAGGCACATACATTGTGTGAACCAGCCCTATGTACAGCAAACTTAACTCTCCTGGGCTTGTAGCTGTGTACTTAATCAGTCTAGAGTGCAGTTCCAGAAAAAATCCACTAGTGGTCACTGCAGGCATATTTTATCAGTGGAAAGAAACCGAGATGTTCGTCTGCTGCACTTTCTGCACGAAGAATATTTGAACGTTTGAAGCACCAGAAGAAGCAGATTCTCTTTAGACTCTTCTCATTTGTGATTCAAACAGCCAGGATGCGGAGTGAATTTTGTTCTATTATTACAGAACTTCTTCATGCTAAATTAAAATGCATATTAAAACAGTATGCTTTTAAAAGAATTTATTGTGAGCATCATAAATTACACTTTGCTTTTAAATGCATTGTTTCCATATAGCTGTGTTTAGGATTGGCGGTTGAGCTGGCATCTTCATCATACGCCAGGCGCCAGACAGAAAAGGTTGTTCTTTAACCAGGCCTTCGGCTGGTTAACATCTGATACCCTCTTAACTTTATGTATGGAAAGGAGGGCTGTTATCAGTTTGTTTTTGTTCTTGCTTTTATTATGCATTTTGTGCTTTTTATCCTGTATTTTGGTGTTGTGAGCCGCCTTGGGATCTTTAATTAATAATAAAAATCACTTAGATTGGGCGGGGGACCTGTGACCCTCCAGATACTTGCTTTCCCCCCCTGATTTGGGTAAGGCAATAAAAGTGCTGAATTAGAGTTTGAAATTAATAATAAAGTGGATGATGCCCTACCCCAGGGGTCTGCAACCCGCGGCTCCGTAGCCACATGTGACTCTTTTACACCTTTGCCGCGGCTCCGGGGTGGATACTAGCGAGGGGAGGAGGCGCATTGTGCGCCCCGACACTCCCCACTGTGGCGGGTGCTGTACTGGCTGTGACGTCGCATGGGGGCGGTGCGTGCGTTAGTCACGCACCGTCCCGACGTCACCTTCCCGCCCGCCCGCTACATTGTAAGGGGCATGTACGCTGGTCACTGTTTTGAAGGGGAGTGAAGAACACACACACAAAAAAGGTAACTTGTTAATTTAACGTTTATTTCTATGAGGAGGAGTAATTCTGAGGGGTCAAACAAAGAAATAATAAAAAAGTGACAAAAAAGTTATTTTTATAATGACGAGTTTTGCGGCTCCCAGTTTTTTTTTTCTTCGGAAACGGGTCCAAGTGGCTCTTTTTGTCTTAAAGGTTGCAGACCCCTGCCCTACCCCTAAAAAAACCACCTCAACCTGATGAGACGGATGCTGTTAATGAGTGGTTGGTTTGTGGATTCAATATTCAACCTGTTTGGAATGAGTTTGTACCCTTACCTCCCTGCCAAGCATCCAGCTTGCAGTAATTTTTTTTTTGGGGGGGGAGGGAGGTTCTGGCAGGCCAGCTGGCATCTACAATAAGGTATGCATTTAATCATCTAAGGATGCAAACCCCCCTCAGATAGAGGACACCTCCAGAATGCCAGTGTTTTGCAGGAGTGATACAGGTACATACTGAGGAATTTAGGCTGCACACGTAAAGTGGATTAAAACACTGTTGCTCCACTGTGACAAATCCACTTGGAAAAACAACAACAGACTTTTTGTGGTCAGGAGACTGATGGAGAAAGGCATTTAAAACTGTGGAATGAAAGAATGATCAATATCATCCATAGTAGGCCTTGTTGGGCATCTGCCAAGGCCCACGCCCCTTGCAATGGGGCCACTGCCATTCATGGGATCTTCCTGGTCTTGCAACTTTCTCTCTAGAAAAAAATAAATCACTGCCTCTCATTCTGGGACAGAGCCAAAAGAGCTTTGCAAAATCTGTCCTCACACTGCAGTGGATGGAGTTTTGCATTTATTTAACTCCGTTTATGAATCATTTCCTATAAAAGCTCTGGAGCCAAGTGAGGATTCCCAGGTAAGATCCTCCCTGTATTGTGTGGGCAGGTAATCCCTTCCCCTACCTGGCCTGGTCTCCTTGGCAACGCTTCCCCCAGGTGGGATTGGACAACTGACTGAGGTAGGCGGGGACCTCCAGGTATCCCACCTGAGGGAAGGCAAAGCCAAGCCTATGCTGATGGGGCCACTCCAGATCCAGGGCTGCGCACGTCCACGCAAAGGGCGCCCCCCGTTTTAAGCGGGGAGTGGTCATTCTGGGACAGAGCCAAAAGAGCTTTGCAAAATCTGTCCTCACGCTGCAGTGGATGGAGTTTTGCATTTATTTAACTCCGTTTATGAATCATTTCCCATAAAATATCTCAAAGCCATTTCATACACAATCAGCAAGCTCCCCGTACAAAATTTCATATATAACAATTACAAATACTTTCCTATGCAAAAATCATTTCAAATTCAGTACAGACATCGAAGGCTCTTCTGTGTCACACGGAAGGCCTGAGCCCCTATCTGTGTTGTAGCTTCTTCTGGCTTTTTTTTTTAGTTCAGTAGGCTAACTTCTCCCATTGTTTAGTTGGAGAGATATTTTTTTTAAAGAAAAGAAGGGGGGAGGGAGATGAAACACGCCGTTGGCATTTTGCATGACACCTCCCATCAAGCTGTGTGGGACTGGGCTCCTCCCAGAGGCCGAACTAACTGATGTGAGGCATCTTTGTATCCTCCAGCCCATCATCACATCAGCCTCCAGTCCTCTCTGCTGACAGCTCAAAGGCAGACCCTGCCACTTGTTGCTCCTCAGCCTCTACGCTTCTTTGACTCTTGCAGCAACCCTCAGCCACCTTCTTCTCTTAAGCTGCTGGGTTGCCTGGCTCACCGGCCCGGAGGAGAATCATGGTTGCCACCTGCTTGCACCTCACGGGATTTGTGGCTAGCTTTGTCGGCTGGATTAGCTTGATCGTGGCAACCTCTACCAATGACTGGGTCGTGACTTGCGGCTATACCATCACCACCTGCAGGAAGATGGATGAGCTGGGATCCAAAGGGCTGTGGGCAGACTGTGTCATGGCAACGGGCCTCTATCACTGCAAGCCGCTGGTGGACATCCTCATCTTGCCAGGTATGGGCTATCGAAAAACTCCCAAGGGCTGCTTGGGACTTTATGGCAGATTGAAATCAACAGTGCGGCTCCGATGGCTATTTGGTTGCATTCATGTGCAAGGTGCTTTTACAGAGTAACAAGCAAAAAATAAATAAATGAAAAGTCTGTCCCAAGGATCTTACAATCCACTGCTGGGAAAATAACAGGGACTGGAGGGAAAGAGGATGGGAGGAGAAAGTTAAGCATTCAGGGAAGTTAAGAAAGTTAAGTTCTACAAAATGGGGAAAGTGTGTGCAGGTATATTGACTTTGGTAGGTGCAAAATCTGGCTAAGAAATTATTAGCTTTTTTTTTTTTAAAGAGAAAGTTGCTTGGGTTCAGCTTTTTCTGAAAGTTTGACCAGGCAGCATTGGTCTTTAATCTTGTATGTTGTGGTTAGGGAAATGCACTCTGTGCATGCTCAGGCAAGCAGACGGTTATTATTTTGCAGAAGTGGAAATCTTGGAAACTCCACAGACGAAAGATGGATCAGCATATTCTTTTACCACCAAACCCCACTCTGGTTCTTACAGTTCAGTCCCAAGTATACACTAATTGGCTTTAAATTCCACTGAATTCAGTGGGAGTAATGATCAAATAAGGTACCTCACATCTGGATGCTGATAGGGGCATCTCCAGGTTTAATTTAGCGGGTATGGATGGTTGAATTCAAACTGAGGGCTTCTGAGCTTGCACTCTGTGCTATTACGATGGCTGTGGTAGAAGATATTTAAATGTCTGCAGAAGAGCAAATACTGGTTTTGCTCTTTTTTGTTATATTTACATGCTGCTTTGACATTCTTTCTTATACCGATTGGTAGGAGAGACAAAGGAGAGGGCTGCTTCTTCACACAGCTCGCAATGCATTTATGCAACTTGCAGCCACAAGGTGGTGGTGACGGTCGCAAGCTTAGGAATCTTTAGGAGGAGATCACACAAAATTCACAAAGGGTTAGAGAAGGGTTGTGGTGGATCAGTGAGAGAACATGCTGCGTACGCAAAATGTCCCAGGTTCAATTGTGCAAAGAGAAGCCCTTGTACAAGGCTTCCACCAAAGGGGTTCGTTCAGGACAGAACATCTGTTTTGCATGCAGAAGGCCTCAAATCTAATCCCTAGCATCTCCAGGCAAAGCTTGGAGAAATCCCTGGTTGATACACTGGGAGCTACTGTCACTGAGGCAATACTGAGCTAGCTAGACCAGTGGTCTAATTCAGTATAAGTCTGCTTGCTGCTGACTGACTACCAGTCATAAGGCTGATGTTGTTGTTTAGTCATTTAGTCGTGTCCGACTCTTTGTGACCCCATGGACCAGAGCACGCCAGGCCCTCCTGTCTTCCACTGCCTCCCGCAGTTTGGTCAAACTCATGCTGGTAGCTCCGAGAACACTGTCCAACCATCTTGTCCTCTGTCGTCCCCTTCTCCTTGTGTCCTCCATCTTTCCCAACATCAGGGTCTTTTCCAGGGAGTCTTCTCTTCTCATGAGGTGGCCAAAGTATTGGAGCCTCAACTTCACGATCTGTCCTTCCAGTGAGCACTCAGGGCTGATTTCCTTCAGAATGGATCGGTTTGATCTTCTTGCAGTTCATGGGACTCTCAAGAGTCTCCTCCAGCACCATAATTCAGAAGCATCAATTCTTCGGCGATCAGCATTCTTTATGGTCCAGCTTTCACTTCCATATATCACTACTGGGAAAACCGTAGCTTTTACTATGCGGACCTCTGTTGGCAAGGTGATAAGGCTGATATGCAATCTTAAAGTTCAGAGGCACAATGCTCTGAAGAATATGAGCTTACGGGGAGCAACAATGGGAGAGGCCTGCTTCTTGGTTTCCAGGGGGCATTGGACTGGCCACTGTGAAATAGGATGGTGGACACAGCCAACCTTTGGTCTGATCCAGAAGGCCTTTTCTTATAATCATACTTTTTTTGCTGTGCTGATAATGGATAGGATTAGGGTGATGAGCATGAGCCACCTACTATAAGCTCAAAGACGAGAGGAGGTTTGAACCAGAGACCTTCTGGTTCCACACTGTTAGCCCCTGCATGCTGTAAGCTCTCATGGGTGGGCAACTTGTAGGCCTGAAATACAATATGAGGAGCCTATCTGTGCAGGGACTCATGCAGTTCATCACTGCGTTAAAAGTTCCTTGCAATGCTTGCATGCTAGTGCAGTGTTCAAAAGAATATAAGAAGACTGCTTCTGGATGTAATCAGTGGTCTGGCTTCATGTGTTTCCCAGTAGGTACGAAGATGCCTCTGGGAAGCTCACAAGCAGTCTATGAATGCCTCTCCTGCTGTTGTTTCCTAGCAATTGGCATTTAGAGTGCCTCTGAAGATGGGAATCCCACATTGCTCTCATGACCAGCATCGCAGCATCATTTAAGTTGTGCACAGAGGCTCCTTGCACACTCAGTGTTCCTCTTTGCCAGCCTCTAGTTTGCTAACACGATAGGGCACACAGTTTGACTGCTTAACGTTCACCCAGTGTAAATGTCAGCAGAGGAATTGTGGTCCATGATGAATCCGAAGACCATGGGTCAAAGAATGCCTCCTGTTGCACCGTCCTGTGTTGCTTTCCAAACTATGTGTCTGGCTACGGTGTGTCACACGAACGTTCCCCATGCTCCTTCCGGGGCTGGAACCTCCAGTTTCCTAGTAAAACTGGATTACTGTGTCGCAAAACGATGCATGTCTAAAATGTGTGTCACCAACATGAAAAGTTTGGAAAGCTCTGTTCCGGGCCTTGTGGTTTTATGCTTGCTTCCCATAGGGAGCTGGTTGGCTGCTGTGAAAACAGGCTTGATCGGTCAGTGGACTGATCTAGTAGGCTCTTCTTATGTCCTTAAGCATCTTCTCTGTTATTATTTTTTAAAAAAATAACACCTAATATAAATGCTCTTTGCTCTTTGCTTTCTTTTCTTTTCTTTTTTTTAAAGGCAGTTGTTGGCCTTCATTGACAACATTGCTGTAGCAGTGGGTCAGACCAAAGGCCCATCTGGGCCAGAATTCTGTTCTCACAGTGGCCAACCAGATGCCCGTGGGAAGACCACAACAACACTCTCCCCACTTGTGATTCCCAGCAACTATTAATGGCCTTATCCTCCACAAATTTTTCTAAGCTCCTTTTAAAGCTATCCAGGTCAGTGGCCACCACCACATCTTGTGAAGAGGTACCAGGGTCAAGCCAGGACATTTTGCTGGTTGAAGGAAAAAAGAAAATGGCGCTCCCCCTCCTCTTTCTCTTCTTCTGCAGTCCTCACCACAACCACTGCTCCCCTCACAGCTGCCTCTTCGCAGTGGTAGGGAAGTAGAAGGAGGTCAGGGAGGAGTGGGTGGGGGTTGGCAGGGGGAATGGGCTCCTTGGATCTGCTGCCTGAGGTGATTGCCTCACCTCGCCTCATGGCTGGCCCGGTTCTGAGAAGTAGTTTGTTTTGTCTATCCTGATTCTTCCAACATTCAGCTTCATTGGATAGCTCTGGGTTCTGGTATTATGACTTCACAATGCTACTTGTGGACCTCTCAGATGAAACTACAGTTTCCAGGATTCAGAGCAGGCTTCCTCAACCTCGGCCCTCCAGATGTTTGTGGCCTACAACTCCCATGATCCCTAGCTAGCAGGACCAGTGGTCAGGGTTGATAGGAATTGTAGTCTCAAAACATCTGGAGGGCCGAGGTTGAGGAAGCCTGATTCAGAGTGTGTGTGCGCTTTACCGTAAATGTATTGTATGTAGCTGCTGTGGCTTGAGTGCTGGGAAAATGTAGCATCGCTGCAGTAGAATGTCTGGATACACGCAGCCCAGACTTTGGCTCTCTTGCAGGTAAGGAGTAACAGTTGCTGTGCAGAAAGCGAATTGTCTCAAAATACTCTTAGGAGAGTTTGAAAAGTCAAAATCCCAGTCTTTGTTTTCTCGTGGACACACCTGTGGAGAGCTTGCCATTTCGTTTGCTTCAGAAGCAGAATATCACACACACCAGCTTTTTTTTTTGGAGGCCCCTCGTGCATCACCAAGAAAAGAGGCCGAAAGAGCATGGCAGATTTGCATAAAATTTGCATATGCAAATTAGACACACAGCTTCACATTAATAAATAATTGTTATAAATTGAAACGTAATGCACCTCATTATAGTGGTGGAGCAGATGCCTAAATCCAGATGCTAATTGCTGATGGACAACTTCAAGGCCCCTACTTGCCCTTCTGAGGGTTTTTTGGCTTCGTGTGAAGCAATCATTTAAAGCATGTGAGATCCCCCCTCCCAAATCCTGGGAACTGCAGCTTACCCCTCACAGAGCTACAATTCCCAGCACCCTCAACAAACTACAGTTCCCAGGATTCTTTTGTAGGGGGAGTCATGCCCTTTAAATGAACACCATGTGTGCAGCCTAAACCTTCAAACCATACTTGAACTGATCAGCCCTTCAAACAGAGGAGTCCTTCAAATAGAGGGCTGTGCTCTGCAAAGGAGGACACATGCCCGTTACTCAAAGGGCATGGATGAGAGGAAGGGGCGTGCATGCATTCCTCTGTGTAAATGGATAGCCGTCTGGATAAGGCATCTGAACTGTCTCCAGGTTTTCAGATCTCCTGTATGAATATACCTTACTGCATCTTGTAGGAGGCACCTGAGTTCTGAACGCTTTTTCCTTCTGGCAGGGTACGTCCAGGCATGTCGGGCTCTGATGATTGCAGCCTCTGTTTTGGGACTGCCAGCTGTGTTCCTTCTGGTGACTGTCCTGCCTTGCATCCGGATGGGCAACGAACCTGGAGTGGCCAAGTACCGGCGTTCCCAGCTGGGAGGAATCCTGCTAATACTCTTGGGTAAGATTTGCGCACAGCCTGGCTCACTCACTTGCCATTGACGCCAGCCTAATCTGCAAAAGGCCAAGTTTTCCAACTGGGGGATGCAGTAGTATTTCAAGGTTTCCTAAAGGAAAGCCTGACTTTGTAGGAACCTGAGGAGAAAGATAAGGACTTTGCAAACATTACAGAACCCAGACTCTCAGAATGACCTAGAGGGTCCATTAAAAAAAGCGGAGACTGAAAAACAGTACACACTAAGGCAGCCTCCCCTAAGCCAGTGCTCTTCAGATGTTGCTGGACTACAATTTCCATAATCACTGAGCACTATCCATTCTAGCTGGGGCTGATGGGATTTGTAGTCTAGGGTTGCCAGACCTGCAGGACTGACCAGAAGTCTCCAGGGTTGCCTAGCCTCTTCCAGGTGGCAGAAGAAGGGCCTGAATCTCCAGGTGGAAGAAAGTGCCTTAAATTTGTTTGTTTGTTGAGAAGACTACGTGTGCAGCTTGCAAGCTTCAGCATGGCTGAAGCCAGCCTCAACTTATTGCATAGACTCTCTAAAGCAGCAGTTCTCAGATGTTGTTGGACTACAACTCCCATCATCCCTGAGCTCTGGCCTTGCTAGCTAGGGGTGATGGGAGTTGTAGTTCAACAACATCTGGGCACCCACAAGTCGAGAAAGGCTTCTCTAAAGGGAGGGAGGGTCTTGCCCTCCTTGCTCCCTGTCCATAGTCGCCTACTTGTTATCAGAGGCCCAGAATCCACATTCCTTTGTAAGAAAATATGAAATAATGTAAAACCATTTTTGCAGGCAAAAAACAAAAACAAACAATGTGTGTGGGGGGGTGACAAAAAAAATTCTGCACTGGGGTACCACCTGACCTTCTGACGCCTCTGCTCCCCAATTAACCTCCATCTCCAAGGCTCAGTGATGGGAGGGAGAGCAGAGGAACATCACCAGGGCCTGCTCCCAAATCTCAGTTTGGGGCCTTGAAATCTCAGGGTCTGAGATACTCCTGACCTCGCAACCCTATTGTAGCCACATCTTGATGACAGCAATTGGGGAAGGCTGCAGGAAGGCTTATTACTATTCCCCTGCCCTATCCCAGGAGCAGCTAACATTTTGCAAACAGAGTGCAAAGGCCTGGTTCACAGCTGTGGACCTTGCTGCTATAAAACCCTGGAGAGGGAGACTTGTCCCTGTGTGCCCTCCACAGCTCTGCTCAGTGTGGCAGTGGCTTGGAGCATCTCTCAGTCCAGTCTATGTTTCCCCCCCTTGCAGTGGGGTGGAAGACCCAGTCAGTATCACCCTGATAACAATGAGCTCCACAGTCTTCTCCAGCACCTGCGTATTCTCAAGGCCTCCTCATCTCCTAACAACAGGCCTCGGTGTCTTGTTTTCACCCGCTTGTTTAGCTGAGGGGGAGGTGGGGGGCGGCTGAGGAGAGAGTTGCCTCTTTGTGCCGTCCTGCCCTGAAGTCGGCTCTCTCCCTGTGGCAGCCAGAGCTGACATCATGCCTTATTTATAGCAGGCGCTCTGTGCGGTTCCCCCCAACACGCCAGGGAGGCTAAGCGGAGACGTGTCCAGCTGCAGTAGAGGCTTCGAGTTGTCTGCAAGCCACACCATGTAGGCAATAAAGCCTAAAGAGTGGTAGGAATTGCCAGGCAAAAACTGGTGGACTAGTTTCTTGCTGTGTCTTGCAGAGATGGACCTAGGGTAGTGCAAAGTGCAATGCAGACTGAGGAGAACATCAAAAATATCCAGGGCTTGGCAGGCCCATAGTTAATGGTGGGCTGCCCCCTAAATATTATTTGCCCCCCCCCCAATTTTCTTTCACAAACAAATACTTAAACAAGCAAGCAAGCAAGCAAGCAAGCAAGCAAGCAAGCAGGAAAGCCTATGTTCGAAAGGTCCCATTGTCATGCTTTTTCCACCTCCTTCCTCCTGCTGAGGAAAAAAATTCCTGGACTAGATAACCCATGTGGTTCCCTCCAACTTTGCAATTCCATGATATAGTTGTCTCTTAAGCCAATAGGTACCATGCATTCTCAATGTCTGCATATCCCTTCCTATTGATAGCAAGCAGGCAACTTCACTGTGTTCTTTTCAGTGTCTGCTTAAAAACATTCTTGTTTAGGCAAGCCTACCCAGAGGCTTAGAAATGCTGGTGGGAATCAGTATTTTAACTTTTTGTATATTTTTAAGTATTGTAATTTTTTCTTGGATTTCATTGTTTTATCTTTTTGTAAACTGCTTTGAGGTGGTGGACTCTCCTTCCTTGGAGGTTTTAAAGTGAAGGCTGGATGGCCATCCCTCATGCACAAATGATCTGGTTGAGATTCCTGCATTGCAGGGGGTTGGACTAGATGACCCTGGGGACCCCTTCCAACTCAACAGTTCTGTGATCCAGTGAGGCATCAATTAGTCATTGCCTGTGCTGAGCTAAATGGACTCATGGTCTTAACAGCGGAAGGCAGGTTCCTCGGTTCCTATGTGACTATGTGCTTCTACTTTTGTTGTAAGCCATGCTGGCTGCTGTGCGAATGGCAAAGAGCACAGCATATTAAATATTTAGATAGTGCCAGCCTCCTAACCACGGTTGGGAGATCCGGCAGCAGTGCATCTGCTCCAGGCCACAGCAGAAGACAGCAGGCAACGCAGAATAGTTGTTGGCGGCTTGCCAGGAAAATAGCAAGCTCTGATCTTCCAGCTGATTTAATGACAGCTGAAAACAGAGGTTGAAAATCATAGCAGAGGTGCCCACCCTTCCATCCTGCTTGATGGTTTTTAAAATGCCCCCTGTAACCCTGTTTGCTCATCATATCTGACAGCATATTGGAGTTTTAATACACCAAATGAGGCTGGAAACAGAGAAAAGAATTTTCAAAGTGCTTTAGGCAGTGTGGAATGTTTTTTAAATGGTTTGGAAAACCACAATGTCAGGGAGCTGCCATCAGTACTGGAGGGGGAGAGCGAAAGCCAGAGGGATTCCAGAGAGCGTCCAGGGATCGGGAGGAGCAGCCCATCTTCTGGGGAAGAGAATCAGCGTAGCACCAGGGGAGAAGGGGGGCAGCTGGGAGAAGTGGCGAGGCGGTCTCATGACTCCTTGCCTGGGACCAGCGGGGAGAGTAGGGGTCCTCCGTTGCCCACGCCCTCCCTGCGCAGAAGGCTTCCGCGCAGAGAAGGTAGGCGGAGACTAGGCGTCAAAGAACTTCTTTGCTGGAAGAAGTTTAAGAAATGCCCACTCACGGATTCTGCCAGCGATTGAGTCAGCCACGGGTGAGTGGCTGTCCGGACAGAAAAGGTTCACTTTGGCAACCCAGCCAGGTGTTTGCACCCAGCCGGGGAGATAGGCACCTGCTTATGCACGAGCAACCCCTAGAACCATTACACACAATATGATTGATCAAAGGCAGCAATGAGGCATAAACAAATATGCAGTAAGGCAGGGGGTAACCAATGTGGTACCACCCAGATATTTTGGACTAATAATAATAATATTTTATTTATATCCTGCCCTCCCCAGCCGAAGCCGGGCTCAGAGCGGCTAACAACAGTAAATTAATACAGCATTCTAGTATCAATTCATTATAAAATCAGTTCAAATCAAATTAATGCAACCATTGGGCTAGAGTTCTGTGAGGATTACCAAAGGAGGGGGTCAGACTGTACCGTGGCCAAAGGCCTGGTGGAACAGCTCTGTCTTGCAGGCCCTGCGGAAAGATGTCAAATTCCTCAGGGCCTTAGTCTTTTGTGACAGTGTTCCACCAGATCGGACCTCCAGGATGTTTTTGTCCCCTCCAGGGACCTCCAGGATGTTTTTGTTTGAAGACCGTAAGGTCCTCCGTGGGACGTACCAGGAGAGGCGGTCCCGTAGGTACAAGGATCCTAAGCCGTATAGGACTACAGCTTCCATTCGCCCCAGCAAGCATTGTCAAGGATGATGGGAGTTGTAGTCCCCAACATCTGGAAGCCACCATTTTGGTCACTCCCAGTCACTTCCAGCAATTATTCTGCAAGCTTTTTTGTAGGGATTTTCCTTTGCGTTCAACAAGCTTTCTTCTCAAACAGACACATTTTTGGGGGGGAAAATTTGAATGTGAAAAAGATGCCTTTAATGGGTTTTGAAGATTAAAAGCCTTTCCACAACAGAGAAATAAAATAGGTTCTAGAATATCTAGAGAACAGATATCCAGGCATGTCTGATCAGTGCAAGGATCTCCACTTGCGCAATAGGACTTTCTGCCCTCTCCTCTCCCGTGTGCCCCATGCCCTCTCCAAATCCTGCTCTGAAGTGTTGGGGAAAACCCAGAACAGATTTAAGGGGCGTGTAGGGCATGCAAACCCTATACGTGAGCAAGGTGAGTGAGAACTAGTGTGTTCATTTCCACCCCTCATGCCAGCAGCTCAGTTGCCAGAAGTGGCTTGCTGGATGGGATGGGATGGAGCTGCTTTGCTTGCTTCCCAGCAGCAGGGGGCTTGCTGCTGGTTCCCAGGAGGGAAAGAGGGAGGGGAGGTTGGTGTGGTGTAAACATGCTGGCAAGAGCACTTGGTTGGCTCTGCCCTGTGTTTGCACAGCGCTGACCTCCCTGCAGCCTCTCCCTCCTGTGAGCCACACAATGATGCACCTGCCAGGATGCAGCAGAGCAGTTCTGCCTCACATTGCCCTCCAGCTCATGCTTCCAGGACCTCGTAACAACATTTCTTCATGCCATTGGTGCCAACATGCACCACAGCTGCTGATTCCTTCCCAGCACCATCTCCTAGGCCATCTAGGCAACAGCAGACCCTCTAAATGTCCCTGTTTCCCAGGGACAGTCCTGGATTTACAGAAGCCGTCTGGGTTTCTGATTTGATCCTGGAATGTCCCGTTTTTCCTTAGGACGTCCCTATTTTCATCGGGAAAATGTTGGAGGGTTTGGGTGCCTGCTCTTCTGCTCCTCCACCTGATAAAATTAGGGTTAAGGGTAGCCGACAGGTAGGAGACAGTGTGTGCTTGGTTCCAGTGTTTGTTGTGATGCTCACAGCAGTTCCTCCACCTTGCAAAAGTGCCCAAAGGCCCCCTAAGGCTGGTGTCCCCTTACCTGATGCAACCCACTCTCACACGGTAATAGCCGCCGCCATTTTGTGTCACATTCTCCCACCGGCTAAATAGTGTGTTTGTTGCTTTTAAACCGAACTTTTGTCCCTGTTTTCTTTTCTCCATTCCCTCCCTCTCTCTCTGTTGTGTAACCTCAGCACTTTGACACTGCCTCAAGACATCTTTCGATGTGGTCTCTGGAACAAATGTAGCTGTACCAAAGTTTTGTTGTTATTTGACTGATTTCTCAGGGACCAAATCCAGCGCCGCTCTCTTCCACAGGAAATAAAAGTATTGCCCAGTTTGATGATTCTCAGATGTGGAAGCCGTTTTCTTTCCCTCTTAAAAAGCGTGGTTTTTAAGATGCATATTATCTTTTGAGGGTCTTATTGCCTTTGATTCCTGTGGCTTAAACAGGAAGTGAAGGTATTAGGCACTTTGCCAGGCCCTTGAAGACTTAAAAGGAAACCATTCCCATCCCTGAATTGCTACATGAGAAACATCTAATATTTAGAATACTGTGCACAGTTTGGGTTACGCCATATCTTTTTCTGAGGGGTGATCCACCTATTTTAGTGTACTAATTTGATCTACTGTTTTGTGATGTATTTTCTGTTTGTTTCACGGTTGCAATTTTATGTTGATTTTGTGCTGCCCATTTCCGTGATCCTTTTCTTAATGTTGGCGGGAGATGATTTTTTGCAAATAAATGAAAGCAACCCTATATCACAGCACAGATATCACAGAAAAGAACGATTAAAATTATGACATGTTTGCATGATGTTCTATGCTCCCTGCTGAACAATGATGATCTTTCTCTTTCCTTTTCCCCCAAATATTTCCCCAGCTCTGTGTGGCGTTGTGGCTACGATTTGGTTCCCCGTGAGTGCTCACCGTGAAACCATGATCATGAGCTTTGGATATTCCCTTTACACGGGCTGGATTGGGTCCGCTCTTTGCCTTTTCGGCGGTTGCATCATTGTCTGCTGCTCGGGCGACGCGGAAACATTTGGCCAGAACCGTTTCTACTATGGGTCAGGATCCAGCTCCCCAACCCATGCTAAAAGCGCCCATGTATAAATGATCCTGAGACTTCCTGCGCCTTTATCACCAAATGTTTCAAAACGGGTGGATGGGTTTTCTTTGTGCTCCAGGTGTTGCGCTTGCTTGCATCTTTGTGCACTGGTTGACCTCATCCCTTGCAGAAGATTCAAAGAAACAGTGTGATATTTCTTAAGCAATAAACTCCACCGGTTTGCCTTAATAGAAACCTGTAGCAAAAAAAAAGACCAGGTCAGCCCTTATAAAAGTCTCACTGCCCAAGGCTTATATATTCACTGTTGAAACATTAAGTTTCCCCCTCTTTCCTCCTTCTCCCTCAGTCTAGGAAGGTAGTTAACAAATACACACCTGGATTGCTTGAATTGCCAGTCTTTTTCTCAGAAAAAGTGACCGACTACTTCCTCTCCCTACTTCCCCAGATCCAAGGTCATCTTTGGGGGCAAAGTTACAACGAAAGGGAGAGGAAGGCACCGTACTTTCCCATCTGCACAAATGTTTTCTTTTTCATGAGATTAGGGAGTAATCCCTTTGCTTTCTCGGCAAAAGTTTTCAAGGAATTTGATCACTTTAGTAACAGTGTTTTTGTCTAAACGCATCAGTATGAAGGAGATGAAGTGAAAAGTTTCTAATTGCAAGGTAAATAACAGAACACTTGTACATAGCCTTAAAATACCTGCGACGGGGCTGCTCCCCGCAACCTCCCCTTCTTTTGTACAGGTTTGTTGCTAAATGTAGTTTATTTTTATTTTTTACTTTGTTCCAATTAATTTGTATTCTGACATGCACTATTGAAGTGGAACTTATCTTAAAAAATTACTATAATCTATCAGTTGCCAGTTCCGTGAAAAAATCCAATGAATACTGATGATGCTTTTGGTCTTTAAGTGAAATACTGTAAAATACACAGCAATAAATGTTGAAATTACTAGTTTATTTTCTTCTCCTTGTGCTTGTGGCTCTCTTATTGTCCTGTGTGGTTTTCACTCCGTCTTTCTAGTAGATTTGAATGTGTGTGTTGTATAGCTATATATATATATATATATATATATATATATATATATATATATATGTAGGAATAATGATGATAACACAAACAAGAGCAACCTGAGGCACCTTAAAGACTAGCAAATTTAGTGTGATATATGTTTTAATGGACCCTGAGATTCTGTCCAGTTTGAACATATGACCAAGTGAGGGATAGCCATCAAAGCCAATGCTCCAGTGAATTTGCTAGTCTTTAAGGTGGCTCTTTACTGGTTTTACTGCAATGAACATAACTACTTCTCTGGAATTTGTAATTCTAATAGCTAAATTATATAATAAATTGAAACTCATACCATCTTCCTTGTGCACAGTTAAGTAACCAAATCTCATTGATTTTAGTGTTCGCTACAGGATGCAGTTGACTTATGTCACCCAAGTCGGCTGAAAAAATCTCATTTCATTTCACTTTTAATTTGTACACCGCCTTTCTCTATTACTATACACAAGGCAGTTTGCAGCAACAAAATATGCAGCAAAGAACACCTTATAATAATCTGATCCAATACAAAAAGTTATGATAAAACATAAAACTGTAAAATGGAACAATTTGATGTCAAAAACGGCAATATCTTATATCAAATAAAGTAAGATGCAGAGTTTAAGATAGGCACATTGGCACTGGGTATATTGGCACTGAATTGCCTTTTGCAATCAAGCAGATTCCGAACAAAATGCATGTTTTGTCACTCACTGTAATTTGTTGTGTCAATTTCATATTGTTTTCTCATTCTCCTTCTCCCTCTTGACACAATGTTCACAATGTGAACTATCATTCCAGAGATCCTTGGCAGAACATTTGTGCGCATTACATCATATGCTCCGCGTACAGTTACTTGCTTTATGCCCCGTAAAGAAACAATAAGCACTGCCATTGTGAGATGTGGGCGCCACAATGGAATGTGTAACACACAGATGTGCAGCTTTGTGAAAACTGGCCTGAGATTGTGGACGGTGTTGTTTTTATGCATGCTGCTTTCTGCTGAATGGATCCCATTCAGATGGCTGGGACGGGGCTGAGCCAAAGCTGTAATGGGACGCATAAGCCGCAAAGTAGCTTGGGAATAATGGAAGCTCCATCTCTGATCATAGACAAATTTCAGAGGGCAATTGGAGCAAGAGACTCCAGCTGGAATTCATTGACAAATTTGATTGCATTTGTTGATGGCTTCAGCAAGGAGCATATGCAGATCTCTTCTTTCTCACATGGCAGGGCTGTGTTGTTTTTTTGGATATTGCATCCAAGTTTAGTGCTCCAACAAGAGTTTCACATGCACATGCAATGCTAACAGCAAGTGTTTGGATTCTGTGAAATGTTCAGACTCGGTGTGTTTCGCATTTCCATTATTTTACTAATCTGGCTTATCTTCCAGTATACTTTAATGTGTATATGAAAAGCACCTGTGGTCTTGAACCAGGTATTTTAGATGAAAGGGAAAGGTGCTCCCCTGAGCTTTCCTGAAGGGAATACTACTGGGCTGGCCTGCTCTCTGCTGGAGTTCAGCACTACTTTATTGGCTCCCTGGAGGGCAGTACTGAGCTACCAGCTCAATAGGGGTCAGGTGATACAAGGCACCAATAGGGTTCCACCTAGTCATATAAAGTTGCTAACTGAGCTGCTGTTCTGCCGGACCAACAAAATGTTTGGTTACAGGTGTTCTCAAACAGCCTGAGCCTTCTCAACTTACAGTCTGATTACCTGATAGTATAGGTGCAGAAATGCAGAAAATCTGCCCTCTGCAATGTGACATGAGGTGGTAAAATGAGCAGGGGCTTCTCTAGACATCCCAGCCAGTGTGACATAGTGAGCTGAGTGCCAGACTAAGACTGGGGAGACCTTGCTTCAAAACTCCATTAAGCCAAGAAGTGGACTGGGTCACATTAAGAAACTGAGGTAGCTCAGTTGGTTAGAGCATGGTGCTGATAACGTCAAGGTCGCAGGTTTGATCCCCATATGGGACAACTGCATATTCTTGCATTGTAGGGGGTGGATGAGACTGGGGACTTTGGGGTCCCTTCCATCTCTACGGTTCTATGATACTAAGATTGAACAAATACTCTCTCTGCCTATCCTACCTCACAGGATGTTGGTGAGGATAAAAGAGTGAATGAGAAACCTTGCAAGGCATCCTGAGCTCCTTGGAGGAAGGGTGTCACACGGTCCAGCTACACCTTGGCCTGTGAAATGGAGACTGGACCAAACAGAGTATCTCCTTCTAGTTTGCCCTTCTCCTCCCACGACCTTTCTGCTGCTAAAGTCTTTGTTTTCCTTGGCTGCCTCCACCAAACAGCCTACACTTCTTTGCATCTCCTTGAGAAGAGCTCAAGGTAGTGTGGAGTTTGGCTTTTAAGCGCGCACTGGGGTAAAACCACAGGCAAAGGAAGAGCACAAGAACGAACATCACCGGCAGACTTCACAATGGACAAAATATGGGGGCAAGCAAGAGTACCACTTTAAACTTTCCGAACAATTAAATATAATCCTACAGTCAGTATTCAAAAAATATGCAAAGTATTTTCCACACACTCATGGCGTGGATTTTATTTGCACTATTCTCATTGCTACTTCTCTTGTTGACTGTCTTTGTTAGGCTCCCCACCCACCAGCCATTTCTCTCCAATGTCTGAGTTTATTTCTGATAATGGGAGCCTCACTGAGGGAATAGGCCCATGGCCTGATCTCAAGGCATGCAATATGGGAACCTTGCTGAAGCCAGACAGGTTTGGGTGTGGTCAGTGGCTGGACGGGAGCCTTGATATAACTGCAGTAAATGAAGAAGTAGAAGTGATGTTGGGGTGCAGGCGGCAGATAGGGAAGCAAAGATTCAGCACAACTCACAGTATCGGCCTCCAAATTGGACCTCCACCCCCAACATCAAATTGGACCTCCACCCCCAACATCAAAGGTTACCATCCCCTGATCATTGGCTATGTTCATGTTTTCAAGTCAGATCAGAGCTAGGTTTTTTAGGGTGGGGTGTGGGGAATACACTGACACAATATTTCTCATGACACCACAGCATAGATGTGGATTGTGGCTAATTCTGTGTGGACACAGCTTCACAAACCAGTGGTGGGAGCACACTGAATGAAGAGTAAGTGGGAGTGTACATACAGCCTGCGTCACATCTGATGCCCTCTGGCACAATGGGTCAGTGCATCTGGCTAATAACCAGGGATGGTTGTGGGCAGGGGTCCCTTCCACTTCTAAGATTCTATGATTACTCCTTCCAGATAGCGATCTATATTTTATCACTCTCCCACACCTAGCAGGATAATGCTGATGGCCAGCTTATCAAACAATACCATGCACATTGCAGGAACTTGCCACCTGGTATACAGGTCATTCGTAGAGCGGACTCTCCCATAGCTCCTTCCTTGAATAAACAGGACATTGACTCTTCTGCCTTTGAATTGTCCTCCTCTGGGTTCTTGGGTGCAACATCCACATGCCATGTAAACTCTGTGTTGTGGAAGTTTATGGATTGTCCATGCCTGATGTATGCATAGGGGGGTGGCATGGGAGTGAGGATAATAGCATTCTCTACTGCAACAAAAGCTGACCGCACAAGGGTGGTACTGTGTTCGGCAGGCTATAAATAGTTGCTAGCAGTAGGTCACATGGCTACCCCCAAAAGCTATGTAAAGGTTTAGCAGCCTGATGGGATCACTGAGAGGCATTGTCTTAGGGCAAGAAGCTCCCTTGCTCTCCAAGTGGGTGATGGGGGAGGGGCAGAGTCACAAATGCCAATGGTTTCAGCAGCAGCAGCAGCAGCAGACCTCCTCCCCCTCCCCCCTCCCTCCCCTGCAAGCCACTAATGGTGCTAGGCAGGAGTGACTCTTACGCACTGTCTGCAGCTTCAGCTGTGGATACTCTGGAGAAGGAAGACATTCCACGGAGTTTGTTGGCCTTGGAGAAGATGAAATACAAAAGGGGACATTGTGATCAGCTATGAGGTCAGCTACTGCCGGTGAAAGAGCATGGAGTCAAATTTGCATCGAACGTAATGTGTGACTTTAAATCTTGCAAGCTGCCGCACCAGCAGAAGCAGAACCAATTCGAATGATGGGTTCTTTTCAGCATAAAAGGCACGCCACGATCTTAATTATGCCGTTGCTTCGTGGTTCTTCTTTCTTTGGGACGAGATATGCCCACCAAAGGGTAGGAAATTACATTTGCAATCTGCAACATGGCCTAGCTTACCATGTGGCTTAATCCCTCTTTCCGGGATTTATGGAAATTCCTTCCCATAGGTGTGTCACTGGGCACCTTCACTGTACAGCTTTCATCATATGCTGAAGAATAATAAAATCATAGAATTGTAGAGTTGGAAGGGACCATGAGGGCCATCAGGTCCACCCCCATGCAATGCATGAATCTTTTGCCCAACATAGGGTTTGAATCCAAAACCTTGAGTCTCACCCTGTACCTACTGAGCTATGTTTCTGGGAACACCTCTTTGCCCTGGCGTGTGACACCCTAAGGCCCCTGAGTTTTTGAGACCCGCCCTATTCCTTCTTCTCACCTTCCTTGGATGTTTTAAAGCAGTGGTTGGATAGTTATCTGTCATGTATGATGTAGCTGAGATCCCTGCATCCTTCCAACTCTGCAGTTCTATGATTCCTGTGACCAATATAAGCCACCTTCTATTTTCTAAATTGCGAATGCAGAATTTTATGTTGTTGTAACCCACTTTTGGACCTGCTGGTGAAGGGATAATGAAGAATAGCAATCTAAGTTCTCCAGTTGCCCGCCCTTCTGTAGCCGAGACAGCAGCAGGCACAAGAGGGAAGGTATCAACAGGCTTGGGAGAACGCTGCGGGTGTGTGGAAGTAGAAAATATATTTGGGAGGTGTTATGTACTGAGTTGAATAGGATCCAAACTGCAGCAGTCTGATTGGTCCTAGAACAATAGGATCCAAAAGGCAGCAGTCTGATTGGTCCTAGAACAATAGGATTCAGAATGCAGCAGTCTGATTGGTCCTAGAACAATGCAGCAGTATGATTGGTTGGCAGGAACCACCCAATCCTGCTCCAGATTGAAGTGAATCCACAACCTGATTGGCTTACAGTAGAATTCCAGAATTAGCCAATCATGTGCAGCCCATTGTGTAAATAATGTATATAAAGCAGATACTGTGAGGGGACAGTCATTCATTCCTCCTCACCACTATGAGCTGAATAAAGAGCATGAAATCACTTTGCGACTCTGAGTATATTTCAGGAGGGAAGCTCCCGGAACTGCCTAAGTTAAGGGAAGCTTGAACATGCCCACTGGACACAGAATGTCACCTGACTATTGGAGGGAGAATGAGAATACAGTGGTACCTCAGGTTAAGTACTTAATTTGTTCCGGAGGTCTGTACTTAACCTGAAACTGTTCTTAACCTGAAGCACCACTTTAGTTAAAGGGGCCTCCTGCTGCTGCTGCGACGCCGGAGCCCGATTTCTGTTCTCATCCTGAAGCAAAGTTCTTAACCTGAAGCACTATTTATGGGTTAGCGGAGTCTGTAACCTGAAGCGTATGTACCCTGAGGTACCACTGTATATGGGAGATGGTTGGAGGGGCAAGAATGGAATGAAGTGATCCTGTAAAAAGGGCATAGCTGAACAGGAACGCTGCAGCATTTTGTTGTAGCTTCTGTTTTTCAAACCATTCCCAAAGATTCTTTGAGCTATGTCAGTTAAACTATTAAAAATTTGATACCAGTTTAATGTAAGCAGAGAGAGAGAAAGAGAGAATAAAAAGTAGACAGAGGATGAGAGGAATGCCCCTAAAACTGAGTCAGCAGTCATTTCCCCCCATGTTTTATTGTGTAAACGAACAACTATCCACCCCCCCACAACAATGCAAATAAATTTCAAAATCAGCCCATTTCAACTGTTCCTCTACAAAGGATTCCCCCCCACCCAAGCTCTTAAGGCAAAATTTGTTTACATTTAATTCATTTTAGCATTGAAAAATATCAGACCTTCAGATACTGGCAAGTTAAACATATATTTGTATATATCAGCATAGAGGCTGTGGGATTCCTTCCCGTCTCCCCTCTTTTTTTTGGTTTAATATTTCATTTAAAAGGTATGGACAGTTCAGTTGAGATGTTTTTTCTCTCTGGCTTTCTTTATAAACCCCTGTTTTTTATTTTTTGTAAATATAAAGGCACACAATGAAGCTTTATGCATCTATTAAAATATACACATTTGGTAAATTTAGATTTCTTTTCCATGTGTCAGTAAGTCAACATATTTATATTTATATATATTATATAATAGTCAACAACACAATCATTCTCAAAATAAAGGTCACTCCATTAAGATATCTGTATAAACTTCCGTCATGACACACCACAAAAGCCCATTGCATAGTGCACCAATGGGGTTCAGGAACCACAAAAAATTAAATAAGTCAGAGAACAAACATGTTGTTCCCCTTTTAAACAAATACATCAATTTCATACCAGAACTGTAGAGAATTGTTACAGCAGGAAATGCTACCTGCAAAAAAATAAATAAAACACAGTTGCAACTTGGACAATCTAGAAACCAAATGAAATGAAAGCAAGAAAGATTTGAATGTTGAACACAAATGCCATTGTTACGTCTACACACACACACACACACACACGCACACAGTGACAGTCTTTTGCAGCAACAAAGCTTGAGTGCAGGGCCTTGTAATAACATAATTGTAGTGGCCCCCTCTTCCAGTCCACTTGTACCCTTTGCAGATACAAGGGCTTCACAAGCTCTCAAGGGCCTTCCATTTGCTTTCATAGAGGGAACAGCTTGGAATGTGCAAAAGGTTGCATGCGTCGAGTTACTGTTCACTTGTTGGGATGTGTGGAGCCCTGTCCATCCGGGTTGTGGAAGCTGTGGGCCTCCAGATGTTGTTTCAACTACAACTCCCATCATCCCTGACCGGTTGCCCCATAGAGGCAGGGGCTGCTGGGAGCTGTAGGCAAACAACATCTGGGAGCGCCAAAGTTTCCCATCCCTAGTTAAAACTCCTGAGGGCCATTCAGCGCTCACGGGCCTGTTTGCACACAGGACGACGCACTGCTTGATTTCTCGTCACTTAGCCGCTGAACATGTGAAATGGCTCCATCGCAAAGCATGATTTGAGACTGAGCTGAGGTGGAATTTCCACCCGTGCTGTTTGGCCAGCGATAGCTGATGCTCTGAGTTAACTGAGGTACGTATCAACAGTACACTTTCACGATTTTCTTCCAGAAAGAGCAGGATAGGTGCATCAAGATGTAGCTATGTTAGTTTCACCCCAAACCTTGGCCTTGTTGTTGTGTCTTTAATAGCTGCAAACGGGGCTTTTCCCCCCAGCCGGAACTCGAACTCAGTTCTGGCACCTCTCAGGTGGGCGCCCTTGCCATTATAAGAGAACACTCAAATTGGCTTCCATCTGTACAATGATGTCACAACAAGCTGCATTGTAATATCTCCAAATGTTTTTCTCATTCTCTTGAAAACACTGCATTCCAACCCTCACCTCTGTCCCACCCCACCCCCCGCCCCAAACCAGTCTCCTATTTTATCATGCAGGAAAAATGTCCACTGTGTACATGCTGTGGTTGGTTGGGAGACTTATGGTCCTTCATGTGTCAGCACTGTAGCACCCTGCTTGTGGTTAACGCTTAGCTGGAATGAAATATTCAACGCAGCAATAGAGAAATTAAAATAATAATTTATTTGTCAGACAAATAAATGAGAGACACAGTGGTATATGGATACCAAAGCTCTGCCTACTCCAGCCCTGATGGCCAGCACTTATATTTCCTCAGCCCAGCCCCCTTGCTCCTCCTTTGGCTGCCTCTGTCCAATCATCCTGGTTGAAATTCCTATTGGTTGTTTGCTAGAACCAATCATAAAAGATACACCCATTTCCTATTCCCTTTTATGGGAGACAAAAAGCTATATTTCCTTGTATCCATAAATGGCAGACAAGTAGCCATATATCTTACATTTACCTCGACCAGGCACCTCAATTACCAGATAACCTTTGGCCCCTGTTGCCCTATTCACCGCAAACCAGATGGCTAAAGCAGATGGTGCATGGTTTCTAATTTTTTATCTTAAAGAGATCTTGAGTTCACATTCTCACCCACCATAATAGGAATCTAACATAAGAATCTAACATTTCTTACTTTCTAAATCCTTTGCATAATCACATTTAAGCCAATATATTTCATACATAACATAGATAGATTTTTAGAAGGAAAGGCCTTTTCAAATTAGAAGGAACTTAGTAAATTCTCTGAAGCTTCAAAACAGTTTGGAGAGAGGCCTTTTTCCCTAACCAGCAGCTGTTTCTAAGAGCAACCTCTTCCATTTAACCTTTAACCTTATGGCTCGAGTCTTCTGTTAAACAATAAATTTCACTATTTACCAGTTCTTAATTGTGTTTTTACAGCTTGATTGTATTCTGGTCAGTGTGACCTTTTGCTCTCTGGCTCTAATTTCCTTTTACAACCTTGAAATACTTTTATTTATAGCAGTGGGGCCCCTTGAACAGCTGCCGGAGTATTCAGCTGCTCTTCTCCCTTGCAGAGAAAAATATATTTACAAATATAATTTTTTAAGCTCAAAGCAGATTTTGATCAGATGCCTCATTCCCCCCTTTCAAGCTCAAGGACCTTCATCCCAAGTGTCCTTGATAGCTTGACCTTCGTCATATTCCTGAGGTAAAGCTCTGTATAGGGCCATAATATGAGGTAAAGTTTCATTTGAAATCATCTTGCTAATTGTACTTCTAAAACATGAAATGATACATGGCACCGTACATAAAACCATTACTACTACCGTCAAGAAAAACAAGCAAGACAATAGTATCCCTTTGAGTCCCGCAACATTAGGTAACCAATTGGTGAGCCATCCCATATCCCATCCTTCCCATATTTGTACTGGGACATGTGCTATACTCTCCATCTTTGTGGCCAACACACGGATTGCCTCACCATTATCAGAAATGTTAAAGCAACAGGCATTCCCTGTCAAGTTCAAGACTCCACATAGGCCTCCCTGCCTGGCAAGTACATAATCCATTCCCATTTTCAGCTGCAAAATGGCGGCTCTACTTTCATCCAACTGTTGTGCAATAAGTCTCAAACTCTGGGCCGTTGCATTGGTTACAAGTTCCACTACTGCTTGCAATCGAATTATTCTGTTTAGATTATAAATAGGATCCCGTGCCCCTTGTATGAGCTCATCAGGATTCCAGGAGGCAGGCTCATAATAGGCTATAATGCGCTCTGGTGGCCAATCATCAGTATCACTCCAACTTTGGGTACTTCCTCCTGCTATATGAGAAATATCAGCGTTTCTTCGTGTACGCTTTGCCGAACTAGTGGGCATAATCCACATTGGTGGTAATACCCATCCCAGGAAACAAGTCCCACTCCATTTGGGAGGGAGTTGCTTGTATGCCCATTCTCCACATATCCACCACAACCATCGGGTCTGAGGTTTTGGTACGTGGAGTGCATAAGGCGAAATATCAAAAGGGGCATAGAGTTCACAGTGCAGTATGTTAGATTGCCTTTTTCTGTCACAGTTATGTTCCACACCAGTTTCCATGCATGAATAAAAGGAGGTGCACAGGGCAAGGTATTCCGAGTTCGATAGGTAGTACCGTTTGCCCAGGTTTGACTATTCTTAATATAATCCCAAGTATAGTGGCAATGAGAAGAGCCTATCATAATAGAATCAGCTGCAGCTGATAATTTATGTACACAGAATTCCCCTTGCACAGGTATAACTCGTATTGGTTTAGTTGAGTTCCATCCGGGGAAATTCTGTACTTCTGTTTGGTGTGGCATTTCGCTTACCATACCAATGGCATTTAATGGTATCGGTAATAAGGGCATACCTCCCTCTGAATCATCTGGTCCAAGAGAGCAAACAAGGCAATTGGTCCTATTTGTAACATTGGCTACCATCTCAGCTAAGCCTACCCACATATTGTGGTCATGGCGGAATCCATATTTAGCAAATTTGGTCAGATTCAAGGACCCTTCCCCTTCCCAAGGGATCAGGATTAATAATAAAATCATGTTGATGTCTAGTATATGCATTTCTTCCACAAAAGATTACCTTATTGTGATAACAAAAAATATTAGGCCCAATATAATTCCCCAATGACAGAAATGGGGAACCACCAAGACCAAAACATATATCCCGAGGATCCCCAATGAGTAATATCCCTGATAATTGTTCCACAGGGGGGGGCAGTCAATCAATTGTATAAGAGAATCTTCCTGTTCACAATCGCTGGTTCAGACGCTCCTCAAGCTTCAGGCGTGCGCAGGTCAGCCAGCTTCCAGGTTGTGGCTGCAGCAGGCCAGTCGTCTAATGTTGCCCGTGACCTAGCCCGTTCCCCGTAGGGCTAGATACAGGGGTTTTTGGAGAGAGTCAGTTTAAAAGGATTAGAGGGGTCACCTTTGCACGTCCAACTGCCTTCGGACTTCTTCAAACGGGAGTGATGAATCCAGGGGTCACCTCAGCTACCTTCACCGCTGTTGGAGTAGAGAGCAAGACGGTGTAAGGCCCACGCCACTTAGGTGCAAGTGGATCACGTTTCCACTCTTTCACCCATACGCTATCGCCAGCCTGGAACTGATGAATCGGCTCGGCAATGCTGCACGGCGTGCGCTCGAGGGCCCACCTGTTAAGAGAAACAAAAACACGGGAGAGAGATTGCACTTGTCCCTGTGTCACATGGTCTCCTATTTGTTTGAGGTCAGCTGGAATATCCTGAACAAAGGAGGGTGGCCTCCCATACAGGAGCTCAAAAGGTGACAACTTAAGTCTTTTTGTGGGTGCACACCGAACACGAAACAGTGTTATGGGTAACACATCTACCCATCCCAATCCTGTTTCCTGGGTTAATTTTGCCAATTGGGTTTTCAGAGTCCGATTCATTCTTTCAGTTTTCCCGAACTTTGAGGCCTATATGCTGCATGCAGTCTCCATTTCACTTGTAGGACTCGACATACTTCTTGTACTACTTGATCAATGAACGCTGGCCCATTATCACTTCCAATGCATCTAGGTAATCCAAACCTCGGGATCAATTCAGTGAGGAGTCTCTTAGTTACCTCTCGTGCCTTTTCAGTCCTGGTGGGAAAAGCTTCAACCCATCCGGTAAGGGTATCTACAAACACAAGGAGGTACTTGAATCCCTTAGAAGGGACCAGCTCTGTGAAGTCCACAATTAGGCTTTCCATGGGGACGTATCCCACATGTTGGATTCCAGGAGGTTGTACCGGTCCCTGCCTGGGATTGTTTTTAGCACAAAGAACACATTTCTGTGAAATGCAAGTTGCTAATTGTGATAGGTTAATAATATACAACTTCCGACTGAGACTCTCTCTGGTTGCAGTACCGCCAAGGTGAGTAGATTCATGATAATTTCTTACAATTGTGCCTGCCAGGTGATGAGGTATATAAATCCTATTGTCCGGCAGGATCATCCAACCGTCCTTCACAACCGCTCCTTCCTGTTCAGCCCACTTCCTCTCTTCTGGGGTATAGTGAGGTTTAATTTCTTCTGGAACTACCTCTGGTATGAGGGCTGCTATAAATCCTCCCACAGGCTTCTGGGCTGCCTCTCGGGCTGCTTTGTCAGCAGCATGATTTCCTCTGGTTATTGGATCCCTTCCACGTCCATGACCTTTGCAGTGCATTACAGCAATCTGTTCTGGAGCCCATACTGCTTCCAACAGGATTTCTACTTCAGGTCCATATTTCAAGGCCTTCCCATGGGCTCCGATTAGACCTCTTTCTTTCCATAGAGCTCCATGTGCATGCAGGGTTAAGAAGGCATATTTAGAATCAGTATAGATGTTTGCCTTACATCCGGCTGCCAATTGCAGAGCTCTAGTTAAACCTATAAGTTCAGCCTTTTGTGCTGAGGTGCCAGCAGGCAAAGCTTCAGCTTCCACAACTTCCTCATTGGTGACCACAGCATATCCTGCTCGTCTGGCACCTTCATGCAGGTAACTGCTACCATCAGTATAATATACAACATCTGGATTTTTCAATGGTTCATCTTTCAGATCGGGTCTACTGGAATACACTTCATCCATTATTTGGAGACAATCATGTGATTCTTCATCATCTACCTCTGGTAGGGGCAGCAAAGTTGCTGGATTGAGCATATTCACTACTCGTAGATGAATCCTGGGATTTTCACACAATAGGCCTTGGTATCTAGCCATCCTTGGATTCGTTAGCCAATAACTACCCTTATATTCCATGAGTGTCAGAACAGCATGAGGTACATTCACATACATCGTCTGGCCAAAGGTAAATTTATCAGCTTCTTTGACAAGGCTTGCAGTGGCCGCTACTGCCCTTAGGCATGGAGGCCATCCTTTTGCTACTGAGTCCAATTGTTTTGACAAATAAGCTACTGGACGGTTCCAACTTCCTAATCTCTGGGTCAGGACTGCTGCTGCAATCCCATTCTGTTCATGTACATACAGCTGAAAGGGTTTTTCCGAATTAGGCAGTCCAAGGGCTGGGGCCTCCATAAGTCGTTGTTTGATAACTAAAAAGGCTTGTTGCTGCTCAGGTCCCCATACGAATGGGTCCTTTTCTGCACCTCGAGTGCTTTCATGTAAGGGCTTGGCCAGACTGCTGAAATCAGGTATCCATAGTCTACAAAACCCTGCTGTTCCCAGGAATCCTCTGAGTTGTTTCCTTGTGGTAGGTTCCTTGATAAGGCAAATAGCTTCTTTCCTCTCTGGTCTCAATGCTCGTTGTTGGTGTGAGATGTCAAAGCCCAAATATTTGACCTTTTCTAAACATAACTGTGCCTTTTTCTGGGAAACTCGGTAGCCAGCTTCCCAGAGCAAGTGGAGCAGTTCCTCTGTCCCTTCTTTACAGGTATCAAAATCCTTTGCCGCTAGTATAAGGTCATCTACATATTGCAGAACCACCTTTTTCCAGGTATTGAGGGGTAACTTGTTAGATCCTTCGCCAAGGCAGTGCCAAATAAAGTTGGGGAATTTTTGAATCCCTGGGGCAATCTTGTCCAGGTTAGCTGGCCTTTTGTTCCTGTCAAAGGGTCTTCCCACTGGAAGGCAAATATAGGTTGGCTCTGTGGTGCCAGCCGGCAACAGAAGAATGCATCTTTCAAGTCCAATACAGTAAAAATGTTGCTTCTGGTGGGATCAAACTCAGCAAGGTATATGGGTTTGGTACATTTGGGTGCAAGGTCTCGATAGCCTGGTTTACGAGCCTCAAGTCCTGTACTGGCCTGTATTCATCTGTCCCAGGCTTCCGAACAGGCAAAAGGGGTGTGTTCCATTCTGATTGGCAGGGCTTAAGCAGACCATATTTTAATAGGCGGTCCAAATGTTTCTGGATGCCCTCTGCTGCTCGCCGGGGTAAAGGATATTGCTTTACAGATACAGGGGTAGCCATAGGTTTTAGGGTTACTACAATTGGAGCTATATTCTTAGCCATTCCTGGTGGGCTATTTTCGGCCCATACTCCTGGTGGCACTTGTAGGGTTCGGAGGAGCTTGTTTAATTCTGTATCCAATGTGGGTTGGACTTGCAGGGCTGACATTAGGCGCCATGATTGTTCCTTAGGTACTGAGAGGGAAATTATTCCTGCTGCCTTTGATGGCAGTTTCATTTCTGGACCTCGAGGAGTGAAGGTGATTTGGGCCTGCAATTTGGACAGCATATCTCTACCTAAGAGAGGCATTGGACACTCAGGTATATACAAAAACTGATGGGTTAAATGATGTCCCCCAATCTGGCATTCTAAAGGTTGGAGGAAAGACCTCTTAGCTGACTGACCAGTGGCACTTTTAATGACTACACTTTTGGATGCCTTTTTCTGCAATAGTTCTGGGAGTACTGAGTATTCAGCGCCAGTATCTATCATAAAGTCTATTAAATGGCTCCCTAATTGAATTTTGACCGTGGGCTCCTGGAAGCCTAACTTTATGGAGTCCGGTCGTTCCTAGTCTTGGGTAAAATCCTCCTCTGCCAGTCCAATGAAATTGTCTCTACTCCGTCCTTGTCCAGGTCTCTGATATCTTCCATCTCGGATCATTCCCCGTCCCCGTCCCTGGTTTCTTGGGCCGGAGCCTGGGCCTGGGCCTGGGCGTACTTCTTCCAACCTCAGGGGTTCAGGACACTCCCGCTTCCAATGACCCTCCTTCTTGCAATTCGCACATTGATTCCTTCCCAGTGGTGGATTCCTTCCCCGCCCTCTCCCTCCATTTAAAGGGCGGTAGTCTTGCTTCACTGCTGTGGCTAGCATCACCATCTTTTCCTTCTGCCACTTCTTCTTCTCTTGTTTCTCAGCCTCATCCCTATTCCGATAAACTCGGCGTGCAATGGCCATAATTTGGCTCATCAGCATCCCTTCCCAGCCTTCTGACTTCTGAATTTTCTTACGAATGTCAGAAGCGCACTGAGCCACAAAAGTAGCAGTAATCATTCTGCTGTTTGCAGGGGCTTCAGGGTCAAAAGGAGTCCATATACGATAGGCTTCCTGCAGCCTCTCTAAAAAGTCTCCCGGACTCTCATTCGGTTTCTGTTCTACTTCTGAGACTTTAGTCATATTAGTGGGCTTCTGGCATGCCCTGCGGATACCTTGCACAAGCGTCTGGCGGTAGGTGGTAAGCCTGGCCAGGTGAATTGCATTGTTTGGATCCCAATTAGGATCCTCCAAGGGAAAATTGTCCTGGAGATGACGGTCAACATTAAGAATATTTCCCACTCTGGCCTGCTCACGCAAATATATCTGTGCCTTTTCAATTATGTCTCTTCTTTCCTCAGTGGTGAACAGAGTATTCAGGAGCTGGCGGCAATCTGTCCAAGTAGGACTATGAGTATTTACTATTGAAGTCACCAAGTCCATCATAGCCTGAGGTTTTTCTGCGAAAGACGGGGTGTGTGTTTTCCAATTCATCAGATCCGTAGTTGTGAATGGAATGTACTGGAGGGTCGAAGTTCGAGGTGGCCGTGGTCCGAGTTGCCCGTTAACCAGCACAGGCTCCTCAAGTGCATCAAATACTCTTCTGAGAGGGGCTACTACGTGACCTTTCTCTTCGCTTTGCTTTAGGGGCCTCAAATCATAGGGGATAGTATTTGTCCCAAGGCGTTCTTTTAACAGCTTTATACGCCTGGCTGTATTGCTTACTGACCGATCAAAGTCTCCCTGTAACTCCTGTAATAGTTCTCTAGGACTTGGATGTACAGGGGTTTGGGGTGGGCAATCAGTTGTTCCACTAAAGGAGACTGTAGATGGAGTTCTACTGGGACTCACAGGTGGAATAACCACTTCTGCTTGGGCTTTATTATAGGACTCCAATGCCTCCTGAAGATATTTATCATAATCTATCAAGGAATCAAGCTCTGTGACTCCAGCCCCATTATTCCTTCCACTTTCTTGCCTTGGGGTTACAACTGGTGGAGTGTTTGGATTAGGCTCCCTCGATGTGGAGCATAGGGTGGAGGTGGAAGCACCTCTTCCTCTGGTCCCTCAAAAATGGGTTTGAGTTTATTTGGCAAGATTCCTTTTCTAGCTTCGGCTTTTACAGCCAATAATTTGCATTGTTGGACTTTGCATTCCCTTATCCATGGAGGATTATTATTTAATGTGCTCAGCCAAGAATCTATATATGAAAATTGTTCTGGGCACCCTCCAGTTTCTTTGGTGATGTTAGACCAAAGTTTGCTTGCTAAATTTATATCAAAACTTCCCTGAGGTGGCCATCCAGTATTTTGTTTTGGCCAGTCTAATTCACATAACGTTCTCAAGCGCTCTGGCGTCATTTTGACTCCATATGCTCCTGAGAAGGCTTTCTTAAAATTATTTAACATACATTCAAGAGGTGTATTTTCCCCCCTTGAACCTCCAACTCCCATTGTATGGCCCTGTGAAGTATCCACTCAGTCACTCACACACACGCTTCGTGGGGATCCTTGCCTAGTGAAGTCGCCTTACTAGGAACCGAAGTACTACCCACTCCACACTCAGGTCAGCTACAGATTGTACTTTCTCACACATACAATGCGCTGGATACTTCACCACACACTACCTCCCAATCTTTCCCTTTTCCCTCCACCAGACCACCATCTGATGTACCCAACCACCTAGCGTACTCAGTTCCCCCTTACTGAGACGCAGAAGTTTGATCAAGACTTCTCTTCCTCCCAATTAATTGGAGGGCCACAACCCCTTTGTGCACTTACCCTTAGCTGGTTCCCTGTTTATTTCTCTGGTTACCCCCGGTCCGTCGCCGCCAGTGAGCAGGGTATCAGACAGACGAGACTTCTGCGTTCCCCTGGAAAAATGTTCCAGTGCGCGCTGGGTAAGCGGTCAGTGGTCCTCCCTCTTGTACCCTGCCCGCTAGGGCGAAGGGGCTGCGTTCCAGCAGACCACTTATCCGAGTCACAGAGGCACCATAAAATGTAGCACCCTGCTTGTGGTTAACGCTTAGCTGGAATGAAATATTCAACGCAGCAATAGAGAAATTAAAATAATAATTTATTTGTCAGACAAATAAATGAGAGACACAGTGGTATATGGATACCAAAGCTCTGCCTACTCCAGCCCTGATGGCCAGCACTTATATTTCCTCAGCCCAGCCCCCTTGCTCCTCCTTTGGCTGCCTCTGTCCAATCATCCTGGTTGAAATTCCTATTGGTTGTTTGCTAGAACCAATCATAAAAGATACACCCATTTCCTATTCCCTTTTATGGGAGACAAAAAGCTATATTTCCTTGTATCCATAAATGGCAGACAAGTAGCCATATATCTTACATTTACCTCGACCAGGCACCTCAATTACCAGATAACCTTTGGCCCCTGTTGCCCTATTCACCGCAAACCAGATGGCTAAAGCAGATGGTGCATGGTTTCTAATTTTTTTATCTTAAAGAGATCTTGAGTTCACCTTCTCACCCACCATAATAGGAATCTAACATAAGAATCTAACATTTCTTACTTTCTAAATCCTTTGCATAATCACATTTAAGCCAATATATTTCATACATAACATAGATAGATTTTTAGAAGGAAAGGCCTTTTCAAATTAGAAGGAACTTAGTAAATTCTCTGAAGCTTCAAAACAGTTTGGAGAGAGGCCTTTTTCCCTAACCAGCAGCTGTTTCTAAGAGCAACCTCTTCCATTTAACCTTTAACCTTATGGCTCGAGTCTTCTGTTAAACAATAAATTTCACTATTTACCAGTTCTTAATTGTGTTTTTACAGCTTGATTGTATTCTGGTCAGTGTGACCTTTTGCTCTCTGGCTCTAATTTCCTTTTACAACCTTGAAATACTTTTATTTATAGCAGTGGGGCCCCTTGAACAGCTGCCGGAGTATTCAGCTGCTCTTCTCCCTTGCAGAGAAAAATATATTTACAAATATAATTTTTTTAAGCTCAAAGCAGATTTTGATCAGATGCCTCAGCACCTCCCATTCCACTTGGGTGTCTTTGGGTCAGTCGCTGCCTCATCCTAACCTGCCACGCAGGGTTGTGGTGAGGATAAAACAAAGAGAGGGGAAAGTGTGTATGCCACACCTGGGATAGAAATGCAATCAATAAACGAATGATTCCCTGACCAGTGGCCATGCTGTTTGGAACTGATGGGAGTTGGGAGTTCAACAATATCTGGAGGGCTGCAGGTTCGCCACCCTGATTTATACCGAAGACGCTGTGGCAGCAAGAAAACACATTTCAGGCTTATCACAGGAACAGGAAATGTGTATCCACTGGATGATTTCCATTTAATAATAATAATAATAAATTTTATTTATACCCCGCCCTCCCCGGCTAGAGCCAGGCCAATAAAATTATAGTAAAAACATAATAGGAAAAAAAACAATTTAAAATACAGGTTAAAATGCAATTTTAAATGCAGCCTCATTTTAAAAGTAGCCCATAGATCAAAACCATAAGGGGAGGGAAACATAAGGGTCAGACTGAGTCCAAACCAGGCGGAACAGTTGTGTCTTGCAGGCCCTGCAGAAAGATGTCAAGTCCCGCAGGGCCCTAGTCTCTTGTGACAGAGCGTTCCACCAAGTCGGGGCCAGTACTGAAAAGGCCTTGGCCCTAGTTGCGACCAATCTAACCTCCTTGCAACCTGGGACCTCCAAAATGTTGTCATTTGTGGACCTTAAGGTTCTCCGCGGGGCATACCAGGTCCTGTAGGTAATCACATCTCAAATTTAAAAAGGCAGTGAGGTTGACCCTTCCAATATGCTTTTGCTGCTCATTTCATTTGGGCTTCCGTGGGACAAATTCCCAATGAATTTCCTGTCAGGGGTGGATGTATGGGTGTGCAAACAGGGGGCGCTGAGCCAAGAGGGCACCATCTTTGAGAAGGAGCCGGAAGGCTCTGACAGGGTCATAGAATGCTCCTGCCTCCTTCCCAAGGCCTAGTTAGCGCTTTTCCAGCTTTGGAAAAGACATCAGAGGGCTCCCAAAAACCAAGCTGCCACTAAAAAATCCCAGTCAAAGCATCTATTAGTCCTGGGATGAAAATTTCCATTGGCGCCAACAGACACTTTTCATCTGGGGTCAAAGCAACTGGAGTGGGGGAAGGGAAGGAGGTTAACCCTCTTTTCCACACACAATGGTTTTGATCCTGGTTGGGATCCATAACTATTTGAATTTTAAGAAGCTTTAGGTATGTTAAATGTCCTTGCACAATTAACATCACATCTGGTGGCTCTGCATCCCAACAGAAAAATCGGCACTCAAATATTTTGCGTGAATCCAATCTGAATTTGTGCCCTCCTGGTACAAGAGAGATCAGAGAGCTGAATTTTAGAAATGTTGTGTATCATTGTGATTATACAAAAGAATAAAAAAACCAGGTTTTGAACTGCGCATGTTTCTCTCTGCTGAAATAAAAAGTATTCACGTTATTAAACAGGGTTTGTGTTGAAGCAGAACTGGAGTGTCCTTGACTGCAATATAGGCTTTCTTGCTCCATTAAGGGGGCGGGTCCTTCTCTTCAATATTCCCACTATAGCAGTCTGATCATTATAAGGAGTGTGAAAAACACACCAAATCACACCTGAACCCAGTGAGCTAAATTTCATCTCCATTCTGACATTTGGTTTGGCTTGTTACGAGTTCCATGATCTCTACAACATAATCCCTCATGTGTATGTTGTGGGTTAACTTTGATTTCCTGGTATATATGAAGGCACTCACCTAGATTATGATATAAACATTACAAACAAAAACAGCCCTGCACTACTTTCCTCCTCACCCCCTTTTAAAGGAAAAATGTTGCCAGTGCATCATGATTTCGCAAGAAGTGACATAAAATGGGTAAAGATTTTATTTATTTACTTCTACATTTAGAACGTGCCTTCAGGGTGTCTGGGAATTTTGCTTCCTTTCGTTCTATGAAAGAAAGTCGTACAGGACCTTCTTTCTCCTCTAAGGAAAGGGTGGGGAACCTGTGGTCTCGTGGAAGGTGTTTGACTCCAACTCCCATCAGACCCAGCTGGCATGGCCAATGGCCAGGGACGATGGAAGTTGGAGTCCAACAACGTCTTGAGGACTACAGGTTCTTCATCACTCCTCCAAGGTTTCATTCTCTGAGCTAAAAGATTAGGATCCTTTGGGAATGGACAACAGCTCAGTAGTAGGCTGCTGCAACCTGGGAAAAGCTTGGCAGAAGAATACAGTAAATGGCACAAATCCCAAAGCCCTTCCTTATTCCTTAGGAAATGTTTATTTTGAGAATTCTTTCTCGTGGTTTTTGCTTTATATGAGCCTCAGCCAAGGGCCACCACCTCTCCTCTTCTTGACCCCGTGGCCACCACTGAGCACTCCATGTGGCTCCAGACCATTTTAGAATCCTACCTATGCAGTATTTGTACAGAACTCTGTGCACACTTGGCTGCGAGTGCTGTTATAAATAAATATATTATGGTTGTTTACGGAGCGGGGCAGTGCTGTTTGTACTAGGGATTGAATCCAAGAAGTTCTCTATTTTTGTACCTTGCAATATTATTAAGCTTTCCTTTAGAAAAGGGATTGAAAGACCCTGAGTTTCATCCTAGAGGTATGTAGTCAGCATTTAAAGTTGCCAAAGCATATTTGACTGGCTTGGAGTTTTTATTTCTTCGGGCAGGTGTGGGTAGCCAGTTGTTGCTGGATTTCAGCATAGGCGCTTATTCTGTCGGCTTTAGCTGTTGTTGTTTGTTTTGTGGCAATCACCTCGAGACTCATGTTGAAAGCAATTCCTAAATTAGATAAATAACAGAGTAAGCGGGACCCATTATCCCTGGCAATTGCCTAATGGGAACCAGAGTCCAACAACATCTGGAGGACCACAGGTTCCTCACCCTGTGGTTGAGATGACCATGATGGTCCAAACTACAACAATGAACAAGGCTCCTCACCCCTGTCTTAGGGGATATGGGTAATAACAGTGACAAGCAAGCAAATGGACAAATAGTTCCATACAGGTGTATCCCATGAGCTCAATCTCAAATGGCCAGATGAAAAAGTAAAGAAGGGCCAGTGAATATCTGATAAGCTGTGGATGTTTGATGGATCCCAGTTCCAATGACTTCATTGCACATAGGCTGCAGAGCTTGCTATATCAAGCAGAGGTCTGCAGGACTGCATAAAAGGAAACGCGAAGTTCTTGTTTGCTGTGTAGGATGTGACATCCGAAGCCACATCCTGCGCAAGATTGTTTGGAAATAAGCCCTGTTGTATTAATGGGTCTCACTCACCATATGAATTAAGGAAACTCACAAATGGAGAAAAACTTATTAACTCATGGGAACTTACAAGGACCGTTGCAATGTTTTTTTATGCCATGTTAAAGGAGGCACAAATTCATGGTTTACCGAGACAGGAATCAGGGAATCTCTATCTCTGAAGAGAAATGGAAATGGAATTATTTGTCACTCAATAAAGTTAGTGAAGAAGATGCAACACCAACGTAAACACCATTGGTACTTAACTCAAGCTCGACATTCTCAACAGCTAGATTTAAATGTTGGAAATACAACGAGTCTCCTTTATATGTGGCAGGAATGTCAACATGTCAAAAGTTATTGGAGACATTTTGGGAGCATAATATTGCAAACTGGGGCTTAAACCCTTCATTGGTCCTTTTCAATGTAACTCGGCTTGGTATTCCTGAGATCTAAAAATCATTGATCCTCCACTTAATGATTGATGTTAAAATAATATAGGATTGATATTGGAAAAAACACCAGTCTCCCTCCATTTGGGAATTGGTGTTAAAATGTTTGGACCTAGCTATAATGGAAAAAATGATGGAAAGTATCAAAGATTTGGGACAAAACAGATCATCAATATAGCAGACAAGTAGTTAAGTTGTATTGTTTATTGGAATAATAACTGTGGACATAATAAATGGGACAGAAGTCTGTTTTTTGTAGTATCAAATAATGTAATGTTTAAATTTTAATTTATCACAATAGATTTATTTATTTATTTGGGTTTTAAAGGTAAGTGAGAATTGGACTGTTGCCTCATTGGGAACTGATGCTGCCTTGGGAACCTATGGTTGGTACTGCACATAAAGCAGGAATCAGCTTTTAGTGTATCAAATATGAAAAGTTGGGAGCTCCAAGGCAACCATTCTACAATATTCAAAGTTAGATACTGAGTGGAGTGGAGTGATCTTACATGAGTATTGATTTGTTTGTACCATGGTTATAGATGACCTAAATCCAAGAAGTTCTGATATTGGTCTGAGCTGTGTTTCAGTCCATCTGAAGTAGCCCATGGATATAACATTAGGATTTTAGTCACATTCTAGGTTTAGCCTCCCATCTATTCCTAATGCAGATGTTTGAACTACATGCGGTTCTGCAGAATCGCATGGTACCATTCTTGCTTGTGCCACATGATTTTGCTAGTCATGAATATTAGCTTTTAGGGTCATGGTACTGAAATCAAATTGAACCACACTGTCACTGTACGGGTCCTGCTTGCTAAATTATTCCGGTTCAGATAAACCAAATCACAGAAATCTGACAACCAAAGTCTCCATTCTTACTTACTAGATAAAATGGCTAAATGGATCAAACAAAATATCCAAAAAGAACTCACCAAGATGCAAATTCCAACTGGTCAATATATTAAATTGTGGTTGAGTCATGTTGTGTCATACCATAGTTCACCAGGAAACAACTGAGACAAAACGAATGGAGAAGGTGACATGGGAAGTGTGTGCCAAAGTGCAAGAATATTTTGCTAAGTGAAAAGGTGAAGTAGTTTTATATAGGTGAAAATGGGGGTGCTGGTCTGCACAGCCTGATCACTGGAGCTCTTTTTATCTCTGGAATATCCTCAGGGAAAAAACTATGGCTCCTGCCTGAATAAACCTGCCCATCTAGTCAATGTTTGCATTCACAAAATGAAAAACTGACTTGCTCTTTGCCAAATAACTTAACGGTCCTTAGTATGACTGCAATTGAGTATTTTCTTTGGCAGGGATGGGGAATCTGTGGCCCTTCAGATATTGTAGGACTCAGCTTCCTTCTCAACCCCAGTCCACATGGCCAACGGTCATGGATAATGAAATTCCAACAACATCCAGAGGGTAACATGTTTCCCATCCTTCTCCACTGGAAAGCAAAGAGGTCATAGACATGTCCCCTGCCAAGGGAATCTTACTGCATTTCCTTATCAGATACCCACTTCATTGAGTGTGGGTTCCATTGAAACCATACTATCACTGCAGCAGGAAGTGTCTTATGCAATGGGTTTCCTAGGCCCAGAAAAAACCTCAACAGGCTCAACTAGCCTATCGGAAGCAACATTCAGTGAAAGAGGCCTGTGAATGGTGGTGGTGAGATCAGAAACATGATGTTTTCCTTGATGTGATCTTCTGTTGATTCAGGATGAGCACTTGACAGAACCATCCTGAAGAACAGAAAGGTGTCTGCGTGAGTGAGTGAGTGAGTGATATGACTTCTGGAAACAGAAACTTTACGGGAAAAGATGGGTTTGAAATGAGAGCCGAAAGAAGCCACTGAATTTTAGCCCAAGGTTTAGCTTGGTGACAAAGAGTGGAACTGTCGTGTTTCCATTTCATCTACTCGGGCGAGTAGTCTAACTCGTCATTTGAAATCAGTGCATCCGAGTTCTGTTTGTGTTTGCCTTTGCTCTTTGATTTGCTACTTGTCCGACTGTTTTCCTTTGCTTCTGACATATGCTGGTAAGAGAAACCTTTGTCGTCGGCAGGATCCCAGTCCTGGTAGTTGTCGTTCTCGGCGTAGGCCAAGCCATCGTCGACGGAGAAGGGGTCGACATCAACATCGTAGCGCTGGTATGTGCTCTGATGCAGCGCCTCTTCCCGAGCCGTGATCTCCAGTGTGCTGTTCCATATGCCATAGCCAAAATAAATCAGCAACCCTGCAGGAGAGGGGAGAGTTTGGCTGGTAAAAATATTGTACTGTAGTCTGAATTAGGGTTGCCTTGTAGGCAATCCAACATGAAACGGTTCCAAGCTTTAATGAATCTATAAACACTGCTGCAGAATTTGAGTGGTTTATTATCTATATTTCACCATGTGGATTATATACTCTGTGGGATAGTTCCAAAACTATCTTGATTGTGCCGTTCCTTCCCCTTTTGCTGAGCTCTTTTTCTGAAAATACATTTTATTTACTAGATGTTTCAGTTGCAAAGCCAAACCCCCAGGGCAGAAAAGGAAACGTGTAAAATAATTACACAACCTGCTGTGCTATATTTTTGTTTTTCACCTGTAGGTTTTCATTGGCACAATATCAAAGCAGGATTTAGTAACAAAACAAACCACATCACTAATTTTTTTTAAAAATGAAGAAAAGGAGGATAAACACAAAGAAAAAGATCTCTTGATTATGTTCTTCTGTGGCCTTTGCTTCCTCTCATTTCAATGGCAGACTAGCAGAGGCTGAGAGGGAGGAAAACAAGTTGAGGATAAGGAACAGGGCAAGAGATGAGAGTCACATGCAAATATAGGAGTTGTATCCCATGTTGTGCCTCATGTTGATAGAAAGGGAACTTCTTTCCAGGCGTGGAAAGGGAAGAGAGGCGTTTCCTCCATTTCCCCTTTCCCTCTGCAGTCTCCCATGCCACCTTCTTCACAGTTCCAAAGGGTCCCCCAGTCCTTTGGAGAAGGTTTTGGGGGGCATGTGGGTAAGGGGGACGCAGAGGAAGTGGAAAATGACAAATCATATCCCTCCATATTCAACTGGTGGAAGGCTCTGCTGTATCAAAGATTCTTCTGTTGAACAACAGAGGTTGCCAACGTGGCATTTCCTGGACTACAACTCCCATCATCCTTGACCATTGGCCACGGCTGACTGGGGCTGATGGGAGTTGCAGTCCAACAACATCTAGATGGCACCTCACTGACTATCGATATGTTAGCATGAGAAACTCCACAAGGGAAGGGTTTAAGAGCTACTGAATTTCTTTTTATGTAGTTATTCTATTCTGCTGTGAAATGGGATTCCCAGCGGTGACCCATCCAAATGAAGGTTTAGTTAGGTGTAGTCACAGATGCTTCAAGCCATTCACTGGGTCCATGCTGATATTATACAGTAGTGCCATGTGCTGTCATGCCATAACTCACCAATCAATACTTCATAGGTAGAACTTTTGTAAAGCCAAATGGGGGATGCTTCTTTTAAGACAGGGGTGGGAAACCTGTGACCCCCTAGAAGTTGGTGGACTCCATCTCTCAGCCACTGCAACCACCACAGTCTGTGGTCAGGGGTGATGAGAGCTGATGTCCAGCAACATCTGGAGGGCCACCATTTCCCCACATCTGCTCTAAGAAGAGGTTTCCATTCTCCAAACCAATGAAGGTTGGTTGAAACTGAGCACTCTGACATACTCTGGGTGGTCTCTTCAGTGGAATTATCCCATATTGCCAGGGATTGGCTGAATGACAAGGAGTAGTAGGAGGCGCCAGCCAGGGGACCTCTGAGGGAAATTGCAGAGGAGGAAGGTTCAGAGCCTGAGAATTGGTGGTGGTCAGAGGGAGAAGATTGGGAGAAGGAGTTGCATGCTGAAGGGACAACAGGGTTTTATGAGCTGGAGGAACCTGTGACAGGGAGCAGTTCAGACTCTGAGGCTGAAGCAGAGGTCAAGAGACTGCTGAAGAATCCAGGGAGTCTCCATCTCCTGCTCTGGCAAGCTCCGCTCCCCATCCCTGTCTCCAAGAATGAGAAGGATAATGAGAAGAGTGGAACAGAGGTCAAAGGTGGGCAGACACAGTTTGAGGCTGCTTGGGAAACATCCAGGAGAGGAGGAGTATTAGAAGGAGTTGAAGGCAGGGACCTTCAGTCCTGGCAACTGCTCTATAGGGGAAAGACCTACTGGGAATTGTTGTTGAGTTGTAAGCCATTTCCTTGAATAAAGTGTTAACTTGACTGACAACTGTCTCTGCTTCTTTGTGCTGACCTGCATCTGACCCTGACACATGCACTGTCCCCAAACCTTCACACCCCACGTTTAGAACATACCCACAAAACACCAGACAGCAAACCGGATCCAGGTGATCCTTGAAAGTTTCAGCATGAGATAGATGTTCACAAGCATAGCGAAGGCTGGGACAAAAGGCAGGCAAGGAGCCATATAAGGGAGCTTTTTGGGGTTTTCTGGCTGCTGAAGGATGACGAACACCAACACAGTGATCAGCAGGACCATCAGGACCACCAGAAGAATTGCCCACCAACTTTGGTCATAGAGGTAGTCCACCCCAAAAATGATGAAAGAGCAGAAGATGAACATTAGGACAAACAGCAAGAGCACACAAGTGGTGACAGTCTGGCCAGTAGCCGCAGTGGGTCGATCCATTTTCCCGGGAAGTCCCAGGTGGATCCTCATCGTGTAGTATCGTGGTCCTATGAGTTTCTTTAGCTTGATGAGGTAGATGTTCTCAGACTCATCTGCCTCTATTCCAGAAGTCATGTCGACTGTGCCATAATTGGGGTGGTTGACGTTGTAAGCGGATTTGTCCGATTTCCCAATGAGCATCTCGTTGTCGCCCAAGGAAGGCAGGTTCTTAGCGCCACAAGTGTTGGTGGGCGGGCCTGCAAACTCCTCCCCTTCGCTGACCGGAGAGCAGACTTCCTTCTCGCAGTCTGCTATGATCCCTTCCTTCTTCTTTGTGTGCTCTTCAGAAAGGAACTTGACGAAGCCGTCAATGTCGCTTTCTGGTTGGTACCGAAGAAGCAGGACGCACACAGAGACCAAAGTGTAGGCGAGCAAGGTGCCGATGGACATCATCTCTATCAGGTCCCTCAGGCTTACCAGCAAGGAGAGCAGGGCTGCGAGAAACCCTGAGACAATGCAGGCGACCACGGGAGTCTCCGTGTAAGAACTTACATGGGACAAGAATCTAGACGTGAAAGAGTTAAAATTAGCATAAACACCATAAACTCCTTATTATTGACTTTTAGGACAAAGGAAGAGAACCTGTGGCCCACCATATGTTTGTTTCTTTATTTTATTTTATTTTATTTATTCCATAAAATTTACACACTGCTTGACGGTAATAAGAAACTTCAAGGAAGGTTTATGGAAAGATAAAACAAGAAAATCAAGAAAAATCTACAACCCTGCTTCAAAACATGCAAAAGTTAAAATACTAAAGCAGATGAAAATCACCTCAGCTTTCTAAGCTTGTCTAAACACTGCCAAAAAGCGGATGCCAAAAAGAGTACAGTGAAGGCTCAAGCTCAATAGGCAGGGAGTATCTCACAAATACGGGCATCTGTAGTAGTAGCACAAATTCTGCCGATCAAAGCGGTTGAGTGGGCACATGTAATGTAAGGTGATCTCATAGGTAAATGGTCCCAAATTGTTAAGGGCTTTATATGCCATCTTGGCTGTGAGTCCTGGAAGACCTGCCCCTCTACTTGCTGGCCTTTTCCTACCTGCCTTGGGAGGGTGGGGCCTTGACTGACTCCAACTACAAAAGCTGAGGCTGCTGAACAGATTCTTGGGCTAGGGTATTGCTTCGGGGTTGTTGTTTCTTTCTTTGGCTGCAGTTATTGATGTTGTTGTTATTATTTTGCATCTTCATTTTTAGATCTTATAACAATTTATGTGGAAATTGTTCCGTTATGGTTGTTTAGTTTTTGGTGTGTTGTATTTCTGCTTGTAATTATGTAAATCTTTTCATGTCCTAAGCCACCTTGAGCATGGTTTTAACTATGGAAAGGCAGCATACACATTAAATGAGGATGATATGCTAGTAGTAACAAGTAGTAACACCTTGAACTCAGCTGGGTAGCAAACTGGTAACCAGTGCAGATCTCTGAGCCCAGGTGTTGTATGCTGACAAGGCCTCACTCCTGTCAGCAATCGTGTTGTAGCATTCTGTACTAACTGCAGCTTCTGGACCGAATGCGAGTGATGTGCTATATAGAGTGCGTGTAGATAGACTAAAATCCCCATCATTAATGGGGGATGCTGACTAGCTGATGGGAGTCTGAATCACCTGGTAGAACAGAGGCAGCCACTGTCCTGCCTTCAAACTGTTGTTGGACTCCCACCACCCCTGACTGGCTATGCTGGCTGGAGGGTTGATGGCTTATAGAGCCCAACTTCTGGCTAGCCCTGGCAAGGTCTTCCAAGGCCCCTTCTCCAACTGCCTCTGATGACATGGGACTTACCTGAAGAGAAGCCCATCGCCAGCCATAGCATAAATGATCCGAGGCATAGGGAAGAGGGAGCCCAGCAAGCTCACCGTCAACCCAGCCACAGACCCGATGGCAACAATGAACTTGGCAGTGTAGAATCGGTGGGCTGCAAACATCTCCATCAGGGGCGATTCGGTATCAATGTCGGTGTATGGCACCATCAGAGTCAAGATTATGCTCACCTGTTGAGTGGGAAGAGTGAAGGTGATGTACGGTTAGAAGTGGCACAGGGTTTATTTATTTATTTATTTATTTTGGGTGTCCCATTGTAGTTTTCTGGGCAACTCACTCCTTTTGTTTACTACCACCCTTCACCAATTGATCCCAGGGCCAGTTTAAAAATCGAATCATAAAAATAGAATAGATAAAACAGCAATATAATCACACACACACATGTATGTGTACACACACATACCAGCAGTACAGGAGAAAGAGGCAGCATCCTATTTTTCTGGACATTATGAAAAGAAAACCAAAACCCGAAGCAATCGTACATTCCATTCGCAAATGCAGAGCTCCAGCTTCATTTGATTAAACGAAGCTGCTAAGATCTCATGGAATGTTTATGAATATTCCATTAGTTCAGAAGTTTGTAAAAGGGATAGAGGGAGCTCTTATGGAAGGTTGCAGAGGAGCCAGGAAGCAGCACTATGACAACAGTAGTTAACTGTTAGGCTGAGTGTGTGGTTGGCATATGTGGGAGTGCTATGTGAGCCGGGGGTGTGAGTAGTATGCACATTGTGCATAAATTGTGTGTGTGTAAGAGAGAGAGAAAATGTGAATGAAGAATGGGCACAGAAAATATGACCGACCGCAAACCCATCAGCAGGGTTCGCCCAATACATTTTGTTGTTGGAGATGAAGGAAAAGATGCCCCCACCCACTGCATTCCATGTACCAGATTGGCAGGTGAATTTTACCTTGACTCTGGCAATGGGGCAGCAGTATCCACTGCACCTGAGGGCCACAGGAGTGTGTGTGTACAGGGCAGACCATGTTGCCCAAATAGCTCTGTCCTCTAGCATCTACTGGTGGAGGCAGCTGCCCTGCTCTCCCTAATGGTACGACCAATTCTGCAGTCCACATGGACAAGCAACCATGAGCCTTGATCAGAAGCTTGCCTTCCTATATACATAAAAATGAAAGGTTGTCTTCACACCGAGGTTCGCGCGGCCATCAATAGGCGACCATGCCAACCCCAGCGTGACAACGATGCTCAGCAAATGAGCAAGCAAGCAGAGCAGGTGGCACAGGTGATCTGTTGAATGGAGGAGGGGGAGGCGTGGTTTGCCAAGGTCCCCCCCCTCCTTTTAAGCTCAAACAAACACTTTTGTATTGCCACATAGTTCAGACATTCCTCAGCTTGCACCTTACGTTCTCAGCCACCATGTTACACCTTCCTGCAAAACGCAGAATAGTACAGAAAGCTTACTTACGGACACATAGGCGGTCAGGCACGTGACAAGTGAAGCAGTGATGGCATAAGGGATGGAAGTGTTGGGACTCTTTGCTTCTTCTCCAGTGGTGGCAATGATGTCAAATCCAATGAAGGCGTAGAAGCAGGTGGCTGCACCTTGTAGCACCTGCATGACCAATAGACTCACGTTAGACTGATCGAGGCTTCCAAGTCATATCCATTTATCTGGAACTAACAATGCCTTCTTACATTCCTAATGACAACCTGCACACTTCTTTACAGCTATTAATGGTGCAGGAGTCCCATATTCTTTTGCATGTGACCACCCTACTTTTATGACACCCCAAATCAGCTGCCTGAGGTGGCTGCCTCATCCTGCCTCAAGGTAGGCGGAGCCCTGACTGGCAATTCAAGTAGGTAGCAAAGAAAGAGAAAATAGAAGGGAATAGGTTAGCCCAGGGGCAACCAATGCAGCGCATTCCAGAAGCTATTGGACTCCAAATCCCATTAGCCTCAGTGGCCAATGGTCCAGACTCATGGGATCTGGAGTCCAAAAACATCTGGGGAGGATCACGCTTGCTACCCTTGCACTAAACAAGGTGAACAATGGGAAGAAGTTGCAGAGATTGGGACAGCACAGGGACAGATGGCCTTGCATGCAACAAATTAAATGCTCATTTGAAAGAAACATAATTTCTCCAAACGCCAGGGATGGTTAACTGGTGGCACTCCAGACTCCCAACTCCCATCAGCCAGAATGGCCAGTAACCAGGAAATCCCACTTTAGGCTTTATGGAATAGTCCTTCCATCTCTTTAAAAATAATCTAGCAAAGTTAGTTTTAAAACTGAAAGCCAACACATTTCTCCTCTTTGCTGCGGCATTTTCTGGGCCAAACATTCAAGAGGCAAGCAGCATAAATCCAACTCACTAGCTTGGGGTCCAGGCCAGAATACCTGCAGTCTCTGCTCCTCCTTGGAGAAGAGCTTGCCTCTGCAAGGCAGGAAATCCAAATCTGTTTGAATTCCCAGCTGAGTTTTAAGCTGACACATGTGTAACAAGCACTAATTGGGCAGCACTGGGAAGTGTATATAAAGCAAATAACTTAGGCCCATTGCTATACAGTACTGAGAAACAACCAAAGCAAATATCAGTGCATCCTAGTCTACTTCAGACTTCCCCAATCTGCTGCCCTCCAGGTGTTCTGAACTACAATGCCCATGAGCCCCAGTCAGCTGTGTTGGAAGGTACCAGGTTGGGGGAGACCCACTTTAACACACTGGTGCCCATTTAAATTCAGTTGAAAGCAAAGGGGTTTGTCGTCCCATTGCTTATAACGGTGTGCATAGCCTGATCCTATGCATCAGAAAGAAGTCCCACTGAGTTTAGTAGTGTTAATGCTCAAGCAAGCATGCATAAGATTACAGCCATGCAGTGCAATCCTGGCCATGTTTAGGGACGTCAGTCCTACCATGTCCGATTTAATAGGGCATAATCCCAGAAAAGTGTGCACAAGATTGTAGTCATAGGCATATATACTTCCTTTTAGATTGCACCCACTGACATCATGCTTTTCACCCATGTCATTTTTTGTTCTCAGCAAACCATTTACCTGCCTGTTGGTGCTGTGCGTTTTATTATACGCTGCTTATGGGATCAATTGTAATTAGCCTTTAAGTCATCAGCTCTCCAGAGAGCGCGATAATTGTGTTTATGCATTGTTAATTTCACTTGGTTGAGCAATTCTGTTTTAGCCACCTTTAATTTTGCCAGCTGGAGAGTGAAGTGGTGTTTTGTTTTGTTTTGAACTTGAATGAAAATCTGGAACATACTTTGGGGGTGGTATTTATTTCAAATGGACTAGTAAAAGAATGGAACGTTGATTAAGCAATGGGCTATAAGCCACAATGGCTATGTTTGACCTCTGCCTCTGAAACCACAGGTGGGCAGAAGGCTGTTACACTCATGCCCTACTTGTGAACTTCTCACAGGCATCTGGTTGGCTACAGTGACAACAGAATGCTGAACTAGAAGGGCCACTCCATCAGTCTCATGTTCTTAGGTATCTAGCTTCAAGGTAGCAATGGAGGTTTAATGGAGCTTCAAGGAATTCTTAAGGGAGACATCCAGAAATCTGTCTTGGAAGTGGAGATTGGAGATTTACATCATGGTTTGGTACAGCAGAGGTGGGGGAACTGTGGGCATCTATATATATATATATATATATATATATATATATATATATATATATATAATTTTTATTAAATCTCCAAAAATATGCCAAAACATTTATTCACACACACACAAAATTCAACATAAATTTCTTCTTGACTTCCCACCCCTCCTTTCCCGATGCTTGTATTTTTACTTCTTTTTAGGGAAGCTGTGAGCTTCCACATGTGCTTAGACTTCAGTTCCCATCAGTCCCAGTCATGGGGCCAAGGATGATGGAATTTGCAGTCCTACAAGATAAGGAGAGCTATTAGGTATGTTATTGTTGAGTATCGTATGTCATTGAGTATGTCATTGAGATGACATAAGGAGTCAGGCCAAGGAGATGAGAGGAGGTTGTATCCAGTGCTGCAGATTCACCACTGAAGGAGATTTCCTCAGCAGAACTCCCACCACTTCTCTTCTGCAGTCCCCTCCAGACCTGAATATCTGCTCTAGAAGGGGTGCATGGGGAGAGGGGAGGGAAGAGAAATCCCATTGCTTGAGCCACTTGTACAGCATTGGATACAACCCAGGATCCTTATATGAAAGGGGTGCCTGCTGTGGATTTCTCCTTGCCAATAATAAAAATGGAGATCCATGTAATATGATGCATTTAAACACTTATCCTGTGGTTGCCAGGCTTTTAGGCTGATAATGGCCGAATTCTTTATCGAAATCACTCACCCCCGACCATCCAAATGGCAGGAACTGCCCTTCAGCCCAATATTCTCCATTGACATAGAAGAGTCCAGCAATCATGATGAAGAGCCACACCACCAAGTTAATCACGTTGAGGACATTGTTAAATCCCACGGAGTTCTTCACTCCCAAAGCGACAATGATCGTTACAATGACAGCAATGAGCAAAGCCAGCAAATCTGGGTAAGATTCTTCTCCTTTACCTATGAGAAGAAAACATAGGTATATATGGAACTTTGGAAATATAGCAGAAACAAAGGAAAGGCAAATAAACGATCTTCTGGGGGAATGTGTCGGTTTCAGAAATACTTCTGCACTTAGTATTCACAGCACAGCAGACATGCTATGTCAACTCTTTCTTATAGGAGCATCGGCATGGCATTGCCATTAGATGGTTTTGTTCCTGTGTCTTCTCTGCAGTTCTTTTCTGTTTTCTTTTCAGAGCACAGAAAGTCTGACTTGTTCCCCAAACAATGGAAGAGCAGAACCGTCTCCAGAACTGTAGGAAACTTGAGCACCACCTGTTCTATTTCTTATGGCATATTGGGCAGCTGAGCACATTGTCACACGTGGACATCTCTGTGCATCTTCACTATTACCTTTCGGTGTTAATCTGCAATTTTTTTTTTGCATACAGTATATATTTAATGAAAATGAAACAAAACATTTCATAGTGCTTAAAGATAAGGGTGGGGTGTTTTTTTTAGTGCAAATAATTCTTTTGATTCCCATCTCTTGAAAGGAAACCATCTTTATGACCCTGCATTTATCTCCATGGTGTTTTTTTAATCTAGTTTTCTTTCGTTTACTTTTTAATGCTCTTAAAAAGCAAATGCACAATAGTGCTGAAATTTAAAAAACGCCTTAAACACAAGTGTTGGAAATGTCCGAAAGGTGGGTTTCAGTATGGTAGTCCCTGCTCTGCTTATATCAAGTCCAATGGCAGCAGTTGGTCTAGGGCCCTAGGGTAAGGTCCCCCAAGTAAGGTCCCCTAGGGTCCTGACCCTTCTACCCAGTCACTCACCATTCCCCTGTTGGACCCAGGACCAGATGTATTTTAGCTGTGGTGTGTGACTGCTGCTCTTGAATATGGCCTGGCCTTGCTGGGGCTCTGGGAAGGACCAAGCCTTCTGAGTGAGTTGCCACTAAGTTTTTCTGTGGCAACTGGAAAGCTTTTTAAACTTAGATGCACATTTCCCTAAGCTTGGGGACTGGAAATGTTGAATCAATGCACACAATATTTCAATTTCAAACCATCTTGGTATGCTGTGGCTTCCATTCAGAATCCTATGGCCTCTTGGAGCCTAACTTACATGATCAGGCAAAGACAAGAGTCTCAATCCGGGATAATCCTTACCCAGCCCATTCAAAGTCCCAACGGTGTCAATCATCCAGCGACTGATGGTGTGATTGGCCAGGGAGTCGAACATGCTGCTTAGAGCACTGGCACCTGCTGCTGTGCCGATCAGATACTCCAGGATTAGGTTCCATCCGATGAAAAATGCCACAAACTCTCCCACCGTGACGTAGCTGTAAGTGTAGGCGGAGCCAGTGGTTTTTGGAACTCGCACACCAAACTCGGCATAGCAAACCCCTGGACAGAGACACAGGAAATGCATGTAACCATAAGGAAATGTGGCTGAAGGAAAAGTAATCGCTTATAAATTGGCGTCAAAACAAGAAAATGGTTGAGCTCTTGTGAAGGAATATCCAAGCCCTTAAAGGTTTGTCCCTTTAAGAGTTCCTCTCTTTGTTCAAAGAGTCCCTCTCTATTAGAGAAGTGGGCAAGATATGTATACCTCTTTCTTTCTCTCTAAATCCACATGAAGAGGCTTGGGGTGCTAAATCAGTCTAGCCTTTGTGGAATTGGCATGGCACCATTATTCTTGCTTGCCCTGCCCTTCCTGGCAGTGGTAAGCATCAACTGCTCATCTATTGGGCCAGGGTTTCCCAGACTTGGGTCTCCAGCTGTTTTTGAACTACTACTCCCATCATCCTTAGCTAGCAGGACCAGCGGTCAGGGATGGTGGGAATTGTAGTCCATAAACAGCTGGAGACCCAAGTTTGAGAAACCCTTTCCTAGGCCATGGCTGGGGAATATGTTACTCTCCATATGCTGCTGGACTCAAGTTCCAACCCGCCCCCCACCACGCCTTGAACCCTAAACAAGCCTCTTCAAATCAAATTAGAAGCTGTTTCCATGATTTGCCTAGCCCAAAAGATGTGCCTCATCTATGTGCTAAGCCATAAGGGTCATGCGACATGTTTAGTAGCGGGTGTTTAGGACACAGGTGGCGCCGTGGGTTAAACCACAGAGCCTAGGACTTGCTGATCAGAAGGTCAGTGGTTCGAATCCCCGCGGCGGGGTGAACTCCCGTTGTTCAGTCCCAGCTCCTCCCAACCTAGCAGTTTGAAAGCATGTCAAGTGCAAGTAGATAAATAGGTGGAAAGGTAAACAGTGTTTCCATGCGCTGCTCTGGTTCGCCAGAAGCAGCTTAGTCATGCTGGCCATATGACCCGGAAGCTGTTCGCCGGCTCCCTCGGCCGGTAAAGCGAGATGAGTGCCGCAACCCCAGAGTTGTCCGCAACTGGACCTAAAGGTCAGGGGTCCCTTTACCTTTACCTTTACATGTCTAAAGGGAGAGATACAGGGAAGCACAGCTTGGATTCGGACAGCATGTAAACAGGCAGGAGTTTGGTAACAGTGTTACCACCATTCAGGTAAATAAAACCACAGGGTTGGCTTTCTCCCTTGTCTAGAATTAGGTTTGGTAGAGGGAATGCTGGAGGCTGCCAGAATCCAAAGAAGTGCACTGCAGTCCAGGATGGGTGGAAGAGCAAGTTAACAGCCACTGACACCCAGTGCTGGCTACGTGAGGCAGCTACCCCACTCTGCCCAACAGCAGGGCTGTTTACTACAACAATGTACTATTCCAATGAAATGCTAACTTGGAAATGTGCTCCAGGTGTCGGTAAAGGTAAAGGGACCCCTGCCCATTAGGTCCAGTCGTGACTGACTCTGGGGTTGCAGCGCTCATCTTGCTTTATCGGCCGAGGGAGCTGGCGTACAGCTTCCGGGTCATGTGGCCAGCATGACTAAGCCGCTTCTGCCGAACCAGAGCAGCACAAACTGCTAGGTTGGCAGGAGCAGGGACGGAGCAACGGGAGCTCACCCCGTTGCGGGGATTTGAAATGCCGACCTTCTATACAGCTTGGGACCAGGATAGCCAACTGCTCATCTCACTGCTTAAATACTTAACTGAACACTGAGCACTGCAGGTGGGAGCCTCCTGTGCAGACCACCTTAAGGTCAGGAGGTCCTTTCCATATGATGCAGGAACCAGGCCTTTAGTGTAGCAACACCTACCCTTTGGAGGTCCTCCTGTTAGATATCAGGAAAGAGTGAATTCCATCAGCCTGGAGAGCTCAGTTGGTTAGAGTGTGGTGCTGATAATGCCAAGATTGCAGGTTTGATTCCTGTATGGGACAACTGCATATTCTTGTACTGCAGGAGGTTGGATATAGATGATCCCCAGGGCTCCTTCCAACTCTCCAATTCTATTATCTTTTTGGTATCTATTAAAGACCTTCCTTTTCAAACAAGCCCCCCCCCCCCCCAATCTGTTTCCATATTGGACTTTAAATTGCTTTCATTTATATTTTCATTGTTGATGTTTTCATTAAATCGTTTCAGAGTGTTTTATGGGAAATAATTGATTAACAAAACAAATAAAACGAATTACTGAAAGCACCAATAAAACCCATCTTTTCTAACCAGTCGCTCCTGGCGTTTATAGCCGCAGACTCGTTGCTGGTTCAGGTCTGTGCCTCCTCTGTTCTGATAGCGAGACAGACTGTTATTAACATCACTTAGATCAATGGGAACAACACTAACCCCAGCGGTCAATAATACCCTGTAATTGAAATGTGTATGCCCGCCTCTGCTCTTTCATTCTGGAGTATGATAAGCAGGTAGGAAGAATGCAATTTCTAGCCAATTCCATTCTGTTGTAGGAGCATTCATTGGTTCCTCCCACCCCCCACCCCGGCCTTCTGTTTGATTTCACAGTCAATTCCTAAAGTGTATACTGTCACATGGTTGTTATGCTGTCAGAACTTCTAGCATGCTGAAAAGAATATGAATGATTCAAAGCTACCATGAGCAGGCCCAGCCTCTTCATTTACAGAGCAACAAATGGCGCGCGTGTGCATGTGCACACGCACACACACACGCATGGTCAATGGATGGAGAAATCCGTCCATTTCCATTTCACATTTTTCCAATTCAATTCATACATCAGTTTGTGATTTTTTGAAAAAGTCCTCGTGAAAATTCACCTGCATTTTACGGAGCATTTCCCCTAATATATAAATTTCTGTATGTGATTTTGCTTATTTTTATAAGTGCTTTCCCCTGCATATGGATTTTTGTATATATATTTTCATATTATACTGAGAAGTGTGAATTAGGTAGGCTTGTGTTAAAATTTCTCCACCCCAGTACTGATGAAGTTATTTTGGCACCTGGCATAGTAAGCCCCATGAGCTTACTAGCATGTGAAAAGGATCCAGGGGTCTTAGTAGACCACAAGCTTAACATGAGTCAACAGTGTGATGCAGCAGCAGCAGCAGCAAAAAAGTTAATGCTATTCTAGGCTGCATCAACAGAAGGATAGTATCCAGATCAATTTCTCCTGAGAGGCACATCTTTGTATGCAATTCTGCCCAATGTATGCATTACTGCAAAGCAGATTTCCCCAATACAATGCATTTTTATGCACGTTTTCACTCTAATTTATGCATTTTGTACACATTACTCGGCTGGAGTACTGCCGCTGCAAATCTGGAGAAGCAAAAATGTTGACAGATCGCTGGGTTTCATTTCTCATATTGTTTTGGAAACTGCGAAGTTTGCCTTTGAATGAACACTGAATCAAATTTCTCCCCTATCTGTCCTTCTGAGTTTGCAACTAGCCTGACATCTTGAGAAGATGATTCAAATGACTGTCATTTTCACATTGCCCCAGTTTTCCCACTAAGTCCAGTGAATGTGCTAAATGGCACATGAAGGCGCAGGCTGATGATATTAAGTGCTCTTTTTATTGAAGGCCCTCTATATTTCATGCACTTTCATATGCACTTGGATAATGAAAGCTTTCAAGGGGATATCTGAGACTTTTATTTCTACCATGTAGATCAGGAACAAGGAAGAATGAGGTGGGGGAGGAACCAATCCGAATTCCTCTCCCCCTTCCCCGCCGGCCGACCCCTCAACCATTGACTTGCACATAAAGTAATTATTCAAAGCTGATTAAAAATGCATGCAAGCTGCACACACAAGAGACCAGAGAATAAGTACATGCCTTGAAAGATTGATGAAACAGATGCCTTGATGAAGACAGGTATTCTATTCCAGGCTTTGACTTGAAAAACCATAACGAAGCTGGTGGCTAACTTTAGCCCACAGGCAGGCAGGCAAGGTTTGTGTTTAATGTGCAAAATGAGAACTCGCCAAGTGTCCCTATATTCCAGGGACAGTCCCAGATTTGCAGAAGCCGTCCCAGTTTCCGATTTGATCCCAGAATGTCCCGCTTTTCCTGTTTTCATCGGAGAAATGTTGGAGGGCATGCATAGTGGTAACTAATTGCTATCTCATTAGTATGCCAAGGTAATTCGAGCTCCTGTTATAATTTTCATATGGAACATATGCAGAATTTCCTGTGCCTTGGTTATCCAGAGAGGCTCGTTCGTGCACGAAACCACACACACACAGGAAAAGCAAGAAGCATCTCGGCGGGGGAAGATAACAAAGGAGAAACCATCTCAAAGAGGCTGCAGAGTATTGCAGTTTTTATTCATGCCCAGTGCATTTCAGCAGGCTATCCTCCTGGGCTTTTCTACAAAAATATAGGACGGCGGTGAATAAACAGTGTTGGGTGGTGCTGCGGGTTAAACCACAGAGCCTAGGACTTGCTGATCAGAAGGTCGGCGGTTCGAATCCCCGCAATGGGGTGAGCTCCCTTTGCTCGGTCCCTGCTTCTGCCAACCTAGCAGTTTGAAAGCACGTCAAAGTGCAAGTAGATAAATAGGTACCACTCCAGCAGGAAAGTAAACGGTGTTTCCGTGCGCTGCTCTGGTTTGCCAGAAGCGGCTTAGTCATGCTGGCCACGTGACCCGGAAACTGTATGCCGGCTCACTCGGCCAATAAAGCGAGATGAGCGCCGCAACCCCAGAGTCGGTCACAACTGGACTTAATGGTCAGGGGTCCCTTTACCTTTAAGATAGGTGGCATCATGCAGGTGTACAGTCTGAATGGTTTCCTCTGGGTGGCATACAGTCACAGAACTGTAGAGTTGGAAGGGACCCTAAGGGTCATTTAGTCCAACCCGCTGCAATGCAGGAATCTCAGCTAAAGCATCCATGGCAGATGGCCATCCAACCTCTGCTTAAAAACCTCCAAGGAAGGAGAAGTCCACCACCTCCCAAGGGCGACTGTTCCACTGTCGAACAACTCTTATGGTCAGAAAGCTCTTCCTGATGTTTGGTTGGAATCTCCTGTCTTGTAACTTGAAGCCGTTGGTTCAAGTCTTACCCTCCAGAGGAGGAGAAAACAAACTGGCTCCATCTTCCATCTGACAATGTGTCCTAAGATGCCAATTTAAAAGTGGTCTTGTGGATGCAGCAGAAGTAGGGAAGAAGAAGGTGCAAGGTGCCGACACTGGGCTGGAGAAGTTGGGCAAATGACCCAGTGTCCTTCAACCCAGTGTTGAAGGAGTTAAGGAGAGAGGGAGTCAACAAGGCTATCCTCAGTGATGCCCACCTTCCACACCTGTCACCCTAGTAAGTATTCAGCTATGATTACCAGAGGGACGCGGGTAGTGCTGTGGGTTAAACCACAGAGCCTAGGGCTTGCCGATCAGAAGGTCAGCGGTTCGAATCCCTGCAATGGGGTGAGCTCCCATTGCTCAGTCCCAGCTCCTGCCAACCTAGCAGTTCGAAAGCACATCAAAGTGCAACTAGATAAATAGGTACTGCTCTGGCGGGAAGGGAAACGGAATTTCCGTGTGCTGCTCTGGTTCACCAGAAACGGCTTAGTCATGCTGGCCACATGACCCAGAAGCTGTACGCCGGCTCCCTCGGCCAATAAAGCGAGATGAGCACCGCAGCCCCAGAGTCGGCCATGACTGGACCTAATGGTCAGGGGTCCCTTTACCTTTACCTATGATTACCAGGGTCACAAATGCCAGCAGCCAGCAGCCATTAAGGTCATTTAGCTCGTGATAAACCAGTAACTTCTAAAATTGTGTTGGAAAATTGTGTTGGAACGAGGTGGATGGGTGGAAATGTGCTGCCTGCCATTAATAATGTCTCTAATGAAGCCAGTCTAATGTTTTGTGAGCTTCGTTACACAATGTGTTTCTTTTAGCAAAGTAAAAATATGTTTTGGTCTCTCTTGGATGGAGACAAGTGCCGTTTCCTTTATTTTCTGCAGGAAAACAACACAGATCTAATGCATTCCTGATACCTTGAGGCCAGATGTATCTGCCAGAAACCCAATTATTTTGCATCTGAATCAATTTGTGTATGTGACAGGAATACAGCTTCCTGTTTATTGGCCTATTAAACATTCATGCAGGAAGCCAAGAGCTGGTCCCGATTTTTTACAAAATGACCAGAGCTTCTAGCCAAAGGACCTAACATGACTTTGCAAGATTTTTTCAAATTAGGATTAGATTTGCCCAATCTGGCATGGCTGTAGATTTTAAAAATAAGATAAGGTAGAATGAAATAGACCTACAAAGCAGATGATTGGAAATGGATCTATGGGTAATATTTATTTATTTTATGTCTCAGCTCCTAAATAGTGTAACAAAAACTTTGCTGGCATGATAATATGCTTGATGGTATCATTCAGGAACAAATAAACACAGCTGGATAGTTAGGGCTTTCATAAGACTGGCTATATTTTCCTATTTATAGCACCTTCTGCTGCTTCTTCTTAATAATAAAATCCCCTTTTCTTCAATTCCTTAGTAATGCAGTCCTAGCCATGTCGACTCTGAAGCAAGATCTACTGAATTTAATGATACTTTCCCCACGGTAAATATGCTGGAGACTGCTATTCTATACACACATGTACCTTGGGATAAGTCCCATTGAATTCAGTTGGACTTATTTTTGAGTAAACATGGCTAGGGACTCAACTAGACTGCTAAAGAAGGTGTTTTATATGTGTTGTATATGCAATATAACACCGTGTCACCAGATGGCGCTGTTGAGTCCCGTCTTTCCCTACAGGATTTCCCTGTAAGAGTTTACAACGTGTTTAACTGAAACGCTTATTTGATGTGTCTAGATCCAGCCTAGGATTGCATGAGGGACAATAGGTGCCCTCTTTTTTTTGCCTTACAATTTATACACCGCTTGATTGTAAAAACAAACAAACCTCAAAGCAGTTTAGAAGAAGAAGAGTTTGGATTTGATATCCCACCTTTCACTCCCTTTAAGGAGTCTCAAAGCTAACATTCTCCTTTCCCTTCCTCCCCCACAACAAACACTCTGTGAGGTGAGTGGGGCTGAGAGACTTCAAAGGAGTGTGACTGGCCCAAGGTCACCCAGCAGCTGCATGTGGAGGAGCAGAGACGCAAACCCGGTTCCCCAGATTACGAGACTACCGCTCTTAACCACTACACCACACTGGCTCTTTACAAAAAGACAAAACAATAAAATCAAGAAAAATTCTCAACCCTGCTTTAAAACATACATGAGTTGAATTACTAAAGCAGTTTAACATTATCTCACTTTCCTAAGCATCTGGGCAGGCTTCTCTAAGCGGGAATAAGTTTTAGCAGGCACCAAAAAGAGGGCAGTGAAGGTGGCTCTTGATCTCAATTGGCAGGGAGTTCCAAAGGACAGGTGCTGCCACACCAAACAAATGGGTTCTTACAGATAATAATAATAATAATAATAATAATAATAATAATTTTTATTTATACCCCGCCCTCCCCAGCCAAGGCTGGGCTCAGGGCGGCTAACAAGCAATAATAAAAACAAGTTGAATGAATACAACTTAAAAACAAGATTAAAATGCAACATTAAAATATTGAAACATTAAAATGCAGCCTCATCACAGGAGGAGAAAGGAAAAAGAAAAGAAGGAGGGGGAGGGAATCAAATTGGCCCCAAGCCAAAGGCCAGGTGGAACAACTCTGTCTTACAGGCACTGCAGAAAGAAATCAGATTCTGCAGGGCCCTGGTCTCATGAGGCAGAGTGTTCCACCAGGCCGGAGCCAGTGTTGAAAAGGCCCTGGCTCTGGTTGAAGCCAATCTAACTTCCTTAGGGCACGGGACCACTAGGGTGCTGCTATTTATGGACTTTGCGGTAGGGCATACCGGGAGAGGCGGTCCCGTAGGTACGAGGGTCCTAGGCCATGAAGGGCTTTAAAGGTTAAAACCAGCACCTTAAATCTGACCCTGTACTCCACCGGGAGCCAGTGCAGCTGGAAAAGCACTGGGTGAATATGCTCCCATGGCAGAGATCCCGTGAGGAGCCTCGCTGCAGCTTTCCGCACCCGCTGGAGTTTCTGGGACAGCTTCAAGGGCAGCCCCACGTAGAGCAAATTACAGTAGTCAAGCCTGGAGGTGACCGTTGCATGGATCACTGTGGCCAGGTTGGGGAATGGTTATTATTTAGCGCCTGCAGCAATGCCAATTCTGCTGATCAAAGTGGTCAAGTGTGCATGTGTGAGGCACATTGTAGTAATCCAGTCTTGAAGTAACCAACGCATGAACTACTGTGGCAAATCTTTTCCGGTCCTTGCGTGTATGTTTTGCTGAACAGCTCGAAAGCACTCAGCTTATGATTGATAGGGCAGTTGCCTTTTTGGGCAGTTGCCCCTGCAAGGTCATGAGTTAGTGGCAGTAGGTCCAGACTCAGGAGCCATGGGATAGTTCTAGTAAACAACCAGGGACAAGCCTTTACCAAAGACCCTGGGAATGTCGGAATCAGGTTGGAGGAAATGAAGGTGAAAGGACCTGCTTCAGACAACCCTGGGGTGCGGAGAGAGCAAATAGATGAAATCAGGAAAGGCAGTGTCCCTATGATGCAGGAAGACTTTTTAAAGCAGGGGGAAGGGAGCGCTATTTGGTCTCCACTTCAGCTAGCCAAATATTTCTGGGCCACCACCGCCCACAACCCAGAAATCTGCATAGCCTCCGACATTGGAAAATAGGGACATCCCATTCCATAAAGATAATTTTATCTTATTGGGTTGCCCCAGCACTCTGGGCAGCTTCCAACATATACAAAAACATAAAATTTTATATATATATATATATATATATATATATACCCACACCCACACCCACACCTTCCCTATATAGGATTGCCTTCAGATGGCTCGGGTGTTAGATAACTCCATACCATCCAACATTTCTCCAATGAAAATAGGGACATCCTAAGGAAAAGTGGGACATTCCGGGACGAAAAGAAACCCAGACAGCTTCTCTAAATTAGGACATCCTGGAAAATAGGGACATTTGGAGGGCCTGAATCTTGCCTATACGTTTATGCATATTTACCTGGAAAGAATTGTTCTTGACATCTATTCAACTTTATTCTGTAAACCTTGATTGTGCTGTGAAGCAATGCACCAGTTACACTAGTGGAGGTCTTTATCGCGGCTCACATTCAGGCAGAAGAAGAGGCTATGTGTCCTGGGAAAAGGCTCGTTCTTATCTCAGTTTATGAAGCTGAGATATGATCACCCAGGCTAGCTCAGTGAAAAGAGAGACAGCTCTTGAAAATAGTAACATGAGAACCCATCCCAAGGTTTTGTTTATATCCCAGATGCTTATGAGAACCGCAGCTAAAAGGTTAAGCAGAAGGTGAAGAGAAAGATTCAGTTTCATGTGCTTTGTGATTTCCTAGCTCAGCCTCACTTTTGCTTTCCAAGAATGCGTTGCTGTTATAAATAACAAAACTCAGGAATGATCAAAAAGGGGGAAATGGCCGAGGAGACTATAAAAATATATCTCAGTGCTTGGGAAAATGTTTTTCTTCAGTGGAATGAAAGCAAATCAAGATGAAAGAAGGAAAGGAATAACCAACACAGCAAACTTGCTATAATCTTAAATTTTTAAAACATAACCCCTGTGGTAGAGATACAATATTGGCAGTTTTGTGTGTTACTCTTGCTTATAGTGTGTAGCTGTGTTGTTTGTACCCAAGTAATATCTTAATGGAAAACTACCAAGGTCATAGGAACAGGTAGTTGAATGGCTTTCTATGATTTCGCATGCAGTCCTTCATTTAAAGCACTCTTGTGCCACTTTAACAGTCAGGACTCCCCCTAAAGAACCCTGAGAACTGTAGTTTGTTAAGGGTGCTGAGAATTCTTAGGAAACCCCTCACAGGGCTACAATTCCCAGCTCTCTTAACAAACTACCAGGTACCCCAGAAATCCTTCCTGGTACGCGTTAACATGTAAAAGTCACAGACCTCCTTTGTTGCATCCATTTATTCCAATTTGTAATGTAACCGAAACGCTTTCAGCTGGCTAAGAACACCACCTGAGTCGTGTGAGCTCTACCTGAAACTGTGATCTGACAAGGTGTGCTGTCGTCCCTTCTCAGCAGCAGTTTGGGTGGTGCCTCACATTTTGCAGTCCAGCTGCTATGATAGCACAGAGGCTAATTTTTATCTCTGTCTCAAAAGAACAAACGCCCGTCAGAAAACATTTTAGTAACTTTGGATCAGTGACAGCTGGCTGTTATATTTACAGAGATGGGGGCGCAGCCATTATGTATTTCTTCTTCCCAGGAGGCCACTGGGCAACATGAAACCTGCAAACATCTGAAACTTAAAGTGCCTTATTTGAATGTCTGCTAGCTCCTCCCATTCTGCCTCTGGAAATGTGCCAAATTGAGACATGTATGGCTTGACGAACAACAGCTGACTTTTCTCGCCTCTTCCACACATTTTTTTTTTTAACTGATGAAGTGTTTTGGGGAATTCAAAAGCTTGCCCACTATTTTATGGCATTTTGGTTGACCTAATATAGACTCTGGAATTAATATTATGGCTAGCTTTATTCTTTAGAATTCTGATGCCTAAAAAAGCATTGTCTTTTCATTCAATAGCATTTTCCATTTCTAGGTAAGTCAGAGTTTTAGCTCCTGGTTGTGTTGATTTTTTTATAGGCATGAATTTATGTCATTTCCCCCCCTGAACAGGCTTTAACCTTCTTAAATTTTATAGTTCCTGAAGTTCTGCTTTGTGAGTTCAGATGTTTTGGTCCAGACCCACATAAATACCATCCTATTTGATTCTATGCTTTGTGGATAATACTTATCCATACTTATCTTTTGCCCTCCTCTTTCCAGGCACAGGTCTGTGCTTAAAAGCTCTGTGTCTGAGTCTCTGTTTTTGTTTTGCCCCAAGCTTTCTCCATGAAAACCTGCTCTTTAGTGCTCAATTGGAGCAAAGATCAATTTGGGCTTTCTGCGGATTGACTCACGCTTTTATTGAGCTTTATAGGTCAGGGTTTCGTTTTGGTTTTTTGCAAAAGAGGGGGTGTGCTCAGACACAGAGCTTTAAGCAGTGGACTGTGCCTGGGAAGAGCGGAGGAAAGGTAATTGCGGATAAGCCCATAATCTAGGTTGGGCAGACCTCAGGAAATACTTGGGTGGGGTTTTTTTTAGTAGACCCTGTGATCCACCAACTGGAACCTGCTGCAAAGGATATACACTTAGAATTAAAGGATTCTGAGCCAAAGAATTTATTTTAGGCAGCAGATCTAAATGGAGCTCACAGCCCTTCCACACCAAAATCTATCAACAGCCTTCTTCATTTCAGCAGTATAATTTGAGCCAGGGCAGGGGGACTGTCCTTTAGTTGCTACTAGTAAATCAGCTGGGTGTCGGAAGTCCTTGTGAATCATCCAGGGAGCTAATGGCAGATCCATAGTTGTCTTCTGCCCACTGTTGTCTTGACCCACCTTGATAAAAATCTGATCGGTCCCACCAGAGTGGATAAAGTTGCTTCTAGTCCATCCATTGTGGCACCAGTTAGCCATTCCCAGTCCTCAAAAACAGTTAAGTGAAACAATGAGTTGAATGTTTTCCCTTGATGTTTTGTAGCCAAGCCAGGTGTAGACCTTGGATGAGAAATTCCAATCTCATAAGAGAAAGTAGAATGAAAACAACTATTTCATGCTTGAGAAAAGCATTAGAGAAAAGCTTGTTTTAAAAAGCTAAATTTATCCGGGATATTTCATTGTGTTGCATTTACAATGCAGAATTCAAATCAAGGTTCTTCTGTTATTTATCAGTGTTTTCTTAACTGACACCCACATCAAATTTGAAGCATCAATAACCCGCCTCAGAAGCACAGAAGGCTCCTTCCACTGCTTGCGTTGGAACATTGTGTCTGCTTGCTATCATTGAACTGTAAAGGACGAACACCAGCCGTAAATGGGCTCACGTGGAAAACATACATAGACCAATTCATACCCTTGGCTAAATTCAATCAATGAAGCCAGGATTCAGAGACTTTTGTTTTACACTTGTTTACTTCTTCTTATTCATCGTGATCCTTTAAAAACCAAAGCCTGCAATCAAATTTCAGTCAGACAACTCTGAAACCAGCAATCAAATTTCAGGCATGTAAACAGAAGAGTCTTGCTGGTCCAGCATTCTTTTAGTCAACCTGGTCCAGAATGTTGCATCCCAATCGCATCTGGGAAACTTGCAGGCAGGGTACAAATTCAATAACCTTCCCCTCTTGTTTGTTCCTGACATCTGATATTCAAAAGGATGCTTAACTCTAAACCTTGAGGTGCCATTTAACGATAATGGGTAATAGATTCTGACAGTCCTAGAGGGTCCTGAAAACGTCCTTTCTCTCTTCATTATTATAGGGTAGCGGAAGTGAATGTTAATTAATCTACACAAGTACAGTTTGTACCATATTGCTAGACCAATTACGCTAATTGACTGAGATGGATTACAAACATGTTCGGAGTGGCCGGTGAGTAATCCACAAGCCTTTCTTGCTAGCCAGAGACCCTCTGGAAGTATTTGTTGGCTCTCATGAGGTCCGAAAAGGGTGGTGTCAATGCAACTCCCCTGATAGTCTAAGCCAGCCTTCCTTAAAGCGATGTCCTCAAAAGGTCATTGGACTACAACTTCCATCAGTCCCAGACAGCATCAGGTTAGGGAAAGCTGGTCTAAGCAATCCTTATCTTAAGCACGGTGTATGTATCTTTGCTTTCTAACTTGACTAAATCCAGTTAAGCTAGGTCATTGAAACAGTCTACGTCTACAACAATGGTCCTCAGCAGGGGTGTCAACTTGAATAAAATATTGGGGGGACCCAAGAAAGCCCTGCCCCACATTACTGATCACAAGACACAGTGCATGCACATCATTTGAATAGCAACGCCCATCAACTTGAGTGGGGCAGCAACCCTTAAATGTTTTTGGGGAGCAAAGGGACCTTGACCCTTAGGAGTTGGCTCCTATGGTCCTCAGTTGAGCCCAGGGTACATTTGGAAACCACAACATACAGAAGGAAAACAGCTGATGGTCAGACCCTTAATTTAAAAAGTTGAAATGTTTACACCCCCCCAAAATACAATACAGACAAACAAAGCAAACACCCCCCCTAAAACAGACAGCTCCTTCCAATCATACAGCCTGCCAAGCCAAAAAAAGTCCTCAATTAAAAAAATAAAATAAAAATTGGGAGGGCAAGAGGTTTAGGCAGGAACCAAGAGGAGGTCTGGGGATACCATGGTGGGGATCCCAGGTTTACAAAGATTTAATACTCAGCATAGTGGTTGAGCTAACTCTCATGATATCTGAAAAGGATTGTGGAAACACAACAAAATTCGGTCATGGTTCAGCTAAACCTTAAATGGAGCATAGTTCTAATTGACTGCACTCTATCTTAATATAGAGGCAGAATTCTTACATAGTTATTATGCTATCCAGTTAGGTTTAGGAATGATTGCGGAGTGCTGTAGTCACAACCAATCAGATGCCATGGTGGACTTACTTGTAAGATGGTCGAACATTCCCACTTGGTAATGCAAAAGGTTTTATTAGTCATTGGCATTAGTCTGGGGCAGAGGTGTTGGTGCTACTAAAGGTGTTGACTCATTAAAAAAATAGCACTTTGCTCTTGTATATTTTGCCATTTTTTCCCCTTGAACAAATAGCATGTTTAGGCCCAGAGAGGCATTTAGGGTCAGTGCCATCTAGAGAGTTTCAGCAGGTCTCATAAAATGGAAGGCAGGTAATATAAACAAGTTTAATAATGTCCTTAATCAGAGGGAAAGATAGCACAGCTTACTTTCTTTACATTCTGAACATTCAGCATTGCACACCAATGTGTGCCACCCCAATAGCCTTAGACGATTATGCTGCTTCCTGAAAAGTAAAATGACGACTTATGAGCGACTTACATATTACCTTTGGCTGACAGTTTGAGCACCTGAAGGCAATAGTCGTCCCATCCCTCTTTAATTTTAAAAAGACATTTGGGCTCCCAGGCTGGTGTTTGATCTCAGTATATTATATTTTTAACTCTGCCCTAGTTTTCCATTGCATTTTCTTCCTGTAGTTTAATGCTGTTTTGACATGTATTTCAATACGGTTGTACACAGCCTGGAGACAGGAAGCGGAAGGCGGCATAAAAAGGTTTCTAATAGATAAATGCATACATACTTCAAAGAACAAATTGCTTATAAAATATGTATTCCTGGAATGCTTAAAAAAAAGAGTGGGGAACCTCATGGCCCATGGCCAATGTTGGCCTGCCAGGTGGTCCAGGTTGGCTCTCAGGGCCATTTTCTCCAAACTAACTCCAGCTGTCCACTCACTGATGACACTGAGTGATGTCAGCTGATGGGCAGGGTTCAGTCCAGCTGGGTGCTGCATCAACAGTGTGTTCTTTGACCCCTGTAGCCAGCAGGATTGAACCCTTAGCTCATCAGCTGGTCATGATGCCATCATGATATAAGATGATTGACAGATGGGTGGACTTGTCCACTTGTCACAGTGGGTTTGCAGGGGTGGGGGTGGGGATAGAGATCTCCCCCCTGGCCCACAAAGGTACCCCAACCCCTAGATTATGAGCAACGACAATGCTTGATGAAAGATAAGCTAAAAAGTTTGCCCTAGAGATTCATGAGAAATAGAATCAGCCTTCTTCAGTAAATAGGCATTTAGTAAGCATACAGTTTGGGAAGACTCACCAGACAAAATGGAGGCTACGGCTGCAATGATGAAGGAAACGATGACGCCCGGCCCGGCCATCTCCTTAGCAACCAGGCCAGAGACCACATACATCCCGGTGCCAACACAACTTCCAACACCCAGTGAAACCAGATCCAGGGTAGTGAGCACTTGGGCCAGTTTGGTCCCATGGGATGTGGTGGTGCCTGTCCCCTCCAGCATGGATTCCACTGGCTTGGTGCGGAGGATTCGAGAGTGCATGGCATACCATGTGGCACCCCACTGGATCCGCCGGGGGTCCAAGTGCGAGAGGATGCCGCTCATTGTGATGTCAAGGGATGGAAAGAAAGGCCAACGAAAACCACAGAGTTCAGTTAGCTCTCGTAACGAAGTCTGACAGCATAGACTTTAGCAGACAGGTAGTCAGTTTCAGAGATGGTCCATGTCAACTCAAAGCCACTGCGGTGTGATTGTAAACTGCAGCTTTAACAACCTGGGTTTCAGTTTCGCCTTGTGAGATCCTATGAAAAAGGGAGAAAGAGGGGGAAAATATATTCCTGTGTGAATGAAAGTAAGTGGGACCATGGAACGTTACTATCCCACTCCTAGGAACCAAGATTACAGTAATATATACGTGAGCAGCATATGCTGGAGGACCAGTCACATTTGGTGTATAGTGTAAGCAATACTAATTTCTAGATGGATTAATGTTCTGACCTGGTAATGGGCAGCTTCTGGTGTTCTTGTTAAGTCCCATACTATAGGCCTGCTAGGTGTTCATGTGGTGTTTTCACAGAAACATAGAATTGGAAGGGATCCCGAGGGTCATGGAGTTCAACTCCCCTGCAGTGTAGGAATCTCAGAAGCAATGAAGTTGGCTTCTCTTTCCTTGTCTTCCTTACTATACGGCCTAGGACCCTCGTACCTACGGGACCGCCTCTCCTGGTATGTCCTACGGAGGACCTTATGGTCTTCAAATAAAAACATCTTGGAGATCCCGGGCCACAGGGAGGTTAGGCTGGCCTCAACCAGAGCCAGGGCTTTTTTGGCCGTGGCCCCAATCTGGTGGAACGCTCTGTCACAAGAGACTAGGGCCCTGCGGGACTTGACATCTTTCCACAGGGCCTGCAAGACAGAGCTGTTCCACCAGGCCTTTGGCCAAGGCACAGTCTGACCCCCCTCTCTCCTTCTGTAATCCTCATAGAACTCTAGCCCAATGGTTGCCATTAATTTGACTCTGAATTGATTTTAGAATGAATTGATTTTAGAATGTATTTCAATTAATTGATTGTGATTTTATGTAAACTGTGTTATTTTTACAGTTGTTTGCCGCTCTGAACCCGGCTTCGGCTGGGGAGGGCGGGATATAAATAATTTTTTTAAATTATTATTACTCAAGATACGTGGCACTCAGAATCAGTGGTTAAGCTACATAATTTTAAACATTGGACTTAATAGTCGTGTGTGTGTGTGTGTGTGTGTGTGGTAATTAGATGATAATATGTATTACTCCACTTACTTTAAAATGTGGTAAGAGAGCCCTGCTGGGTTTGGGGGTCCTGCTGAGAGGGCGCTTGACACCTGCCCACTTGGTGCTATTGTTCAGAATATATTTGAAAAGGATGGAGCAATTGGTCAGCAGCACAATAAGGCCTGGATCACACATCTATGCACATCAGTTGGATTTTCAGCACTTAATTGCTCTACACTTGGGCTTCAAACTTATGCACACGTACACTGTGTGGGAATATGAAGCTAATGAGCCTGACCTACGAGTAAATAAGCATAGGACTGTGCTGTAGATACACTGTCTGTGTGCTTGCTTCTGCAACCTATTGCTTTTTGTGCTTGAGCAATGATTACTTTGTATATTTGGACATAGATGACTAGAAAGGTAACAAGATTTCTTCTGTGTTCTCTTCCACAAATGATATTTACTGGGCAAATGGTGCCTTGAACTTTTCACTGTTTAGGAAAGGGGTAGTGTGAAACAATATCTTTCCAGCTGCCTGAGGAAGAAACAATTCTCTCTTTTTTCATTTTTGGCTAAAAAGAAACTATTTTCCTCCTTTGTATCTAAATGTGTGTTTTTAATACATACAGAAATTTAGCCAAGTTAGCAAAAACATGGCGTTAAGTTGACTGCTGTTGGTTGTCTAAAACCTAGAGAGTTTCCCCAGATATTTACCTCAAGCAATATTTACCCCATGATTAAAGGTTGTAGCATTTAGGATTTTTTAGTTTATAGAAAAGGTGAGGAAGAGGTGGCATGATCAAAGTTTATAAAATTATGCATGGCATAGAAAAAAGTGGCTAGAGAAAACTTTCTCTCTCTGTGTATCACTCATTACACTAGAATTCGTCCACATCCAACGAAGATGAATGTTGAAAAACTCAAGACAGACAAAGGAAAGTACATATTCATGCAGTGCATAGTTAAACTGTGGAACTCACTCCCACAGCACGCAGAGACGACGGATGGCTTGAAAAGTGGATTAGGCCAATTCATGGAGGATAAGACTTATCAGTAGCTGCTAGCCATAATGGCTATGCTCTGCCTCCACAGCTAAAGGCAGTATGCTTCTGAATACCAATTGCTGGAAAGGGGAGGGTGCTATTGTCCTGCTCAAGTCCTACAAAAGACTTCAAAAAATTACTGCCAATCAGAATAGATAGCAAGGGGCCAAGAGTCTCTAGTTCAGGACAGAGTTAGTATGTGAAAGGGTTAAGAACCACAGACTTCTAAATTGCTAGAGTAGGCTCAGTGATGTCACATCCCACTTCTCCTGAGAGGGAAGAAATAATTCTTATTTCCTGTTCTCTTTCTCCCTCCCCCCTCTCGCGTTGCATGTGACGGATCCCACACCTTAGCTCTCTGTCCCAGACATATGTCTGCCCTTGTGGTACTTTTCAACCAAGAACATTTACCAGAAATTTATCATTGCTGCTAAGAACAATGCATGACTGTAAGTAAAATATATTTTAAACTTCCTTCAACGTATGGTGTGCAGGAGAGGTAAAGGGAGCCAACCGCTTCAAGTAGCTGGAGTGTATTAAAATAAGGCTTAAAAGCCTATTCCTACACTTCACTAAATCTGCCTAACGATGGGATTGTAACTCTGCTACTGGGGCTCTTTATGCACAAGCCCTGCGTTCCTAAAAAACCCAGGTACCAGCCATTTCTTCTTTGGTTTCCTAACACACACACATGGGTCTGTAGAGGACTAGATATAATTAATATATCCTCTTACCAATGCCCATCAACATTGTTATCTTTCAACAGGGCTAGGACTGGACTTTAAATCAGGGACTGTGCTCTATAAAGCAGGATATAAGACCACCTGAACAAAGACCTATTGAATAGGCCTGTTTCCAACCACAGTGACCAACCAGATGCCTGTGGGAAGCTCAAAGGCAGGCAGGAGCACAGTCGCCATCTCCTGCTGTTGCCCCCATCAACTGGAATTCAGTGACACACTGCCTTTGATCCTGGATGCGGCAGATGGCCATCCCAACTAGCAGCCAATAGCCATAAGGCTGAGCTCTTCATTCATAGCCAAGTGGTCGAATTCTTACTTCCAATGTGGGAGGCCTAGTCCAGTGTGCTACTGACTGTGCTTTCTGAGAACGGGGGACACGTGCCATAGCTTACTGTTGGAACATAGCTTTGCTGCACTTGGTTTAGCCCCTGGTACCTGCTATTTTTAAGCAAGAATCTTAGACAGCAGGGCTAGTGGGAACTACACTGCAGAGTCACTGCAGACAGGAGCAGGCATAATGAGCCAGTGATCTGGCTCAGTTTAAGTGCATTCAGAGTTTTAAGCCGTGTGGCTTCAAAGAGCACCCAAAGACACCAGTTTCATAACTTCAGCAGTGACATTTAAAACATCTGGATGGGTTTCAACTGAGTGCTTTATAATTAAACTATGTCTGTCTTTTTCAGCTCAAAAGCATCCCACTGTGGGGACATAGAAAACTCAAAGATGTATAATGCTCCCTATGGCCAAATGTTACATTTTTCACTCATCCACTAATTACCTTCTTGCCTATTAAACACAGCAAATAGCACAAACACTTTGGTGTGGGGCTTTATTAAACACTGGGGGAGAAGGGGAAGGCTGTACAGGTTTATTTTTTCCTGGAGAAAACTTTGTTCATTTCTGGTTTTGCAAATTGCTTCCAAAGATGGTGCCCAACCCACAGGGTTCTTTTCCTTGATGGTGGTGATTTGCATTTACTAGACCAATAAGTGAGGCCACATCTGCACCATGCATTTAAAGCACTAGGATTCCACTTGAACAGTCATGGATTCTTTGGAACTGTAGTTTATTAAGGGTGCTTAAAGGTTGTTAAGGTTAGGGGACCCCTAACCATTCGGTCCAGTCGTGACCGACTCTGGGGTTGCGGCGCTCATCTCGCTTTACTGGCCAAGGGAGCCGGTGTACAGCTTCCGGGTCATGTGGCCAGCATGACTAAGCCGCTTCTGGCGAACCAGAGCAGCGCACGGAAATGCCGTTTACCTTCCCACCGGAGCGGTACCTATTTATCTACTTGCACTTTGACGAGCTTTCGAACTGCTAGGTTGGCAGGAGCTGGGACAGAGCAATGGGAGCTCACCCCGTCGCGGGGATTCGAACCGCCGACCTTCTAATCGGCAAGTCTTAGGCTCTGTGGTTTAACCCACAGCGCCACCCGTTGTTAGGAGGCCACTATTCCCCTCACAGAGCTACAATTCCCAGACTTCCCTGGGAAGAGGGATCGATTGATAAACCACTCTCCTCACAACTCTCAGTACCCTCAGCAAACTACAGGATACACAAATATGTATTTTTTTAATGGAAAAAAACTCTGAAAAATACAAGTTTTATGAAAAAATGGTGTGAGTTTAAAAAAGAAATTGAAAGATTGATGCAGAAATAGGAATAAATGGGCTTATGAGTGGATAAACACAAAATTTGTACAATGATACCCAAAAGCTTAAGAAAAACACTTTGTCAGCCCATGGGCCCCCACAGCCCAAGAAGAGACAAGAAAACCATCTCTCTTTGAATTCTAATTGGCTTTTTCCATTCTCACTGTCATTAATCAAAAGTCTACCACCTACTGCTGTGATGCCAGACATTATTAGGAAAGGGTTGTTTGCACCACAACAACATTCTTCATTAGGGAAAATTAAACTAAAACAGCAATCATATTGCAGATAGAGAGAGAGAGAAACATGTTTACAGGCGCAAATCATCTTTACCTATGGAAACATTTCCTGCATTATTCATATTCAGCGAAGGTTCGATTTGTTGCCATGGCGGCACTTAAAGCCATCCTGGCTACTAGCTTGACTTGTATGAGCCTCCAGATATGTGCAATTGGTTTGACTTACCTAGGCATATATCAAAGGGCCCCGAAATTGCCTCCAGACTAGTTGCATTCTGGCTGACCACCCACCCAACCCTGTATCTTCTGTCCCCAGGGATACCCATCGCCTGCACTACAGCCTGCTAGACAGGAGGAGAGCTGAACGTTGCTTATGGTAAGCTGAACCATGTACAGAATTCAGAAAGGCAGCCATACCTGGCGGCTGATGGTGCAGGAAGAATGTGAAGGTGGGAGATGGAAAGAGAGACAGAGAGAGATGCAGGGCTATTTTAGTCACTGGTGACACTGGCAGCTGACCCTCAGCTGGCTGGAGCAGATGGTCTTTGTACTAAGACACAGTGAAGGCTGGTCGCTGCTAAAGCCGCATCTGTGGAACAAGTTACGTCATGGACTTGCTAAAAAGGAATTAAATGGCAGAGAGAAATGAGCACAGAGGCTTGTTCCTCTCGTGCTCATTGAAGTAGCTTCTTTCCTGTGAGCTGCCAGTGGGAAACGGATGAGCTTTTCATAGAATCACAGAATTGTGGAGGGAGAAGGGACCCTGAGGGTCATCTAGTCCCACCCCCTGCAGTGCAGGAATCTCAACTAGATCATCAATGGCAGATGGCCATCCAACGTCTGCTTAGAAACCTCTAAGTCTAATACATCTCGCAGGAGTCTGTTCCACTGTGGGAAAGTTCTTCCAGATGTTTGTGACTTCAAAAATTGGACATACTTTTCACAACCAGTCCTGCCTCTCTAAGATCTTGTTGGCTACTGGATTGATCAATAGGACAGGAACCAGCACAGTATGGAGGAGCAACTCCTTCTCCCTTCCTTGCTTTCCCCTTGAACCACTTCTGCAGACTTTGGAATGACAGGAACAGAGGAAGCTGCCACCTCACACAATTGGTGCATCTAGGCCAGTATTGTTTACACTGTCTGGCAGCGGCTCTCCAGGATTGCAGATTGGGCAGATGGAGATGCCAGGATTGAACCTGTGACTTACTTCATGCAAAGCAGGCGTTGTGCCACTGAGCTTAAGGCTCTTCCTGGAAAAAGCATTATATAGTCAGATTCTGAGTCCAGAAACAAGTCTCAGAATTATTAGCTGCTGTCTGCCCTGGATTTCTTGCCCATATTAGCACCCCCTTGGAGAAAGAGTTGCCTTAAGTAGTAGGGACTCCTGTTGGTACCAGCCTGAGATCAGCATATTATGCTGCCTTACACTGGCTCAGGCCATTGGTCTACTTGGCTTAGTGCTGACTACTCTGACTGGCAGCCAGGACCCAACCTGGTCCATCACATCACCTCTTACCTGATCTTTTTAAGAAGGCCAGGAATTATACCTGGGACCTTCTGCATGCAAAGCATATGCTCTGTCACTGACCTCTGGCAGTCCCCTGCTGCTCCCTTCTTTACTGATCTGGACACAAGGCACTTTCCCAACTGATCTTTGCCAACTAGATCAAAGTTCTCTGGTCCCCGGTGCATCATGCCAATCAGAGTCTTGTGAGTCACTGAGGCATCAAGCACTACGTTTGGTAGGCATGCCATATGTCAGGAAAATTCCTGACATGTCCTTTTTTTCGGGAGTAAAAATGGCATCGGGGGGGAATTTTGTAGAACTGGCAAAATGTCAAGGAAAACCTGGATGTATGGTAAGGTGATGGAAAAAGCTTAAAATCACTATTTTGCAGGGAGGTTTGCCCAGGGTGTCAGGAATTTTGCTTTTTGAAATATGGGAACCCTATACATTTGGGTCAAACCTATCCATTCTTAAGAAAATCAGCCCTGAGTGCTCACTGAAAGACAGATCCTGAAGCTGAGACTCCAATACTTTGGCCACCTCATGAGAAGAGAAGACTCCCTGGAAAAGATCCTGATGTTGGGAAAGATGGAGGGCACATGGAGAAGGGGAAGACAGAGGATGAGATGGTTGGACAGTGTTCTCGAAGATACCAGCATGAGTTTGACTAAACTGCAGGAGGCAGTGGAAGACAGAAGTGCCTGGCGTGCTCTGGTCCATGGGGTCACAAAGAGTCGATCACGACTAAACGACTAAACAATACATTTGGGTAAGTACACCTCTTCCAGGTAACACAAGCTATTAATATTTTCAGGCAGAGGAAGGATAGAAATGCAAATACCTAAACTCTAGCACAGTGTTTGCATTCCCCAGCCAGCAATCAATCAACTTGGGTAAGACAGAGGACAATGTCATGTTGCACAGATATCAGTTACAAGTGACTGACTTTGCACACTCCATCTCAGAAATGACATTTTGCACTTTGGGAAAGGGCATGAGGCAGGACAGTGCACTGAAGACTGGCTTATACCAAGTCAGTCCATTGGTCCATCTAGCACAGTACTGTCTTCACCAGAGATAGGCAACACTGTGCCCTTCTGATGTTGGCAAGGATGAGCCAAGGTTGAAGCAGAATTGTCTCAGGTGGTGAGCATGGGGTGCCCTTTGGATCCCTGTTCTCCTCGTTCCTACGTGGACTGGGCAGGCTGGCTGGCCAATGGGGTCCTTTCGCAGAGCAAGGCATTCTGGGTGAGGTGTCTTGGAGAATGCCTTTGCCAATCCTGTCCTTTGCCCCAGCAGCTATAAATGCCGCTTAAACAAGTTGCAAGAAATTATTTTTAAAGTCTGCGCTCAAGCTGTCATAGCAAATGGCTCAGCCATTCTAGACTTCCTTGCCCAGAATGCCTCACTCTGAGAAAGGAACCCATTGGCCCTTTCTCAGAGTGAGGCTCAGACAGGGCAGAGCATGAAATACATGGAGGAATGGGATGGAGGAAGCAGGTGCTGTTTTCATCAACACAAAACGGAAGAGGTGGTGGGAAGAGGAGGAGGATGTGGGCTGGTTGCACCCACCCTAGTTGTAGGGCTACAACGGCCATCAGTCCTAGCCAGGGATGATGGGAGTTATAATTATCTAGAGGGCATCATGTTGCCTACTTCTGGGCCACACTCACTGGCAACAACTTTCCAGGGTTCCGCACACCTCTCCTTCCTCTAACCTAGAGATGCCAGTGGATGAACCCTGGACCTTCTGAGTGCAAAGAACCCATATGATTTACCTCTGAAAATAAGGCATGTATACATTGAGGCATGTAGTATTGCCCATGAATGGACATATGTTGGCAAAATGCAGAGTCGTTTTCTGTTGCAGAACATCTACCCCATGTGTTCTAGTAGAACATTTTGGGGGCTCTGGCAGCGTTGCACCCCAGTGTGTGCCCTCTTGGAGCTATTCCACAGGTTTTTGCTCTTGCTCTATGTCTGGTAAAATCTCAGCCTGGTGAGGCAGTTTCTGCTTCCTTTTTTTGGTCAGCTTTTCTAATGTAGGCAAAGGCATGACATCAGCTGTGCAATTCAATATGTCTTCAATAAAATTACATGAGTCAAGCTTCAGCTACCAACCACTAGAGAAAATGTGGAATGCCTGCTTCAGTAGGATACTCATCCACTCATTATCCACTCTTCGGTGCGTCAGCCATGTAATTTGATTCTGCACTTAATATTTTGATGGCCATCAGATCACTGATTTGCTGCATAAGAAATTCCATCCTAAATGTTTTTTTTATGTCAAGGAATCTAAAATTCAAAGTCTGGGATGAATATAGGAGTCTAGCCTAGTCCAGTACTGCTGACTAACTGGCTGCAGCTCTAGGGGGGCTGTGTGTCTTAATTTATGGAGCACAGTCCTCTGTTTGAAGGACTGTCTGGTAACAAAGCTGGTTAAAAGATTTTTTAAAACCATAGCAAGGGAGAGCAGGGGTCTTGCAGTTGCTTGTTTGACAACCCAGAAAGCAGACTGTGCAGGCACACAGTCACTGTCTCCCCCAATCCGCCAAGGAGTATTATATTTCCATTAAATTATAGAAATTATTTCCAAATTTGCATCTATACTTACAGATTTACATGTGGCTTTTCGATGCAAACCTGTGTCCTCTTTTTGGAGAGCAGCCCTCCCTAGTCTCAAGCAGAGATCGTTTTAACTGGAAATGTTAGCAACTGAGCATGGAACTTTCGGCGTGCCATACAGCAGGACCAGCCCAAGGTATTTTGCTGCTTGAAGCTGAGCAGCAAATAGCACCTGCTCCCCACAAATCAAGGTGCGTAGTGACTAAGACCAGTCAAGTTATTTTGGTGCCTGAGTCAGAAAATCTCACAAGTGCCCAGGGCCGGTCCACCCATGAGGCAAGGTGAGGCAACAGCCTTGAGCGGCAGAAGCCCATGAGGTGGTGCATTGGTGGCAGCACCAGTTTCCTGCAAGAGCTCATGGAGCACACAAGATCAGATGCAGCGCAGCAGTGCATCCCCATTTTGCCTCAAGCAGCAAAATGGGATGCACTCAAATGACAATAATAATGAAGTCCCAAATTAACTGCCTTGAAGTGGCCATTTCTGTCTGCCTAATAACAGGGCCGGCCCTCCTACCAGGAAGCTTTGGCTCCTCTCCCCTGCAGTGCCTCTTGCTCAAGTTAATGCTGAAATTGTTATTTTTTTCATTTTCAGCAAAGGCAGGTTTGAATTGTGACATCTTTCATTTTCAGACCTTTTGCCACAGGTCACTTAGATAAGAGGTTTGTTTTCCTCCTTCCTTAATAAAAGTTCCTCCTTTCAGTAGCCTCCCAGCATTTCCTATGACGATTTAACACAAAGAACACAGCTGAGACTCTCAAAGCGGTGAGCACATTTGTCTTTCAAATGTGATTTTTGTTCCCTCCCCACAAATGAACTACACCTTCCTTTTGTGAGCTGTGTGGTCTGATTAATGCAAGATCAAGGTCTCCCACTGGTTATACAGCTATGAAGGATTGCAACTCGCTGCTCCACTTCTCTGTTTTCCTTGGCCCATTGATCAAAGCGAGGGGCCACAGAAAGCATCAACCAAAGTAAGGCAGGGTGAAAGAATATGAAAGAAACGTGGACATCCTGCAATTGTGTGCAAATGCTGGAAATGTAAAAAGCATAATACAGAATGCAGAACTCAGCTTCCTAAGACTATAGATTTTCTATTTTTTCCCTTTTGTTCATGTTCCCTACCTTACTCAAATGCTTCTGCCAGACTGGAATGTGGCCTTCAACTATGATACTATCTGCCTGGGTGGAGGATGGAAAGGAGTGTGTGTGTGTGTGTGTGTGTGTGTGTGTATACAGCCTCTAACTTTTGCATGCCTAGAATGTATCCTATTGTATAAAGGAAAGATTCTCATCCTTTCCTTTGGCCATGTCCACCAATGACAGGTGGCACTTAGACAGTCCCCCATGAATAAATGTGGCTCTCAGGCTCTCATGCTTGACATCAATGCTTCTAGCCACAACACCTTTTTGCCCACAGAGTAAAGTATGCTGATTTACACACCATTATTCAAAACCTAATTTCTGTTGGGCTAAACAGAATTCTAGATCTCCTCCCAGTATTTAGCCTAGATCTATATTATTCCCACGAACCTCTGCATAGATTTCTTTTCTTTTCAGCAATACCACATTGTCCCCCAGCACTGACACATTAATTCCACAATCCTGTTTATTCCAGCAATCATCCACTTTCCTGCTAGGGTTGTAAAAAACCTGCCTGACTCTGTAATTTTGTAGATGTAAATGAATTAAAAAGAGTAGGGTGTGTGGGGGCCAATCCTTGTGTGAGTCATGCCACTGCAATACCTGCTTCTTTCTTAACAGCCTGTCCCGTTGACTTAATTTATAGTATTATAGAGCTCAGTAAATTATTGATAATAATCACATAAAAGGAGAAGAAAACAGGAGCCACGTGATCTGCTTGGACTCCTTCTGGCAGGATTCCCCACTCGCTGTTTTTATTTTCTACGAATGCTAGGGAGGAAGAAAGATCCTGCTGCGATGCTCTATTCCAGAGACTTTATGACAAAATAAGAGGCAGGTTAAGGGACAGCAGGGACCCACCTAACACCCTGGTTTGGGACTGAAACCAAAAACCACATAGCTCACGGGCAAAAGTAATCCTTCGTGAGTGGCAGGCGAGGAGATGGACCAGCTACGAAAATTGTAGCAGCAAGCTGGCTGCAACTTCACCCTCACGGCTCGGTTGTGCCTCAGCCTCCATGAATTAGTAATCATTTACGAGGCTGTGATGTTTCTAACGCTGACTCATTTCCCTCCCCTTCTCAGCCACCATGGCGTAAAATAGTAGTAGCTTCTGCTGGAGCGATTACTCAGAGAGCAGAACCAAATCATTGGAATGATTCTGAAAAGAATCAGTTGCTGGTGTGGACCGCTGCAGACTGCTGCTGGAAGCAGAGGACTCTTAATATATCTGTAAATGGGGGGCCTGCAAAAATTCTGTTAATATATCTGCAAGTGCGGCCTCCAACAAAATGTTGCTGCCCAGGATCCCACTCCATTTCCCCCTCCAGCCACATTTTCCATGCCCCCTTCCTATCAGTCACTCAGCTTTCTGTGGCCACTGAGCATGCTCACTTCTCACCGGGTTGCTTTGTGGCCCAGCCCATCAACACCCCACTTTAGGGTTTTCCCGTCAAATAACGTTGTATGCATCTGCAAACATCTCCCAAGCCTGCTGATACATTTCTCTTGTGAATGGATGGTGCTATTTTGGCAACATAAGGTTCAGGGAATAAATATTCTGTTGGTAAATCGGGGTGGCCATCCTCTTTGCGTTTCTGCATGTGAGCATCCAGAAACATCAGCGTGGCCTGATGGGAATTGTAGTCCAAAACACCCTGGAGGGCCCTATGCTGAGAAAGACCGTTCTAATAATTTGTTTCTACTCTCAGTGGCTCAAGGTGCCTGCAGTGAGCTGAGGTGGTAGACTTGTAAATTGGTAGAATGTACTCCAGCACTTCAGGAGACGTGGGTGGCGCTGTGGGTTAAACCACAGAGCCTAGGACTTGCCAATCAGAAGGTTGGCGGTTCGAATCCCCGCGATGGGGTGAGCTCCTGTTGCTCAATCCCTGCTCCTGCCCACCTAGCAGTTCGAAAGCACGTCAAAGTGCAAGTAGATAAATAGGTACCACTCTGGCGGGAAGGTAAACAGTGTTTCCATGTGCTGCTCTGGTTCGCCAGAAGCGGCTTAGTCATGCTGGCCACATGACCTGGAAGCTGTACGCTGGCTCCCTCGGCCAATAAAGCAAGATGAGCGCTGCAACCCCAGAGTCGGCCACGACTGGACCTAATGGTCAGAGGTCCCTTTACCTTTACTCCAGCACTTCAGAATGCTGGTGGTGGTTCCACATTTTTGAATGCTAGTTATGGTGGAATCATAGAGTTGAAGGGACCACGAGGGTCATCTAGTCCAACCCCCTGCAATGCAGGAATCTTTGGCCCAATGCGGGGCTCAAACTCATGACCCTGATATTAAGAGTCTCATGCTCTACCAACTGAGGGGATCTGCACTTGCAAAATTGCATAGTAAAGTAGTGAGAAAGCGGAGGTTCCATATATTCTAGGTGTGTTCGTTTTTAAGCATGCTATTTGAAGGAGTTATAAAATACGTATTTGATCAAATATGGCATGCCAACCAGATGTCTGAGATTTATTGCTTTTTTTGAAAATAGCATCCGTACCTTAAAAGAAACCCTAAGGTAAACAGTGAAAGTGCAACATAAGAACACACAGCCAGCGGTCTAAAGCATAGAATATGATTTAGCTTAGAGAAATGGAGGGGGGAGGATGCCTGTGAAAGTTCAGGCCCCCCCCTTCTTATTCATGTAATCAATAAAACAGTACCAATCAGTTGGAAATGAGTCTTTGTGTCTCTGTCACCTAGCTAGTTGTATTTTGTTGGTCAATTGCCAAACCCTATTAAGCCAATTTGATAAGGATGTCCCTTCCAAATACTGCCAAAACTGGGCCATAACTAGTCCAGCTGCTAACAACACACAACCAATAAGAGAGATGTGGTTATCATTTTGAAGGCATGGCAAGCACAGCTCCAGGACAGAAGTAAGGCAAGAGACCCATAAGTGGGGACCCTTACTCAGAAAGGCAGATAATGCAGAAGCTGAAAAGATGCTTCCCATTTGGTCCTTCTCTGGCTCTCAACCTTCTCCTGCCTACTCCGCTGCTTCCCAGAAGGCTTTTGCTGCTTCCAGGAGATGACAGGTACAGGTGTCTGGAGTTCCTTGCTCCATAAAAGCACCTGAAATGAGTTACGGGCAAGATAACCGGTACTGTTGGTTGTAGACAAATGCTCCCTCTTGGTGGCTGCTCAAGAGAGGTCTGGAAGACCACAAGTGTGAGCAGACAGAATGGTTCTGCTTGCGTGTCTGCTTCTGAGAAGCTATGGGATGCACTGGTGAGCAGTAAGAGAAAGGGCAGATCAGGCAGGAAGTGGAAAGGTAAGAGGTGGCCCATGACTTCTGCTGGAGAATATCACTCCCATTGCACCACACTGTTGTTGGGTGGCAGCAACAAAAGCATCAGAAGGTGTAGCTGTGTCAGTCTTCTCAAGCTCTAGTGGCTTTGTATGGAAGTTCAAGCACATGTACTAGGCTGTATCATGGTAGCATTCAATGATATTATGGTCAGTAGCTCTGAGCCTCTTGCCAGTAGGGCCAGCTAAGAAGGTGCCTGAAAAGGGGTCTGGGTACAGCAATAAGAACCAAAGGCATTACACTACTCTCAGATTGCTGTAAAAGCTTTTGTCAAGCTTCTGGTCACAAGCCATATTTTGGAAGAGCGGTGAAAAAACAAACGTGTGCATCATACTCACTCCTCGCCCCCCTCCATGCAGTGAGCTCATGTCATAAGCACTGTGGGAGTCATTTCCAAAAAATAAATAAATTGGCAGCCATTTAGTGTTTACTGGAATAAAACCAATTTAGCAGAAATAATGTCCTTAGAAATGCTCTAATGTAGCCTATGCCCACATTAAGTATGGGGAAAATGGAAATCACAGAAGTGTTATTTTTCGTTCTGTTATTTTTTGTTATCTTTTAATTGACAACCTATAAATTTTAGGCTGAAAAGCCCTTGTATTAGATATTGATCCAACACTTGTTCTGCATTTGGAAATATGCCAGAGAACACTTTAAAGGGTGGGGCTCACGTTTTGGCCAAAGCTCAAAGATGGCATTTTAGAATGCTTAAAACCATAACAATTACATGTAATTTTCTCTCCCAGTTTGAGCCTTGTCAGGACTGATACTGACATGCATTTAAGACACTGGTTTTATGAATCACATCAGTGATTCATAAATAGATACAGACTTTAAATGAACCTTCCCCAATCAGGTGCTTGCTAGATGTTGTGATGAACAACTCTCATCAGCCCCAGCCAGTTGTGGTCCAAAACATCTGGCTAGGAACAATTTGGGGGAAAGCTGCTTTAGACTGTGAGCAATTTGAGGAGAGAAATCCAGCTTCTTCTTCTTTTGCATAACATCATAAATATTTACAGAGAGCCCCTGAGAGCTTGAGATGAAAGCCTAAATAAATTAAATCAAAACTGAAGAGAAACAAGGATGTTACGTGAATCCATTTTCCGATCAACTTTGTAGGCCATAAGCCTAGAGAAACGCTTCAGGCCCTTCTTAGACAATGCTTGTCTCCCACAAGAAGCCACAACTTTGACAGGTATGTGAGCTGATGCAGCAACTGGTGGATGGATACTTGGTCTAAGGTTTTCTTTTAATTGCTTCTTTCCTGCCTGGGCAATTTGCCTTTCCTGGCTTGCTAATACTAGATTTGTTGACACCACAGAGGCTCTTAGGAAACTCCATTATACCAAGTCAAACTATCTGCCCAACTGGTCTTGAATTGTAGACTCTAATCTGCAGCAGGAACTCAAGCAAAGGTTTTTCATACCACCTGCCACTTCTAACTGGAGACTAAGCTTGGGAACGTCTGCATGAAAAGCGCACACATGTGTTTTGCTACTCAATGATGGAGCTACTTACAAATCTGGGCTCCGGTTCCGGTTCCAACAAGGGATATGGAGAAGAGGAGATTGAGAGGAGATATGATAGCCATCTTCAACTATCTAAAGGGCTGTCACATGGAAGGTGGAGAAAGCTTGTTTTCTCCTGCTCAGGAGGGTAGGGGACCCAAACCAATGGCTTAACATTACAAGAAAGGAGATTCTGACTAAATATCAGGAAGAACTTTCTGACAGTAAGAGCTGTTTGACAGTGGAACTGTCAGGAGGTGGTGGACTCTTCTTCCGTGGAGGTTTTTAAGCAGAGGTTGGATGGCCATCTCTCATGGATGCTTTAGTTGAGATTCCTGCATTGCCGGGGGTTGGACTAGATCACCCTTGGGATCCCTTTCAATTCTACAGTTCTAAGATTCTGTGACTCTAAGTAGAAGGGTGTTGTGCAATTTATGCTCCACATGTTGCAGCTGTAGCAACCCTCTTTTGTCAGAAGTTCCTAGTTGTGTGAATAAAATATGTATGTTATATTAAAAATGTATGCCAGTAGAATCTATGGCATTGCTCCTTCCATGTGACTTTGGGCTTCTGGCATTACAGGAACAGCATGAAGGGAAATAATCAAAGCAGCAGCTCCCACTGCTAGCAGTTTTGGGGTCACAAGGGACCCTGAGACCCAGGAGGAATTCAAACCTCTCTGCTAGATCATCATTTGGATAAGGCAGCTCATATTCTTCAATCTGACCGAGACCCAGTGTGCCTCTCTGAGAGTGCTGCAGCTTTGTCCAGATTTTTAAAAGGGTTCTGAGATCATACGAATTCATACAGGCTAATTCATGCAAAAAAGTGTTTTTTTAAAAAAGTTTAAAGAATGCTGGTTAACAGCTGCATTGGTTTTTTGTCCAAATTCACATTGCTTTTAAGATGAATTTGCTGCCTTACCTGTTGATCATGAAGAAGTGATATATATCCAAAATGTCACTGACACACTGAATGCCATTTAAAATTAATGAGACCACTGCTATTTTTTTCTTCTTTTAGAAAATTCAAAAACAGACCATATTATGAATGGAATATAGTGCCACTGACAACAACCTGGGAGCTTACTGGTAAATGGCTATAGATAATTATCGATAAATGGCTTTATACCTGGCATCATTTTGATAGCTAACTTTTCTTCGGCCAATACTGTGTTTTAACTACATATAATGGTGGGAGAAGGTTTCCTAGTAATTAAGTTCCTTTAGAGTTCTGGAGTAGGTCCAGAGGGTAGGGCTTGCTCCTACCATGCAAATGTCCTCAACTTGCCTTAACAAAATAAAATAAAGAAAATAAAAAATTGCCTTGTTTAAATTTGCATTTGCTATGGTTGTAAGATCATAAGCAGAATCTTTGCTGCAAGAAACAAAAGATATGTGCAGTCCAGAATTTTGTATCCCACAGTGGTCAACCACATGCTCTACAAAAACAGAGTAAGAAGCCAACAGCTCTCCCACGTTCTTGCTGCCTAACAGCAGTCATGCTGCCTCTGGGTGTTAATAGTAACTGATGTTCTGGTGAGATTGCTTCAGGGACCCCCTTTGTTGTTGGAGGGGCAGAGAAAGGACCTATTTTACTGCCCAGATACAACTATGTTAAACTCCCAGATTTCTCCTCTTGGGGGCTAGTGATCTGCTGCCTCATTTTGTTGCACATCACATGTGTCATGCCTAACACCCATTGATAGGCCTATTATCTAATCCCCTTTTAGTCTAAGTGGGCACAGCCTCCCATTTGGCAGAAGTAGTCCACCAGGGACTCAAACCAGCATCTGCAGAAGACATATATCGTTTGCTCATCAGTTGGCTCCACCAATGAAGCTGTCTGAGCGTCACTTGCCACTGTATGCTTGTGTGTAGAGCAGAGAGCATTGTTGGCTGCCCACTCTCCACCTTAGAGCAGATTTATGCCACAAGGTGCCATAGGAAGGCACTGGACATAGTAAAAGATCCATCGCATCCTGGTCACTGTCTCTTCGAGCTCTTGCCGTCGGGACGGAGATACAGGACGATGAAGACAAGAACGAGCCGTCTTAAGAACAGCTTCTTCTCCAGAGCGATCTCGGCCCTGAATGGGAAGCCCGGACTTTGAAAGTCATCTAATCTCCCTTGCTGTATTATACTGTATTGATTAATTAGTGTTTTTATGGAGCAGTCAAGTAATTTCGTTGTCCCCGAAGGGGGCAATGACAATAAAGATATTATTATTATTATTATTATTATTATTATTATTATTATTTACATTTCAGCTAAGATTGAGTGGCAGACCTTTTGCCCAAGCCACTTAAAACTATAGCTATTCAAGTACACATAGGCTTATCACAGGAGGTGGAACGGCCAAACAGAACAAGAGACTAGCCTGTGGTACAGAGGAATGCTCAGCATGAACCGCCTGGTGCAGGAATCCAAAAACCTTGAATGGCAGAAATTGGAAATAAACAGTAGCAGATCCCACACAGTTACTATCCTAATACTTAACTATTCTTCAAAAACATTCAGTATCAATACGGTATATATGCTTGCTCTATGGTACAGTTATGAGAATGTGAACTTCAGCACCTAGGACAGCACCTCTGCATTTTGATATCCTACCCTACCATTCATCCATTCATCTGGGCACACACATGCATCTTTTACATCACTGCTACCAGCTTACATAAGCCCAAAGCAAGGGGTTTGTGCCTATGCTCAACTCCTGACATATTACATATTTGATGGTATCAAAATTTTATTGTCTCTGATAAACTAAATTCTGCTCCCACCAGAGGAACACTATGAAGCTGCCTTTTACCAAATCATTGACTCATCTAGATCAGTACTAGGGGTGGGTAACCTGTGGCCCAGGCCCAGCCAGAATAGCCAATGGTCAGGAATGATGGAAGCTATAGTTCAACAACAGCTGGAGGGGCCACAAGCTTTCCATTTATGGACCATGCTCTTTGGCAGCTGCAGTTCTTCGGGTCTGCAGAAAAGGGTCTTTCCTGTCTAGATGTGCTGGTGGTTGAACATGGGACCTTCTACATGCAAAGCATATGCCCTGTCACTGAATGACAACTCTTCTCCTAAATGCTGAGCAGATTTCTGACCACTTTGTGCCTCCAGTCATTCCATGTCCACAGCTAAGCACTATGCCATAGTTAGGTATGTATTGTGGTTATTGTGCTATTGTATTTTGGCTGTCTTCTGTGAACCACTTAGAGAACAAATGTGTTAGTGGAATACGCAGTATATAAATAAACTGACTAAGGTTATGGGCAGTGGAGGTTAGGAGCATAGAGAGCACGAGTGCTTCAATAACTGAAGATGCAAAAAAGAGAGAAAATTTAAAATGGGTTAGGACTTAAATCAAGATGCACGTTTCTGAAAAATGCTTGAAGTGGAAATGCAATGGAGAGACACAAAGGCACAAGTGCAGGAGAACATATTTGCTGATGCAAGTGAGCATGGAAGAATGGAGTGCCATAAAACCCCAGATAAATGGCACTGCATTTATGGTGTTTTAAACAAGCACAAATAAAGAAATGTGATTTGATCGGAAGGGGAACCACGCACCATACACTGGAGGCAACATCACTAAACAAATCACTAATACCAAAAACAAAGCAACAACGCACGACAATTAGAGGCACTGCAAATACAGTAATAGGGGACGGAAATGTAAATTGAAAACTGCCTTGTCTACTGGATGACAGAAATGGTGCTGATAATCTGGAAAGTGACATCTAGGTTATATCCAACATAAGAATGAGAGCCTTCGCTGTGTCAGACCAAAGCTCCGCCAGCCTGCAGTTTGATTCCAGCTGTGCCTAACCAGATGCCTCCAGGAAGGTTGCAAGCAGGGCGTGAAGACATCAGTCCTCCTTTGCTGGTTCAGAGCTTCTGTTGATAAGACTCTAAACATGGAGTCTTAATTTGGCTATCATGTCGCTATAAATTCTCATATTCTCCACGACCTTGTTTCACCCTTTTATAAAGCCATCTGAGCCATATAGCTAAAATGGTGCCTTCCAAATGGTATTGGACTCCAACTCTCATCAACTTCAGCCAGTCAGGGATGATGGGAATTGTAGTCCACCAACATCTGGAGGGAACCACATTGGCTATCCCAGATCTAAGCTTTTGACTATTACAAGTTCTTTGGTAATGTATTCAGAACGCTAATTATGTGTGAAGCCATGCATACATGTGGTTGTTATCTGAAGTGCTTCATGTGCATCCTCTGAGGGGTATGTGGAGGGTAGTAACAGAAGAACAGGCATTTTCAGTGGTGGCTCCTGGATTGTGGAATGCTCTCCCCAGAGAGATGTGCCTAGTGCCATCCTTATCAACTCTTAGGCACCAGCCAAAGACATTCCTGACTCACCTGACATTCCACATATTAGGCTCTTAATTGGGGTCACATGGTATGAAGATACCCTGGCCTACATAGGTGTTCATCTTTTAGCAGACTGGGGTAGGATTTGCACTTTTTTATATTATTGCAGAATGAGCACTTTTAGTTAATGACTCTCTTTTATCTTTTTTACGTATTCTACATTTTGTGTTACAAATGCTTTTGCCATTGTAAGTCCCTTTGAGACCTTAATGTAGTAAGCAATGCATAAATGCAATGAATTAATAACAAAGATTTTCTGTGTGAAAACTGTATTGTATAAAAAGGCCCCCATTTACCTTTTTTAGTTTACCCCAGAGGTAGATCTGGCCCTCACTTCTAAATGAAGCAGTCGCAAGCACATTTGCTTGGTGGCCTGTAAGAGTGCTGGTGAGACACTAAGTAAAAGCCATTTTGAACAATAAAAAGGTAAAGGTAAAGGTACCCCTGCCCGTACGGGCCAGTCTTGCCAGACTCTAGGGTTGTGTGCTCATCTCACTCTATAGGCCGGGAGCCAGCACTGTCCGCAGACACTTCAGGGTCACGTGGCCAGCATGACAAGCTGCATCTGGCGAGCCAGCGCAGCACACGGAATGCCGTTTACCTTCTCGCTGGTAAGCGGTCCCTATTTATCTACTTGCACCCAGAGGTGCTTTTGAACTGCTAGGTTGGCAGGCGCTGGGACCGAACGACGGGAGCGCACCCCGCCGCGGGGATTCGAACCGCCGACCATGCGATCGGCAAGTCCTAGGTGCTGAGGTTTTACCCACAGCGCCACCCGCGTCCCTAGATTTTGAACAATAGGTTGTAGTAAATTGGACATACAACTGAGGGTACCCTCAAGCAGAGCTGGAGCCAATCCCAGTTCCCTTAGTATTGTATCTACATAGCACACAGTCTTGCAAACATACACCACCACAGTAATATATTACATTGCTGCACTTATTTGCAATATCCTTTACAGGTATAACTTCAGCTTGTGCAATGAATGAAGCAGCCCTAAGGTTGTCAACATCTGGCATGTGAAAGATGCTTCTGAACCACCACTAGCCAGAGGAGTTCAGCAGGTGAGGGTTTTTCATCCACGACAGCTGTGTCATGGAAAGTTCTGCACCTGTTCATCCTCCCCATGCCATACAGCTCTGAAAGGTATAGGAACCAATTGGGGGTTAGGGGTTGGAATAAGGCAGATCAACTGGGATAGCCAAGTGAGACATGATAGTTGGGGCCGATATAATTACTCTATGCAGCTGTAAAGAGTCAGGTTAGGATGTAGAGGTTAGGATCTAAACCCCACTTAGTCATGAAGCTCACTGGGTGACCTTGGACCAGTCATTGCCTCTCAGACTAACCTACCTCACAGGGTTGTTGTGGGGACTGAGGAGGGGGAGAACCATGCTACCTTGAGAAAATAAAGGTGGAATATAAAAGAAATACTTAAAATGTAAACCCTGTGTGGTCACACTTTAATCATAGCATTGTAGAGTTGGAAGGGACCTCCAAGGGTCATCTAGTCCAACCCCCTACAATGCAGGAATCTCAGCTAAAGGATCCATGACAGATGGCCATCCAACCTCTGCTTTAAAACCTCCAAGGAAGGAGAGTCCACAACCTTCAAAACATTTATTCTGGAGTTCTGTTAATGGGACTATTCTGGAGCAAACCACAAATCTATCAGTACCACCATAAAAAGCTTTCTTGGATAGGGAAGAGTCTTTTGTTCCCTTTTTTTGCTTTGAGTATCTGTAGCTGATTTTGGCAAGAAGACCATCAACTCCTTTAACAACAACAGCTTGTATAATAGCAATGGCAGATACAGTCCTTTCCAACATCAGACCTGCCCAATAATCTGGAAGATCGTTCTAATGGATTGAGCCAGATACCTGCAATCTTCTGTCTTTTGCTTATTTCTCTCTCCCCACCCCCAACTCATTTCCTCTCAATATATTGATGATTTTGCCATCATCTATATTCTCTGCTTCCGTCTGCCCTAGCATTCCTTACTTTTGCTCTTTTTCAGTTTGTTTCATAATCTGATGCATAGAAGGGGTTTTGTGGGGTGGGGTGGGGTGGGGAGATGGCAGAGACACATGAAGGATGCATTATTTCTGTGTGTTCCATCTGTGTTTATCCCTTCACTCCACTATCTCTCACTCTCAGTTTCTATTAATCCTCAGCTCATCAGTCTTAAATCCCTCGTGCCCTCTGATTCATTTACGATGCAGGCGACTAACAATTTAAAAGAACAACAATAACCCACCCTCTGAGGTGACTCTTCTGAGATCCCTCGAGTTAAGATGTTAGGTAGCCCTCAAAATTATGCCCCTACTTTTTGGATATGGGCCGTGAAAGAAAGTGGGTTTGCAACTTGAAATCAAAGGAGCATGTCCCTGCTTGCTGTGCATGTGTTTGCATGGGGGGCGGGGGGTAGACGGAAAGACACTTGGGGGAAGAACAGAGGCAAATCTCTCCATTGCCCAGAGGGAGGAAACACCATTACAACCCTCCCCGGCACCCTTCCTGCTGGCAGCGTATTATCATCTACTCTCACAAACGCCAGAGACGGTGTATATGAAGCCATCATAGTCTTTTTCTCCCTTCAGTTATGAAACAGGAATAACAACAACACCCTAAACGGAGCTGGCGAGACTGAACAGTAACTTGGGGAAACCCCAGCTGGAATCAAAATTTCACCTCTGCTGCTAGGATTAGGCTTCAAAGCACATCCTTCTTCCTGCAACACGGGATATATAATAAAACTACACCTTACAAAGTGGTTGCAAAGCGTGCTGAGATAATATAACTAAAGCGATTTGTATATTCGGGGCGGGGGCGACACAAATGCTTAGCATTGCTGCTGCTGCTGCTTCCAATGGTGATGCTGAGGACAGACGAAGCACCCTCGACTGTCCATTGAATGAGCCTCTGCCCATGAGTGGAGTTTTATAGAGCAGGGGACAGAAGGAAGAGATTGCCAGGAGTCCTCTGCAAGTGAGGAAGGAGTCGGACTAAACCCCCTTCTCAACCATGGGGGGAATGTGTGGGGCGCTCCTCTTACCCCTTCGCCCCAGGGAAACTCCTCCCATTCCGCAAACACCAAGAAAGTACTTATAAAAGACCCTCCCTGGAACTCACATGGGAGACATCCCAAGCAGGGGAAGGGAGCTGAAGGTGGCTCCTGCGTCCTCTTTCATAATTTCCCTCTTCTTCATCATCATCCAAGGAGTAAGGGGATGTAGCAGAAAACCCTGGGCTGCCCAAACAGGCAGCTACTCAACTCTCGAGGGTCCGCTTCCCGAAGGGAACTCTGCACCACGCCTCAATTCAATGGTGGTGTCCCTTGTGGCGTCCCAAATTTGGAATGAGGGGGAGGGCAAAAATAAAACTAATACTAGTAGGGTGGATGTATCACCTTTCATCTCTCTCTCTTTCTTTTTCTTCTCTCCCTCTGTCTGCCCACCATTCCCCTTTTCAGCCCCCCAGTAATCGCCTTAACAGGCTCTCTGCGGGAGAGGAGAGCCGGAGGGAGGGCGTAAAATGGAAGCGGAGAGAAAAGACCCATCGCTTACCCCGTGCGGATGCTGCTGGATGAGCTCAGGGCTGGAGAGGCGGCGGTGGCGGTGGCGGCGAGGGTGGTCCAGGAGCTGCGCGGGGTCCCGGTGGAGGATGCCGGAGGAGGCTGGTGCTGAGGGAGGGGGCTGGCTGCACCTGCCGCTCCAGGATCTCCGCGGCTTCCCTCCCTGGAGAGACCCAAGCGGGGGTGGAGGGGGCGCGGGGAGGATGGTGAGAGGCCGGCTGTCGCTCAGATGCACAGAATCCACCCCCTCCCCTCTCTCCCCGGCTGCCAATCAAGCCCGGGGTGGGAGGATCCAGCTGGGATGGAGGAGGAGGAGGGAGCGGGGCTAACTCCCGAGTTGCTCCAAGGAGAGGAGAAGCTGCTGCAGGCTTATGAGGCGGGCGCCTCTGATGCCCTGAGCAGGGGCGCTGGCAGGAGACCTCCGGGACGCGGCGCTGCTTTCAGCACCAAGGACAGCTCCCGCGGGCTGCTGGCTTGCAGGCAGGAGGCGAGCGGATCGCTGCAGCCCTCAATTATTCAGCGCTTCTCTCTCTCTTTCTCTCTCCTCCTCCCTCCCGTGCCCACGTGATCCGCTCAGCAGCACCAGCAGCAGGAACCGCGAAGACAACCATCCTTCCCCACCACGTGTTAGTCAGGCTCAGACAGCGTTAACGTGGCCCCCACGGAGATAACCCCACCACACCCTGGAGGCCAACCTCTCGCTTTGGGCTGGAATTCATAGGGTAATCTTGTCTATGTGTGGCAAAAAAGGAAGCCAGGCAGTTTCTCTCTCTGTGCATGTGCTAATACTTTGACAAGGAGCCACCGAGCCATTCCTATGAAGTGTTTTCTCTACACCTGCTGCTTGCCCCCTCCTCGCCCCACATTCCTCCTGCTTGATAGCATCAGAAGAGTTGGAGAGGGGCCTTGAAGAACATCTGGTCCAACCCCCACCTTCATGCTTTCCAAAGCCAGCATTGAGAGCATCACCAACCAAGCGGTGCAGTTAGGGAAGCTTAGACTCTGGACTCAGTCCTTTGGAGAATAAGGTGGGCACTTGCCTTTAAATGGAAATGTATGTTACTTGACTTTCTTCAATTGGTCATAAGTGCTGCCACTGCTCCATTCTTCTGATGGTGCTTTGACTGCATTCCATGTTACATGTCACTACCCTGGGCCCAATGGTGAAGGGTGGGTTATAAATAAGTAAATAAATAATATGAATGATCAGCCCCAAAGTCCTACCTGGATGTTACCACCGTTCTCAATAAATGGCTGTTCAGTCTCTGCTTGAAGATCTTGACCAGAGGCAGAGTGGGAACCCCACCAATCCTCTAGGCATAGAATCATGGGAAAGTAGCAAGGAAACACAAAGCAAAAAATATATCTCCCTTCCGTCCATACACATAGTGTCTTCTTCTGGCAGCCACCCACAGAGCAGCTGGAAGTTAACTTGTGATGCAGTCTTTGCTGGAAAGGTGTGGGAATTAGGAATATAGGAAACTCCGTTATGCAGAGTCAGATCATTGGTGTATCTAGTGCAGTATTGTCTACACTGACTTGCAGTAGCTCCCCAGGGCTTCAAGACATCTTCAGATATCTTAAGGGCTGTCACATGGAGGAGATAGCGTGCTTGTTTTCTCCTGCCCAGGAGGGTAGGACTCGAACTAATGGCTTCAAGTTGCAAGAAAGGAGATTCCAACTAAACATTCGGAAAAACTTTCTGACAGTAATTGCTGTTCAGCAGTAGAACAGACTCCCACGAGAGATTGTGGACTCTCCTTCGTTGGAGGTTTTTAAGCAGAGGTTGGGTGGCCATCTGTCACGGATGCTTTAGCTGAGATTCCTGCATTGCAGGGGGTTGGACTAGATGATCCTTGGGTCCCTTCAAACTCTAAGAGTCTATGATGCCATGATAAAAAAGACTTAGTGTTTGATCTCTGGTTTTACATGCAGCTGCCATATATCAGATCCTTTGATGCCAACGCTGAATGCCATTCTGTGCTGCTTCCTGTATCCCTTCTTAATTTAGTCATGCACAATTGATGTATGACAAAGCCCATTTAATGTCCACAGGGGCAGGGAATAAGAGACACTCTAGCTCATCTGTAACATATAAGCACTCTGGAGACATTTGTCTGCATGCCAGGCTTGATGGTGACTGGGGGCGGGGGAGGGGAGGGCCTTTTTAGCAGCATTCAGAATGCTCTTTCTTGAGAAACCTGACTGGTTCTTTTCCATGACGAGTTAAGATCTTTTCCTCTCTCCCAGGGTTTTTAAATGTATAATTTACTTTTGCTGCTAGTCCTGTTTTATTGCTGCATTTATTGCTGTTTTAAACTGCCATTTAATCATAGTTATTCCTGTGTTAGATTTGAAATTGTTTTGTTACTGTTGTGAATTTTTTTTATGTTTATTGATTTTGGTTGTTGGCTCACTTGGAAGCCTTGGCACAAACAAACAAACATTCACATATCACTGAGTGGCAAACTTGAATTTGCCACTATGTGTGTACACTCAACAAGGAACTAGGGCCAGTCCTTACTCCGTTTATCAGGGTTTCCCAAACCTGGGTCTCCAGCTGTTTTTGGACTGCAACTCCCATCACCCCATAGCTAGCAGGACCAGTGGTCAGGGGCGAGGAGAATTTCATTATGAAACTCAATATGGCATTCATAGGGTGATTCCCATGTGGCCTCTTATCCTGGTATCATTTGAGTAAATGCTACTGTTGAATGCCTACCATCCCTGAGAGCTGTCCCAGGTCCTGTAGAACCTGATGCCATCCCAGCTCCTTAGAACCTGTTAGAACCTTGCGGATAAGAAATCTGTGATACTGTAGTTGCAGTTGGACTTAACACTCATCATCCCTTGCCAGCATGGCCAATGGTCAAGGTATAAAGGGAGTTATAGTCCAATAGCATGTTGAAGGCCATAGCTTACCCTTCCGTGCTGTACCTGCTACCTGCTACATAATGCTAGGTGACTCTCCATAGACTCACACTCTGTGAATGTACAAGACACTGGCTTAAGCTGTTCTCTCACAGAGCTTCCTGTGCTCCATGGACTTGAAGAAGTTCCTTACTGAAAATAGAAGACTCCATGTTGCCCATTACTGAGCAACACTAGCCTTACACAAGCGCTGTGTATCTTACAGGCATTATTCACTCCAACATGTCTGTTCTGTGCAGGACATTTTGCACAGCTCCACACTATGTGCACGAGTCTGTTTGTATAAGAAGGATTTCAAAATGCAAAATCATTGTTTAGAGGAAGTGCCAGGAGCAATTATATGATTAGTTTTTGCAGGCCATTCTTTAGGTCTGATGAGTCAGGATGTTCATTGGGCAAAGGTTCTTATTCTAATTTGTTTAAATGGCAGCCAGCAGGATCGTTCCGTGACCAGCCAGTTGCTTCGAGTCATCATTTGTGCTGTGCTTTTGGATGAAGACCAGGTGGAAGCCTGGATTCTAACAGTTATTTTTAGAAAGGTGTCCAGAATGCTGGGACGTGAATGTTTTGTGCAGATTTGTTCAACAATCCACTAAAACCCTCGTACTCATGAGTCACGATGGTCTTTTGGAGGTCACAATGACTGCTATACGCCATCTGAGGGAAGAAGGATAATTTGTCCTGAATCCCTTTTTGTTTATATTATTATTTATCATGCTCTGTTATAGAACAGCCTTCCTTGACCTGGTGCATTCCCAATGTCTTGGACTACAACTCCCATCACCCTCAATCATTGCCCATGCCCATTGAAGTATGCAGGCGTTTTAAAATGTAAATAGCATCAGCTGTGAATTGGATCACAGGCCTGCAAAGGCAACTTTTCATTTCCAGCCTTTGCTGTGATCCTGAGGGAAATCTCTCTTATGAAACTGGTATTAGCTGGGGGGGGTACCTTATTGACATTGGGGAGAGCATCTTTCCAATGCAAATAGCAGCTTGGGGAGAGGGGTTTCATTCCCCGCTATGTTCCCAATAATTATCAGCTCCCCCTTTTGATGCTATTTACATTTTCAAATACCTGCATGTTAATTGCAAAGGTACAATTAATATTTGTACTGGAAGGACAGATCCTGAAGCTGAGGCTCCAATACTTTGGTCACCTCATGAGAAGAGAAGACTCCCTGGAAAAAGACCCTGATGTTGGGAAAGATGGAGGGCACAAGGAGAAGGGGACGGCAGAGGACAAGATGGTTGGATAGTGTTCTCGAAGCTACCAGCATGAGTTTGACCAAACTGCGGGAGGCAGTGGAAGACAGTAGTGCCTGGCATGCTCTGGTGCATGGGGTCACGAAGAGTCAGACACAACTAAATGACTAAACAACAACAACAATTAATATCATGTCTAGTTTGGTCCTTGCCCTATTTGGTAGTCTTCCAAGAGCTGATTTGTTTATTTATTATATTTCTCCTGCAAGACCCTTGAAGAGTTTGGGCTAGTTCCAGCACTCAGCATTCTGGGGGTACTCACATGTGGGGATTTCTACATCCCCGCAAGCAGGTTCTCTTGAAACCACCCTTTACCAAGCAGAATAATATGAACCATCTTACCGTAGTTTCTCTGGATGTGAAAATTTCTTCAGTAAGAAATGTGGGCAGTAAGTTATGAATACCATCTGACAAGTAATACCAGAGGGAAATATGTAAGGAAGCTGTGAAGCATCCATGCGGACGATGTACGAGTCGCACACAGAAATGTGCCTGGTTTTCCTGGAACATTTTAAATATTCATTGGAGGAGTCTGAGTTCCTGAATAAAGCACCTCTATGGAAGCACCTCAATAACTCCACGATATCGTTTTGATGACTAAGGAACACAAAGGTGCATGTATGCTCTATTTGTATTTTTTTAAAAAAAATATATTATAAACCGTCCTGTGATTGAAGGGTGGTATAGAAATATCACCATCATCAAACCTTTTATTGGTATCACATACAAACATACAAAACAAATCAATACAGAATTACCACTTCCCCAGTGGCACAAAACATTTGCTAAAAGAAAGGAGGCAGAGCAGTCTATTGTCAGATCTCTTGGTCTCCAGGGAGATCAGATGTCTGCAGTGTATTTCGACGACAAAAAAACAAATAGAGATATTTAGCCACTAACTTAGTGAGCTCCTGATCATTACCCAGTAATAGAAAATGTATGACCTCCAACTCTGATTTTCCTTTGGGGATACAGAGTTGATCTAGAAATTGCTGATGGAGATCAGCATATAGTTTACAATTAAGAACCATATGTGTAAGGGTTTCCACCAGGTGGTCTTCACATGGGCAAGTTCTTTCTCCTTCCACCCTGCCTGAGAACCTTCCCCCAAGGAGGTTTGATGGATTTGAATTAAACCTGGCCAGCGAAAATGCCATTCTTTCTTGAGGGTTAAGCAGAAATTCAAGGTAATTGTGGTTAGTTTCATGTGCCCAAGAAAGTTGAAAATAAAGAGGGGAACATGTTTTCTCTGCTGCTACTGTTAGTAATAATGATGATGGTGATGATGATAGAATCATAGAATTGTAGAGTTGGAAGCGAACCCACAACCCAGAGATTAAGAGTCTCATGTTCTACCAACTGAGCAAGCCTTAACACATTTTCCTCCCTGATGCTGATGCAAGCAACAAAAAGGTCAAAATGGTTCCGCTCACAGGGGAATCCCTCCAGCAGTGCAGTAAAGCTTAGACCCTTTGTAAGGCAGTACATGTGAGATATATTTGCTAGTCCCAGGCACTTCACCCTCCCCATCCGGATTTGGGCCTGAAAGACTTGGCTTTGTGGAGCAAGAGCTATTGTGAGGTTCTTTTTGGTGGCTGACCAAATGCATTGGCCAACTGAGCAGAAAAGCAACCAGTTTGGTCCACTCGTGTTTGCAAAAACCAGCAGACAAAGATAAACATGGTCACTGGTGAGTGTCTCTGAAGGATATTCGGCTGTTAAAGGTGCAGCTGGAAAGGAGAGCTGGAAAGTTGTCAGTTCTTAGTGAAAGTGACTGCTGGGAAGGTCTTAGTACAGGGTTTACACACACACACACACACACACACACACACCAATCCCCAGATTGGAACAATCTCTCTTGTCTTTGGGCAGATTTGTTGCAGATATGAAGACAAATGCTTTGAGGAAGCTGAGGGAGACACAGAGGTAGGAGAAGATTAAATGGCTTGATACAGTGAGTGTGGGTTGAAATGAGAAGGACCAGACAGTATTTTTCTTCCTCCCTTTTCTTTTTTTGTTAAAACCCAACAGTGCTATTGGTTACATTTCACATTTTGCTGTTCTACAGACTGGTGCTAATTTATTGGCCAGACTCACAATATTGTGGCAGCTCATCGTGGTGGAAATGTATGACCTGTCAAGCGAACTGCAAAGAAACTCAACAAATCACATCTTTCAAAGGGAGACTTTTTAATCAGCTGGATTTTTTCAGCCAGTTCCTGTGAACCAAATGGTGCATCTGGTTAGCTCAGGAGATGAAATGCAAATAGGATTTACTCCCAATTTAGAGAAGGTGTTGGCATCAGAAAGATTTCCCCATGTGTTAGAAATCCATGTCCTGGGTTATGTGCGAAGGTGCACCTTTCAAAATGAGGGAAGGGTCCTAGCTCAGAGATAGAGCACCTACCTTGCATGAAGAAGACGCCAAAATCAATCTCCAGGTAGGGGTGAGAAACCCTAGAGAGTTGCTGCCAATCAGTGTAGACAGTACTGACTTAATTGGGCCTAAGGGAGCTTCCTATGTTCCCATATTCCTAAAACCAATAAGAATTGTCTCGCCCCATTAATAATGCCTGTGCTCCCTGATTTCTCTGAGCACAAGCAAGTTCCAGGGTAACTTAAGAGGGTCAATTTCCCTGTGCAGGGACTGGAAAGGTGTCCTGCCTTTATATTCTCTGCAAATAAAAGGGTAAGTAGAAAGAGGCAAGCAGACGCACAGACAGGTGCTAGCCCTAAATTAGATCTGTCCCTCTAAAGCAACAGCATATCGCTGCAGCTGCCAAAGGCTTCTTTTAGTTATCAGGCTCAAAAATCCAAATTGTTTCTCTTTCTGCCCATACTCAAAACAGCCTTTCCCTGCTCAGATCATAGACAAATCCTGTTCCAGGAATGTGGGTGCATATTCCTAGGAGTCAATTGAGGACAAAGCTAACAGGAGACTTGGGTTGCATGCACATTACCAACTTAAAACTTAGATGCAACTTCCTCCTAAACAGTTTGGATTGAATTGAAGGGGGGGGGGATGCATCAATATTTCATTTAAAAAGACAGGCTAGATACAGGCTAGATGTTGACTGTGGCTAACCATGTGTGTACACAGCTTCCCGACCCAACAGTTGGAGTGTACTGGATACACACCCCAAATAAAACGATAGCATAGGCTCTAACAATCATATCAGCTAGGACTTTTGAGAAATGTGTTTTCTCCTTTTTCTTCTTGGTCTTGAAAAGCTAGAGATGTTTCGAAACTCACAAAGGCAGGAAGGAACAAGGACACAGGTTAAACAAAGCATCTGAGTTTGTCTTATCTTTCCGGAAACTATAAACAGTGGAAGGCATAATGTATGAATGGCAAATAGAATTTGTTAGGGGAGGGGCAGCTCAAACCACGAACCGAATAATTTCTGAATATATTCTGCCTGCAATTAAGATATGAAAACATAATTAGGCAAGCCAGATTAATCCTTAGTGAATAGTTTCTGTCCTCGGAAAACAGGCACATCTTTGCTTCTATGTGCGGAAAAGCCAACCCAGCCAATTAACAATAGATCTATATTTGCCTTGATGACTTCAGATATTGCTTTACTGTACATCTAGACTGTGAGATTCAATTACCCTTATTTAACCAGCACAACTACCCATTCCCAAGTTTCTACACAGGACTGTCTTAAATATCTAACAAAACATACACATCCAACTTTAGAACAATGCCCACCACCAGTGTGTTCAGTATAAACATATTTTTCTTCTCCATGGGTGTGTGTGTTTGTGTATGAGAAAGAGAAAGAGAAAGAGAAAGAGAAAGAGAAAGAGAGAGAGAGAGAGAGAGAGAGAGAGAGAGAGAGAGAAGGGTTCTGCAAGTCTGAAGAAGAATCTGACTGCTTCGATATAAAGCACTACGGCCACAGAGGCAATAGGCCTGGGCAACAACAAATGAATTAGGGAGTTGTCCTTGGTAGCAGAGCATATACTTTTCAAGTTCAGTCTCTAGATAGCTCTGGGAAACTGAGCTATTGGTTGCTCTGGTTAGAATATACTGAACTTCCCTTTTCAGAAAGGAGGTAGAAGGAAAGTGAAGAAGAAGAAGATGAAGAAGAGGAGGAGGAAGAGGAGTTTGGATTTGATACCCTGCTTTTTCACTACCCAAAGGAGTCTCAAAGCGGCTAACATTCTCCTTTCCCTTCCTCTCCCACAACAAACACTCTGTGAGGTGAGTGGGGCTGAGAGACTTTAAAGAAGTGTGACTGGCCCAAGGTCACCCAGCAGCTGCATGTGGAGGAGCGGAGACGCGAACCTGGTTCACCAGATTACGAGTCTACTGCTCTTAACCACTACACCACATTGGCTCTCAAGTGAGGATTGCCCACTGTGCCATCACCATGAGGACCAGCAGCTTGCTGTTCCCTGATTGCTTAACCCCCTTTTTTGTTTTGGGTTTCTTGTCTGCCTCTTGCTCACTGCTTCATACTTTGCTAGTGATGCACTTCTGCCTTTGCCATGGAGTGGTAATCAACTAGCTTTTACTCACTGAAAGTAATGGATCTAACTTAGTCATGTTCATTAATTGCAGGGTGTCTATTAGGAGAAAAACTCGGTTGAGTACCACCCATGAATTCTGAAGGGGAGTGCCTAAATATTGGGGAGCTGGGATTGACAGTCAGTTGTGAAATGGCCCTCAATCCCCCTTTTTCTTGACTGACTTCAGTTTGGAAGCTCTTCCTGATGTGTATTCCACTTGTAATAAAGAAATAAGATGCAGACAAGGGCGTTTGCATGGATTCTGAGCAGCAACAGAACTTGCGTCACAGTTTTTTTGTTTCAGAGCAGACTGCAGTTAATTAGCTAGCATGTCATATTAGGCTAAATTACTCTTAGTACATCAATCATTTGAAAGAGCCTGATTTACTACATAGCTCAGGCATATGTGTGAGGTTCCCTTGCAGACAGAAATACAGACAATATATCTGTACTAAATTGTTCTACCTTCACCCTGCATTAAAACAACTTCAGTCATATGGAATCTCATTCTTTTAATTATTATACTGGGTTGTGAATCCATATGAGACTAGACTTGTATATAAACCTTTTGCCAGCGACATTTCATGCACGTTAGCAAGAGGAGTTCACAGAGCACATCTAAATATTTTAAAGCTGTCTGACTGTAAATCTCCAGCACCTTCCAGATCTGCCAAACTATCAGCCTTGTTCCTGTGGTCTGCATTTGTCTAAAATTAATGGGCCTTTCCTATGAGCAGCCATCGTTAATCTTGATACCAAAGGAAATAATCTCCCTTAACTGTATATTAATGACTCCGAAGACAGGTAGAAATGAGCAGATTAGGGAGATCTTGTTAATCGGAATCAGAGCTTTCTCTCTGACAGGTGCTGCAAAGGATTAATGCCTGTTTGCTTGCTGCTCCAAACGGTAGCAGATGTCTGTGAAGGTGGAGGAGGAAGAGTGAGAAATGATTGGCTTCACACACTGACACTGAGTGATAGCCAAACCTATGATTAAATGTGTTGAAGTTGGTTGTTTGTGCAATAAAATTGCAAACTGGCCATATAACTCTTTCAGCATGTTCCATACAGCAAGCCACAAGTGAGGCATGGGCTTAGCAGGCAAGCAAATCGTTGGGGCCTCAGGCAGTGGTGGTTGGTGCCCATTGGTGGGGCAGAACACGGGAAGACCACTATTGGGTGGAACCAGAGCCAATGATAGGTGGACCCAACTGTGTTTAGCATTGTGCCTGTCTCCTCTTCATCCCTTTTGCATTCTACAAGGACAACACAGGAACTTAAGGAGGAGGAAACTGATAGGCAGTGCAACATCCTGGATTGGCTTGTAAGTAAAAAAAGGCCTCCACCCTCCCCAACCCAAGTCCTGTCAGGAGTTCAGCCTACACTCGAGTAGGACTCTGGCAGAGACACATGCCTGACTGGCATGTTCTCTCCCTCCTGGTCAATCGTTCAGGAGCTTCATAAGCTTTCTTCAGCCAGAACATCACAGCGACTGATGCCAACAGACACCAGCACACTTAGGGATCCGCAGAGTTTGCGCAACTTGCATGATAGACCTCAGCAACTCAGCATTTTGGCTAATCTACCTTTATTTACATATAAACACACATGGTGCACTGCAACATGGCTCCCTCTCTCTCTCTAGCATCAGACATCAAAGAGAGAAAGAACAAAGGACAATCGTCCTACTTCACGGAACACAGTAACACAAACACCCTATCTCCGTCATTTCCCACTCTGAGGAGTCAAAACATACACCATCATGTGATAGGCAAAAATCCCATGACTGCAATCATAGATCAGGAATTCTAACAAGTACAGCACTGTTCACAATATCCCACTGGCCACAAGAAATGT